GGCGAGGAAGGTGAGTGGGGATGGGCGCGGGGCGGCGGGGCGGGGCGGAGCGGCACGGGGCTGGGGACGAAGATGGCAGATCGGCGGAATGGTGACGCCGGGCCGTAACTCGCCGACGCGACGCTAAACCAAACGTCGACGCGACAGTCACGCAGCGAACTTCTTCGTAGATTCTCGGACCCGGCCCAATCGCATCCCACTTCCTCCCCACTCTTCTCGTCCCACTACCCTCCCACCAGCGCCTCCCGACCCGACCCGTGTCCCCTGGTGACTATCACTCACCCTCGGAATACGCGCGACATTCCATGCCTCTTGCTCGCCATGCAGCAGGTCGATGAGGCCGAGGAAGAGAAGCGCGGCGCCGAGCCCGCATCCCCAGAACCTGGAGTGAGCGGTGCGTTTTACACGCTCCAAACTAAACGCACCACTTAACGCCCGGGTCGACGATCGCCGAGCTGTTCACCATCTTGTTGCTCGCCGCGGCGGCGAGGACGATGGAGGCACACAGCGGCCAATGGAAGCTGGGGTCAGCGGGGGTGGGTGGGTGTGGCGGGTGTGCCGTGGGAGTAGGCAGGTTCGGCACAGCCGAGCCGACGTACAAGTTGAACAAAATCCCCGTCAGCCACGAGCGCCGGAGCGCGTGCGTGTATCTGCGTCAGAGCGTCGCGCGGAGACGTACCGTATAAGATGCGTGTCCGAGGGGAGGGTGTACCTGTGTGTGAGCAATGTTCAAGGAGCTAGGGATTCTGCAGCTAGAACTGCGTCGCCGTCAGACATGCAGTGAAGCTCCATGCCCTCCGCTCCCCTTCGCAAGTTGAGCTTGTAGCACTCCATGTCTCTGCGCAACACTTCGCCCATCTCCCCCGCCACGCCCACGCACAAGTAGTTGATCGCCCACGCCACCATGAACCCCAACGACGCCTTCTGGAACTTTGCGCCGGCGCCATACTCGCCCGGCTCGGCGATGTAGAGGAGGTTGGCGACGAGCTCGCCAAGCTAGTGTGAGCGCGGAGCGTGGACGACGTACGACAAGGACGGTGAACGCGCCGCTCCGGTCGACCGAGTGCTCGATGTTGATGGCTGGTGTCAGCGCTGTTGCCCAGCCCGACTCACCTGGGATGCGGATGCGGTCCGGCAGCGCGACCATCTTGAACAGCGGCAGACTGGTGTCGGGCGCCCGGGCGGGGTCGAGCTCGCCGGCCGCGATCTGGCGCCGCACGTCGCGTCGGCGGCGCAGCAGCAGCCACCGCCCATATACATTGTACAGGATCATGTCTACGCGCATGAGGTCGAGCGCGATGCCGGCGACCGCGCACGCGACTTGCGCGCGCCGCGCACGCACCCACAGCAGCGGGGTGTACGCGAACATGGGGATGAGGACCGCGACGCCGGTGAGCGCCTGCGCGGCGCGGAACGCCGGCAGCCACCACGCATAGAGGAAGAGGACGAGCACACGCGTCGCTTTGATGAGGAGGAAAAACGCCGCGGCGGCATGCACGGGCGTGCTGTCTAGTTTCGTGGTTGAGGGCACGCCGCCGCCCGGCGCATCGCGCAGCGGGATCGCGCTCGCGTTCGCCGTGTATCCCAGAATACACACCATGCCGGCGAGCACCCAGATGCGGTGCACGAGCTGCGTGAGTGCCTACGAAAAGGGGAACTTACGTCGTCCGTGCCCGAGACGTTGGAGTAGCGGCGCGCTTCCTCCCACACGCTCCAGCTCGGCCAGAAGGTGAGGACGAAGCGCGCGACGCCGCGCGCGCTCGGCTCCGCCACCGCCGCTTCGGCCAGCTGGTGCACCACGCCGACGTACAGCAGGTCCAGGAACAGCTCGATGCGCGGGGACGCGCGCTCGCCGCGCTCGCGGAACAGCTTGCCGCCCGCGATCCACTGCCGGATCACCGGGGGGTGGATGAGGTCCCGCAGGCGCGTGGCGCGGTCCCATGCCGCGGCGCTGTCTGCGTGGTGCACGATGTTGTCGTCGGACATCGTAGAGAGATGGAGCGATGTCGGGATGGAGGTGGAGAGGATGCCGTCATTTTGGGATCGGCAAGCGGGCCGGGGTCCCCGATGTGTGTGCGTGGTGTGGTGCTGATGACAACTGCATTGCGGTCTGTGTACAGCCAACAGTCGATGAATGGTGAAAGCTGCTGTGACCTGCGAATGCAATCTAGTGCTTCGGAGGCTGTAGAACACAGAGTATGACTGTGCGAAGAGCAGCCAGCATCCATATTCTCAGCATACCTCTTATGGTCTTGGCGAGATCACCATGCCCCCATGCCCACTCATGCATCATCCCCTGCTCTCTGTCATACTCGCTTGGCATCATAATTTCGACATGGCAGAGCCCCGGCGTCCCAGCGTTCCCTGCATATGCCGCAGCCTGCGAGGATTTAAAAAAACTACTGCCCCACTCTTGCCCCCCTGTCTCTCTCAACCTTGTCGTCTTCTTCTTCCTGGCACTCATCCGCCTGGCACAGACTCGCGCGGGTGACTCACCATCCGCACTGCACCAACCACCCACCATTACCAATCATAGATGCATACATTGCTACAGCTCGTCGCGCCGTGCGCTCCCGCCAAACGCCTCCGTCAATTCTGCCGTCAGCTAGCCCTCCACACCACACTTACTCTTCCGCGTCCCGTCCGTCACCACCGTCGGCATCACCACGCTGTACTCGATGTACATGTCGCCCTGCGGAATGTCGTGGAACGCAGGCATGCCCTCGCCCTCGATGACCTCGACCTCGCCCGGCTGCGTCGTGCCCGCGCGGCCCACGGGGATCGTCCGCCCGTCCAAGCTCGTGAGGTTGCGCTCGAAGCCCAGCAGCGCCTCCACGACGCTCAGCGTGATCCGGCCCACCAAGCCCGACTCTTTGCGCGTCCATCCCTGGTTCGACTGCGGCTTGCTGCGCACGCGCACGACCACGTCCCCCGGCTCGTAGTCCGGGCTCTCGTCCGCCTCGCCCCGGAACCGCTCCTCGTACCCTTCTGGCGCGCCGGCGGGGATGTGGACCGCCAGCGTGTGCTCCCGCTCGACGGTACGCGCGCCGCCGCACTCGCTGCAGTGCTTCGTGATCTGCTCGCCCTTGCCGTTACAGTGCGGGCATCTGGTGTCAGCGAGACCGTGGGTCAAGAGCTGGGCGCGACGAGTTGATCATTCCCAATCCTCCGCGGTTGGCGCCACACTCACGTCATCTGCACATTCGTGAACATGCCCGGGAACACCTGGTGCTTCTGCACCACCACACCCTGCCCGTTACATGTGCCGCAGCGGTGCACGTCCGCAGGCGAGTTCGCGCCGCTCCCGTTGCACTTGTTGCAAATGAACCGCCGGGGCATGTTGAACTCGACTGTTCGCCCCGCGTACATGTCCGCAAGCGACACCTCAAGGTTGAGCTGGACGCTTGGCCCTCGTGGCGGCTCGTTGCGGCCGCCGCCAAAGAACTGCGCGAACGGGTCGTGCTGCGCCGCCGCCTTGCGCTCCTCGTGCCGCTTCAGCGCGGCCTCGCCCCCGCGGTCGTAGATCTGGCGTGTCTGGGATCAGCTGAGCTGGGTGTGCGGGGCGGAACGCCACGCGTCATCGGTGACTGCCACGTCGGCGCCGATCCGCCGGACGGCCGCACACGTCCGCGTCCTCCTACCCACCTCGGCTTCAGACAACACCTCATACGCTGCTGTTAGCGCGGCTCGCAAACCACCTCACCCTTCGACACCTCGATGAACTTGTCGTGCGCGCTCTCGTCGGGGTTGACATCTGGGTGCAGCTTCTTGGAGAGTTTCTGCGCGTAAGCTCTACACACTTCACGCAACAATGCCACCTCCTCAACTCACTCTGTATGCACGCTTGATGTCCGACTCGCTCGCATCCTTCTTCACTGTACGTCAGCTCCGCCACGCCACCTCCACCGAGTCAGGAACGCACCGCCCAGCAAGGAGTAGTAGTTGGACGCGGCGAACGCCTCTCCAAGCAGGAGGAGGAGCAGCGCCAGCATCAGCGGGCGCAGAAACATGGTCAGAGTGGGAGTGGGAGGTGGGAAATGGAGAGATGGAGAAACGCAAAGTCAACATCTGTCGCGTCAGCAGTAGAGGTGCACGTCGACGCGAACATTACGCCGGGAGTAAACCGGCGCTGGGCACGTGACGCCCGCGTGGTCCCGCCACCAAGAGAAGTCGAGGATTTCGCTTCACTTGACAACAACGACGAGCTCCTCTCTCACAGCCCAGTCGCAACGTAAACTCATCGGCGTTATCGCACGCCGAGCCGTCCTTCACTCCGACCCGCCGTCCGCTTTCGCCCTTTCCCTATCCCCGCCCAATCCCTCCCCTCAGGCCTTCATGTCGCGCGGACGCGGACGAGGCCGCGGGCGCGGCGGCGCGACCGCCGGCCGCGACCAGTTCAACGCAGCCTTCGCGGGGATGAGCAAGGAAGACTCGCGCGCCGTCCTCGAGAGCTTCAGCAAGCCCGTAAAAGGCTCCGGCATGCTATACCCCGTGCGTCGCCCGCGGCCCCACTAACCCCAGCCACTCGACAAGGCGTCCGAGATGCCCGGGCCCACGGCGTTCGAAGAGCGCGTGGTAGCGCACACGAACGCGCTGTTGCGGGACCTCGCCGAGGGCCTCGCGGACGCGGACGGCGCGCGCGCGGGCGCGCCCTGGCGGCTCGAGAGCGAGCGCAAAGTCGTCGGCATCGGTGCGTCCCCGGCGGGCGGGGCTGACGGCAGAAATCGAATCTTACTCCGATAGGTATCGGCGTCCGGGGGCGGGCACGGGCACGGGGAACTCGCGGCTCGACCCCGCCGTGTTGTATCTTAACCGCGAGCTGTTCCCGCCGTCTTTGTGGAAGGAGTACTTTGAGGGCGATATGGGAGCCGAGAAGAAGGCGCGGGCGATCGCGCGCGCGAATCGCCGGAAGCGCGTGTTGGATGAGGATGATGATGAGGAGGGCGAGCCGAGCGAGAATGAGGAGGACGAGGAGGACTTTGACTTTGACGACGAGGACGAGGAGGATCATCAGGACTACGATCACAATTACTTCGACAACGGAGAAGGGGACGACGACTCGGGCGGCGAGGGTGGAGAAGGTCAGTGCATGTCGCGGGGTTCGGTGTGCGGAAACTGACAGACAGACGAGGGCGGGCGGTACGACGATTGAGTAGACCGCAGCTTACCGCTTGCCCTAGAGCGGAGTGTACGATATATGCAGCATATGACATGGAGAGTGCATGATGAACTGATTGCTTATGAGATTTACATTGTAGATGGAGTGGTCCGTCCTGAGTGGCAGAAACACTAATCCGCCTCGTCCCCGCTCTGATCCCAGTCGGTGTCACCGACAATGCCGACGGTCTGCACTGGCACGTGCGTGTGGGTGACGGGGACAGGGACGGGCGCGCGGTGAGCCTCGGGCGGGGTGGGACGCGCCTGCTCGACGCCAGGAGACGGCACGCGCGAGGTCGGTGCACTTGCAGTAGGCGTGTTGGCCTTAGCGGCCGAGGCGGCTGTGGATGGCGACGCGGTCCCGCTACGTCCAGCTCCCCATACGCTCGATGGGGCGGCACGGAGGTTGCCCAAGCCGCCAAGCTTGGACGTCTGCGGCTGCACAACGGACGAGAGGAGGGGGTTGGGCAGGCGAGTGTCGACACGACGTCGGATTTGCACGGATCGGTTCGGCTCGGCGTCAATCAGCTCGCGTCCCAGGCGGTACACGTCAGCCATAGACATGACAAACGTGCGCTTGGCCTGCGGCATATGCGGAAGGATGACGGTCTGGCGCGTCCCGTTGATGAAGTCGCGGAAGGTAGTCTCGACCGTCTTGACGAATGCGAGATTGGCGTAGGCAAAGGTACGCAGTTCAGACGGCCACTCGGTAAGTGTCCTGTCGACTGGCTGCTTGATGCCGAGCGCGTCGGCTAGGCGCGCGTTGCGCTGGCGCATCATGCAGTCGGCGTTGCATTTGAGCTGCACCGTCTCGCGACTCGAAGGGTTCGACGTGCTGGCGCCGCAGGTGGTCCGCGTCACAAGATTGCCGCATGAGCAAGTCTGATGAACAATGGTGGGGCAAGGCTCGTTCTCTGGGCACTTGGCCGGCGCATGGCAGGTGTGCGTACACGCGTGTTTGCATATCCGCTTAGGCTTGTTGCAAGTCTGCGCGCAGGACTCGCATTCTCCGGGGTGGCACGTCTTCTCGCATCGGTGGTAACCGCAGCCGAGAAGCTTGCCGCACACCTGGCCGCAAGAAACGCGATCTTGCGACTGCGAGCAACGGACGTTCTTGACCGCAGGATCCTTGCCGCACGCGCACGGCTTGGAAGTGAGGAACGGGCACGGCGGGCAGTCGGGCTCTTCGTGGCAGTTGTGAGGAGTCTTAGGGTGCCCACAGGGCGGGTCGGGGCGCGCGCATGGGAACACGCAGTTGACCTTGGTTCCGCATGCGACCGGCGGGTAAACGACCGTGTGGCCACAGTTGCAGATAAGCTCGTCGTATGACGCCTGTAGGCATCGGCCGCACGCGCCCTTGTGATCCGGCTTGGGGCAGCTGTGTATGCCGCAGCTGAGGAGCTTGCCACATACCAGAGGGCACTGATGGAGATCGTCGTTGTCAATGTCAAAATCGAGCGCACGACGACCCTTGCGCTTGGCCTTGTACGACAGGGGGCAGCAGATGCGACCACACTCGTGGCGGCCGCAGTTTCGGAGCGCCTTGCACACGCGCTCGCAAAAGAATTCGGTTTGACCAGCCTGCTGGCGCTCTCTAACCTCGTCGCAGTCAAGGAGGAGGTTGCTCTCGCCGCAGCGGCATGGCCGGTACACTTGCTCGTGGCACGGAGGGCATTCGCCGCTGTGGCATTTGAGCGGACACGCATGTCCGCAAGGCCGTGACTTGGGGCACGACTCTGCGCATGTCGGAATGGGCGCCGTGCAATCGGGGCGTGGGTAGCCGGGAAGGAGGTTGAGGGGTGTCGCGCCGCATGGGCAGGTGGTTATGACGCTTGGCGAGGTCGGGCAGGGGACGAGACTAGCGGGATGCGGGTGGCACTTCTCCAAGCACTCGTGTATGCCACACTCGTACTTCTTCCGGCAAATGCGGTCGCAAGCGAAGCGACCTTCCCAAGTCTCGTTGCCGTCGCTGCACTCTTTGATGTCCTTCTTGTTCCAGCCGCACGGCGCAACCTTTTCCTCGTGGCCGCAGTAACAGCGCACATTCTCGACTTCACTGCAGTCGCCGCACGGGCCGAAGTGGCAGAGGTTGCCGCAGCGATGTTTACCACAGGCGAGCTCACGGTCGCAAATCTCGTCGCAAACGGGCGTAAGCGCGGCGTCGTTGGTGCTGGCCGTCGAACATTTGACGGTGAGGGATGTCGCGTGCGATGGGCAGCGGACAACCAGAGCGACCTGGCAGGGCGGGCAAGGCCCCGGGTGGCAGTTGAGAGGGCAGGGGTGGCTGCAGTTGGGGCGTGGGCGCGCGCAAGCGTCATTGCACGAGTGTGGGGCGGTTAACACCGTAGGCGGGTTGGCGAGACGGCCACAGAAGCACCTGTAGCCACCAATCTTTTGCGTGCGGTGCTTCTGGCATCCTGGGCAGCGCCAGGAGGGCTCGTCATTGCTTTCGGCCTTGCGTATCCGCTCCGCATCGTCGTGGAGGCTGCGCGACGCCCAGTCGCGGATGCAGTTCACGTGGAACGGCGTGTAGCAGGCAGTGTAGTGGGCCGCGGCGAAAGCTGGCCGCTCGTTGTCCTCGAGCGTCTTGGGATACTCAGGGGGCGAGTGGGGCGGCAGGCACGACCATGTCGGCTGCTGGGAGAAGATGGGGTTGAAGCAAATCGGGCACTCGATGAACGGCTTGCCGCGCAAACCACGCGTCAGTCGCGAGTTGAGGTCGTCGGGCTCCGGACCGAGCGGTTCTGGGTGTTCGACCGTCTTCCGCGCCGGCTTCTCCTTCTTGGGAGGGGCGTCACCGGTAGTGAGCTTGGAGCCACGCTCAAACGCAGCGCGGCGACTCGAGACGGGCTTGGGCGCCGCAGCACCGTTCGCCTCCGTCTTGGGCTTGCGCTGTCGACCCTTGGACTGAGATGCCCGCGAGCTGGGGCGGCTGGGTCCGCTCTCGTCAGGAGTGAACACGCTCGCCGCTGGGTTCAAGGGAGTGCTCGGACCGCTGCCGGACGCAGCGGCGTTCCCGTTCGCCAGCTCAGTCCGCTGCTGCCTGGGCCTGTTGCGGCTGTTGTTGGGGCCATCCGGCGCCCCGTCGGGGCGAGGACCATTGTTGCGACCCCTTCCTCGGGCGTTCCGAGGGCCGCGATTTGACGATTGATCGAGGGCAAGGGCGCCGATCTGCGCCGTCGGGGGCTCAGAGGCCGTGACCGAGGCCGGGCCTTGAGACGCGTTGCCGGGCTTGCGTCCGCGTCCGCGACCGTTGTTCCGAGGGCCGCGGGAAGGAGCATTGTTGGGACGGTGCGTCAAGTACGCGCCGTCGCCCGGTTGCGGGATGGGACGGGCAAGATATGCGCCGTCACCTGGTTGAGGGAGAGAAGAGGCTGCTGTCACCGGAGCGGTCTCGGCCATGATCAGGGTGGCGATTGACGCTGTTGAGGTGGTAGACAGAGCGAGTGGTTGGGGAGGGTGGCGAGCAGGAGTTGGGGTCGCCCCGCTCGGAGAAAATTACGGGAAAGCTGTAAGGAGTGAAATAGAGGGGTGGGACAGAGCCCGATGGAAGATGTCTTGAGCGATGAAGTAGATGAAGAAATGCGATGAGATGCGATGTATTATGAAGCAGAGTTGGATGAGAGGGAGACGAGAGACTGACGAGAGCAGGAGGATGTCGAGGATGCGGAGCTGCCAGTTGGGCTGACCGATCCGAGTGGCCGAATGATCGCCGTTCGGATCCGGAGCACGTGGGAGTGCTGGTCCAAACCGGCACCTTCCATTTCAGCCTGTTCTGTGAGATAAATCTGCCCTTTCCTGCCCCACTTCCTGTTGCCGCTCTTGCAGATGATACTCCTGCCCCACAACCATACGGCTTTTTCATCAGGCAAGTGCGCATTGCACTCGCGATACATAGTACTGAGTGGGAGGCTGGAGGTGAATGCGAATGGTTGTTGTCGCACTACACTAGCGTGGTAATCCCGTTTTGGCGGCGAGCCCTCTAAGTAGCAAAGTCCATCGGACGCGTAAGACTCTGCTCGTCGCTTAATCGTCAGCTGGGCTCGGTCGCTACTGATTCCGCCGCTGCACAACCTTGCAACCGCCATCGGCTTGAAGCGACACTTCAGGCCTGTGACGACGTTGTGGATAACTGCCTCTAGCCTGTCGGGCTTCTAGACGGTGTAGAAACGGTTCAAGGAGTCAAAAGGCGGCCCACCTGCAGACCAACTTGATGTATACCGAGAACAACATATAGAGTTAGTTGTGCTCGATTGAGCCTCATTCGATACGGCAGAATACGGTGCGGTTGAAGATGGTCAAGCGCGATATCGCCCCTTCATGTCATTTAGGACGACCTTTCTGCAATGTAACCTCGGGCATTCTCCTATGCCTGGTGACGCTCTCGAAGAAGTTAGGCATGACTGTCTGAAAGAGCTTGGGTCCTCGTCACTCATCCCAAACATCCAAAAGGTGTCGAGACTATTCCGTCACAAACCCAATGCCTTTGCCTGAGCTGGTGTGGATGAACACGACAAAACGAAGTGGCACAAGGCGCTTCACTAGCGTCCTCTTACTGTGCTAAAGCATCTGCTGACTGGCGTGGACGAGGTTTAAGCCCGCCAACGAGCCCGAAACATTCGGCTTCGTTGCTCCCAGACAGCTATCATGACCAGCAAGACACTGTGATTGCATGCCACATGGTCGGATATCACTATGTATCACTCGGCACTGTTGGGACTTGGGCTAGAGCTGGCTGAGGTTGGCGGCATAAACGGTGTTTCAGCTGTTTTCGCAGTATTTTCTCGTGTGGTGGACGCCTACCCAGGAGGTCAGCCTCTCCTTTTCTATCCGGTGCTGGGACACTGACCAACACAAGCATGTCATGTGGCGCCGTATCCATCCACCTGTTGCCGTGCCTTGACTACTGGGCCACAATCGGTGCCACTTGCACTTGGCAGTTACGGTGGGGGGCAGGATAAGTGCCTCCAAGCTTCGGCTATCAGCGGCACATACATAGTATGGGATGCGGGGTGGATTACAGTTGACGAGTCCGAGAGCAGGGGTATGTGGAGATGTGGAGATTGAGCGCTACGTCATGGCGGAGCGTGACTGATGACTGAGGAGCAAGAGCCAGTATGCATTTTACATAGTGGGGAGATCTGGGCCAGAGCACATACAAACGCCCCGGGGGTCGCACGCTTGCGCCGCTGGCCGCTCGGGCGTGGCAAAAGGGCGCCGATCGACACGCAAGCATGGACAGGTGGATGCCAGAAGCATCTGGGTGGCAACAACAGGTGAAAATTTCATGGCGTTCGGCGGCCGCAGCAGGAAGCAAGAATTAAAGTACAGTAGTTTGGCAGGTGGGCCCAGGCACACGGCCACACGGGATTGGGATATTGGGGCCCGTTCCTGTCATTATCGGTGCATGCGCGATGCACGATGCACCAGGTGCACCAGGTGCGCGGCAGGGATCCTGACGGTCTGTGCCGTCCCGGAAGTGGTGAGGACAGATGAAAAGTGCAGCGCAAGAGAGGTGAGCAGTGTGATCAGATCTTGCAGCTAACAGCGTTAGACGGGGGGCGGTTTGTCGCTCGCAATGCTCAGCCCAGATGCAAGATGATGAGACGAAAGCCGAGTGGACGATGAGTGAGGACTCACCCAGGAAAAATTTTGTGGCGGCGCCTGGGCGGGGCATGGACCGGGCGGAAGATTGCAACTGGCGAGCTGCTCGGCAGGGTCCGCTCATACCGCTCGCTCAGCTCCCTCTCTCCTTCCTTCCTTCTTTCCTTCCCCTCCTGCCCTCCTGGCATCAAATTAACGTGAGGGGATCGGATAAACATTGCGCCAAATCACCCCGTACGGTGAGCAAGCCGACGTCAGGCTGCCACACAAGGGCCCTCTAGCGGCGTTATAGACCCCGCCACACGTCATAACACCATAACGCCGTGACTGGGCTTTGAGTAGACAAAGGCAATTCAGGGTCTGTTGGAGGGGCGAGCTCCAGTGCCAGCGCACTGTAAAATCCGCGTGCGATCCGCTTTCTCTCTTCACTCCCACCCTCTCTCTCTCCTCCAAAAAACAGTGAGTAGCACCAACGACAACCATGGCAATGGTGGTCGCCAAAGAGGCAAAGACAGCGAGCGCACTGCGACCGACAACGACCTGCCCGTCATCGACTCGAACAACCTGCAGCACCATCGCTCTCGTCATCGCCGCGCGCCACTTGCCCTGCACTCCTTCCCCCCACCCCTCATCCATCCCATCCTTTCCTCTCGACCATGCAAGGCCACCTGCCTCGAGTGCATGCGCTCTTGGCGATGCTCGCGCATTGGTATCGTGGTCGTCTGCATCGTCGTCAAACAGACGGAGCACGACGACCGTGACGAATTGGATGGCACAAAGGGTCCATGTCAAATTTGACCTCCCGCTTCCACCTTCAACCTTCCTCCATCCAACATCCTCCGCCTTTGACTCGCAATGCGCATGCTGTCTTTGTCTCCCCACTCCCACCATTGACTGCCACTCTCAGAGAATGTCGACTAACATTGCAGACAAAACCTATTCAAAATGGGCAAGGACAAGCTCCACATCAACGTCGTCGGTGAGTTTACTGCTCGATTACATTTGGCGGTTCAGGGCCTGACATTCAGTTATCGGCCACGTCGACTCCGGCAAGAGCACCACCACCGGCCACCTTATCTACAAGTGCGGTGGTATCGACAAGCGTACCATTGAGAAGTTCGAGAAGGAGGCTGCTGAGCTCGGCAAGGGCTCGTTCAAGTACGCCTGGGTTCTTGACAAGCTCAAGGCCGAGCGTGAGCGTGGTATCACCATCGACATTGCTCTCTGGAAGTTCGAGACCCCCAAGTACCAGGTCACCGTCATTGACGCCCCCGGCCACCGTGACTTCATCAAGAACATGATCACCGTGAGTAGTACAACCATCCGCCTACCTTTGCTGTGCTAACATTCAGGGTACCTCGCAGGCCGACTGCGCCATTCTCATCATCGCCACCGGTGTCGGCGAGTTCGAGGCTGGTATCTCCAAGGACGGCCAGACCCGCGAGCACGCTCTCCTCGCCTTCACCCTCGGTGTCCGTCAGCTCATCATTGCTTGCAACAAGATGGACACCTGCAAGTGGTCGGAGGACCGCTTCAACGAGATTGTCAAGGAGGCTTCGGGCTTCATCAAGAAGGTCGGCTACAACCCCAAGTCGGTTCCCTTCGTCCCCATCTCGGGATGGCACGGTGACAACATGATCGAGCCCACCACCAACATGCCCTGGTACAAGGGATGGGAGAAGGAGACCAAGGCCGGCTCGGCCAAGGGCAAGACCCTCCTTGAGGCCATCGACGCCATTGACCCCCCGACCCGCCCCACCGACCGCCCCCTCCGTCTCCCCCTCCAGGACGTGTACAAGATCGGCGGTATCGGCACAGTTCCCGTCGGCCGTGTCGAGACTGGTGTCATCAAGGCCGGCATGGTCGTCACCTTCGCCCCTACCAACGTCACCACTGAGGTCAAGTCCGTTGAGATGCACCACGAGCAGATCCCCGAGGGTCTCCCCGGAGACAACGTTGGCTTCAACGTCAAGAACGTCTCTATCAAGGACATCCGCCGTGGCAACGTCTGCTCGGACTCGAAGAACGACCCCGCCAAGGAGGCCGCTTCGTTCAACGCCCAGGTCATCGTCCTCAACCACCCCGGCCAGATCGGTGCCGGCTACACCCCCGTTCTTGACTGCCACACCGCCCACATTGCGTGCAAGTTCGACACCCTCATTGAGAAGATCGACCGCCGTACCGGTAAGGTCATGGAGGCCAACCCCAAGTTCATCAAGTCGGGTGACGCCGCCATTGTCAAGCTCGTTTCGCAGAAGCCCATCTGTGTCGAGACCTACCAGGAGTACCCCCCTCTCGGCCGTTTCGCCGTCCGTGACATGCGCCAGACCGTTGCCGTCGGTGTCATCAAGTCGGTCGACAAGTCTGAGAAGGCCGGTGGCAAGACCACCAAGAGCGCTGAGAAGGCCGCGAAGCGCAAGTAATTGTGCTTCGAGCGTGCTTATTTGTATGTCTCTTCATCCTTAGTTCTCCTCAGATAGGCCTCTCGGCGATGCACCGTTGAAGGCTACCATTCTAAAGTTTCGTTGCGGGTGTGAGTGTTGAGATAGCGTTGCTTGACCTGTAGAATACGAGGCAGCACCAACGCCGATAACATCCAAGTCAGGCTTAGCACTGGTCCTGCTTGGTTGCTGATGAGGCGCGGGGTCGACGAGCCGATCTCGTTGAAGCCGTGTATCGTATCAGCTTTCGAGTCTACTGTAGGCTTTGTTGTGGTGTACGCCCCTTTAGCTGCCCACTGCAGATCGTAGATGTCGCATGCATGTTCGCGTCGACTACCCCAAACGTCTGATATCTGATGTTCAGTACATCGGGGGTCATTTTCTCTGTGCTTCGATGATGCCACGCCGCTGATCTGCTGAAGGTAGAGAGAGAGTACGAGAGATCCCACTAGCAGTTCTGGCCATGCATTGTCGCTGTTGCCAGCAGTCGAGTTCTCTGGTGCCGTTTCAAACGATGGATCGTGAGCTTGCATGCTTGGTTGAATCAGCCCAATAGCTGGCAGTCAAATACATTCTGACTCCGCTAATTCGCCTCTGACTAATGGTCGGGTGGCAAACAACTCAACGCGTCACCGTTCCGATCAGTGAGTGGCCGATGGCGATCGAGCACCAGATAATTCCATCAACATCATTCCATACGCGCGCGCGTCGCTTGCTGACACAGCTCCTCGCGTTCTTAACTACAGGTCTTCCCGCTTCCATCTCTCCTCTTCCTCATAACTGCAAGCACCCATTGCCACCTCCTGCATCTCCTCACCGTTCAGATCTCCCCACTGCGCCAGGCCTTCCAGTCACCTCACCTCATCACACCCACAACCCACCATGAGCGCCTCACCATCGCCGACGCCGTCTAGCCGCGACGAGCTCATGTTCCTCGGCACGGCATGCCACCACCGCGCGTGCAACCTGCACGACTTCCTGCCCTTCTACGTGAGTCTCCAGTTGCCGCAGCGCCGCCCACCTCAGCTAACCCCAGTGCCCGGCGTGCAAACTCGCCTTCTGCCAGCCCCACTTCCTCCCCTCCGCGCACCAATGCACCGCGCCCCTCCCGCCGTCGATGGTCGACCGCATCGCGCCCCAATGTCCGATGTGCGACCAAATCGTCCCCTCATCAGCGGACCCGAACGAAGCAGTCGAGCGCCACATCCTCAGCGGCACATGCGCCGGCATCGAGGGCGGCGCGGCGCGCAAAAAGGCCATCTTGAGACAGCGCAAGGACAAGGGCGAGATCTGCTTCCGCCGCGGATGCACCAAGGTGCTTGTCGTGCCCATGAAGTGCGAGGGGTGCGCGCACGCCTTCTGTCCGCCGCACAGGCATGCGCCGGCGCACTCGTGTACCGCCACGCCGGAGAGTTCGCGCTCGGGCACGCCGCAGGGCAAGCCTGCGGCCGCGGCGGGGAAGAGCGCCATGTCCCGTCTCCTCGGCGCCCAGGCCAAGCCCCCGTCCCAACCGCCCGCAAAGCCCGCCCCGAAGCTTGCGGCGCCGAAACCACAGCATGCCGTGCAGGTCGAGGCGCGCGCGGCAGCCGCGGCGGCCGCTGTCAAACGTGCCGGGCAGGATGTGAAGGTGCCCTTCGTCAAGAGCAAGGAGGAGAAGTGAGTGGAGAATGAGTGGGAGGACTAGAGCTGACGGCAGGCGCGCACACGACGAGTTGCAGTCCACGATAAAGAGCCTCAAGACGCGCCACGACAAGGGACTACTGACCCCGGCCGAGGAGGTGAGAGGGTGACGCACATCCTCTCCGAGCCCCGGTTGACCTCCAGGTCCGCTACGCAGAGCTTATTGGCAAGCAGGAGTCGCGCCGGCGACGGGGTAGCGCGAGTGGCGGGAAGAAGGACAAGGATTGTGTCATCATGTAGCATATGAATTGATAGACTGCACGTGTGAACTGCATGTGGAGACAGACATGTGGGGCAAGGCGTGTGTAGTGGCCCCATACTGATGTGGTGAGGTGTTGAACACGAACGATATTCAGCGGACTGATCATGACGAAGACGTGACGCCTGCGTCGGGCACCAGCTCGGATGATGGCGCCTTTTTGCGGCTGGCTGTCGTAAGGTCGTGAGCGAGTCTGAGAACGCACAGCTGCGCCTACTACGGCCAATACTGCCATTACCGTGGCGGACAGCAGCGACTTGGCGGTGAACAGGCGAGGGCGTCGATGTGTGCGCGTACTAGCGTGAGCTTCTCCACGCTTGAGCCGCACCTCGTCCGCTGTGTCCCGCTCGACGGGGTGCGCAGCCACGCGCGCAGCCTCCCGGAGCCGCGCGACTTCCTCGTTCGCCGCCGAGAGCTTGACTTCGAGCGTGGCGCACCGCGCGACCGTACGGTCGTAAGCACTATTAAACCGCTCGCACCAGCGGCCCATATCGCCAAGCTCAGTACGCAGCGCCGCCATCTGCGTGTCGGGGCGCGCGGCCACAATTTGGGTGACTTCTGTCAGCGTCCTTCACGCCCGCCCTCCGCTCATCCTTCCTCACGCTGCGTATTCTGCTCCGCCACCTTGCCCGCCAACGCCTCGACCGCGAGCGTGAGTGCGCGAACTGCGTCAGCTTCGCCGGGGGTCGCCGCGGCGCCGCACTCAGCGCGTCTTGCCGGTCCATCCGCGCCTCGAGGACGTGGAGCCCGGCGTTGAGGTCGCGCGTCGCCGTCGCGAGGTCTTCGTCGAGGGCGAGTTCGCGCGGCGGCGCCGGGTCGCGCGCGAGCGCGCGCAGCTTTGCTTGCATGTCCGTCACTTGGGAGGCGAGGGAGGCGACTGGTGTCAGAGGCAAGCGGGCGACCTACGCTCGTGCGCTTGCGTGTCTTGCCGGGCTATGACGCGCGAGAAGACGTCGGCGTGCGGGGAGAAGGCTTCTGCTCGAGAAAGAGACGAGGCCCTCAGTGCGGCACCGTTCATGGAGGTCAGAGAAGATAAGAGATGAGAGAGGAGTGAGTGAAAAGAAGGGAGAAGGTGTCCAAGGAGCGACGTGTTGTAGCAAGTTCGTTGCTTTGCGACGCTGATCAGCGCTCACCCGCTTCTGCCGATCGATGCATGGGTATAGATGATACAGTACAAGTCTAGACGAGGAGGACAGAGTTGATGCACCCGTCGTTTTCTGGGTTGTTGGTGATCTGCGCGTACTCTGTTATGTCAGTGCAGCTGGCGCAGGAGACCTACTTGACCACACAACCTTGCCGCCCGTTGTCACCATGCCCAGCTCGGACACGTTCACCTCGACAATTGTTCCCTTCGTGAGCACGCCGAGGGAGGTGTACAGTGGCGACTGGGGGTTCTTTTTCACGCCGAGGATGGGAAGCTGGAACGTCGTCTTCAGCTCGGGGTGGGTGACATTCGCCTTGGTCATGCGCTGAGGTTAGCAAGGACATCCGAGAACCGCGGATACGGAGCCGAGCACAAGAAATAAGACGGCCTGACGGCATGTACACCGCGCCGCCGTCCCGCGCCCTCCTGAGAACACTCACAAGACCCATAGGGCGAATGAACCGCTCGAGCTTGACGGGCTTGCGGGTGAAGTTCTCGCCCACGAATGTCGCCTTGTTGACCATGCGCTTCCAACTCTTCTGCTTGCTCTTTCCGGTCTTGATGACCTTGAACATCTCCTCCTCGGCGATACCGCGGACCTTGGGCAGGGGCACCGAGTACTTGGCGGCGCGGTCCTTCCTCCTGTCCTTGACAGCCGACGACAGCGCCTTGGCGTCCTTCTGGCCCTCGCGGTCGAGCAGGTACGCGGGCAGCGCGCCCTCCTGCACGGCGCCGTCGTCCTTCTGCTTGACGTTGCGCTCGTCGTGCGCCTTGAGCTTCTTGCGCATCTGCACCTTCTCGGCGTGGCGGCGCTTGTGCAGCATCTTGGCCTTGTGGCCCACCATCTTCTGCGTCACCTGCGAGTGCTTGTGCACCTCACGTGCCTCGCGCTTGCGCTTCTTCTCCTCGTGGTCCATACGCCGACCGTGCCGGCGACGGTGCTCGTCCATGTAGTCGTTCTGCGCGTTAGTGTCCGCACGGCCCTGGCGGCGATCCGCGGCGTCGAAGTACTGACCTGCGGCTGTGGATGTCAGCGTGTATTCCAACATGCATGCTCTCGGGGTGCTCACCATTGTGTCTAGACTTGTGCTTGGAGTGTTCTATGCGGGTCTAGGTGTGCCGAGGGGGCGGATGGATGAAGAGGGAGGATGGGCGACGGCTAATGTTGGCTGTTGGGTGTTGGGTGGACGAGTTGGGTGGCAACAGACCGGCATGGGGACAAAATTTCTGATTCCGGGTCGTCACCCCGCACTTGTTGACAGGTCTTGCGACCACACATATTCCATCCATCTCGTGCATCCAGCAAACGCCAGTAACAATGGGCCTCGCAGAGCGCAAGCAAAAGCGTAAGCACGATCTATCGACCGAGCTGACCTCAGAACGCATCGGGTATGACCCCCGCAATCTGTCCTGGTCCGAGGACAAAAACCGGTTCGGCGTGCAGCACATGTCCAACCTGGGCTGGCAGGAGAACACGGGCCTGGGCAAGGATGCTTCAGGCAATGCCAAGCACATTGCGGTTGTGCGTAAGATGGACAACGGCGGCATTGGTATGATGCGGTTGCAGAAGGAGGGCAAGGAGTTGGGTGTGGGCGCCGGGCAGGCCGGTGCTGGGCTGGAGGATGTGCTCAAGCGTCTCGCTGCGCGCTCGAGTGCGAGCGCAACGCCGAGCCTGCAGCCTTCGCCGGCTCTGTCTCCCGCACCGAGCCCTGGCCCGTCGGTCGTGCGAAACAAGATCTCGTGAGTGCTCCAGCCGGGTGTGGCTGACAGAAGCTCCCGCCAGCGCCACCTTGCGAGCAAGAAGATGGCGTCGCAGGACCCCGTCGCCCTTGCCGCCATTCTCGGCGTCCCCGTCTCTTCCCTTCCTACCCCCGCCACATCTGCACCCGTTTCCGGCGCCTCGACGCCCGCGAGCGAGTCGACGCCCGAACTTGCGAGCCGCGACGAAAATGGCGACCCGCAGCGGAATGCCCTCGAGGTCATTACCACCTCGACGCTCTCAGTTTCCGACTACTTCCGCCGAAAGCTGCGCGAGAAGATGCTGCAGCGGCAGGCGAGCGGGTCGGCCACACCGACCCTAGCCGAGGGCAGCTTGGCGGTCATGAAGGAGGAGGTCAAGGTCGACGTCGGCGGCGTGGCGTGGGAAGGGAGCAAGGTGTCGTTCGCCGAGACGGAGGTGAAGATCTCACTCGGCGACCTCGGGGCGGACGCGCCTGCCGTGAATGCCGACAAGGAAGCGGAGAAGGCGGCCAAGAAGGCGCGGAAGGAGGCGAAGCGTGCTGCCAAGGCTGCGGAGAAGGAGGCAACGACTGAGTCCACACCTGCCACATCAACCTCCGAATCACCTGTCACTTCCGAATCAACACCAGCAGTCTCGGACAAGGAGGTACGGAAGGCCGAGAAGGAGGCCAAGAAGCGCGAGAAAGAGGAGAAGCGGAGGAAGAAGGAGGAGAAGGCGGCCAATAAGGCTGAGAAGGAGCAGCGCAAGGCGGAGAAGGAGGCCAAGAAAGAGGGCAAGGACAAGAAGCGGAAGCGCGGCAACGACGCCGACGAAGACAGCAAAAAGCGCAAGTCGGGGTAGGCGGCGCTCGTGGAGATCGACAGCGGTCGAGTCCGGGGTCGTCGGCGCACTCATAGACACTTCTGGGCATATTTGGCATTCCTGCATGGATACAGTGAGCATTGTGTGACTGATCGGTGTGGTGGCAGGTTGTGCAGAACCCCCGTGTGTTCCTTATCTTTGAGTGCCGAATCAAGCTCCTTCCAACTGAGCAGAGCATGACTTCCAGGAGCAAGCTCCTTCCAACTGAGCAGAGCATGACTTCCAGGAGCAAGGGTGAGTGGTCGGCGGAGCTGCGACTTGGAGCGCCGGGGGGCCTCAGCACATTCGCTCTAATGCTCCCAATGCGTAATCCACTGACTGCTTGAGTCTTGACGAGGACTCCTCAGCGTCCGGGCTTGGAATACGCAACTGATGAGGACACCCGTGGCACGACGCTGACGGTGCTCACCAGCTCTATAGCTCACTAGAGCAGGAGAAACGATGCTGCTGGGAAGTAACACAACCGGCTCCCGCCTCAATCTGAATTTCATCAATCGACCCGCACAATTCAGCACCTGTTCAGATGCACGCCGCAAAGTCAGAGCAGTATCCCATGACGACTGGACATGTATGCACAGATAAATGGATGCCTTTGAACGAATGCAGCCACTGCTGCGCAAATGGGTTATGAGCCTTAGTGTGTCCCAGAAACGCTCCGAAACTTCGTATACTCCGTCAGTGCGCCGCGAGTGATGTCTGGCAGCCAAGCATTCACCCATGCAGCATCTACTCAATTGCCGCGTGTTCGAGAGGGTGCATTGGGAAGATTGAATAGGGGGGCTATGCACATTCACTGAAAGCTTCGACTCAGCGCTCACGTGAGCACGCGTCCAGTATTATTTAATCGCGTTGCATTCATCCCATCTTCTCACCTCATTCTATCATCTCAACCCAAGAACTTCCCGCTTCAAGCCTCCTCTCTCTGAATCTTGTCCTCCCACTCTACCAGTCTCGGAATGGACATAACGTCACAGCCCTTCACCATCTTCCTCCTCTTCCATCCCAAGAGGGAGTGCATCGTGATGCGCTGCAGCCCGACCGCTGCTTTCCGCCGTGTTCTACATGCCTACGCTATGAAGACGAAGGAATGCGTCACCGCTCTCCGCTTCGACGGCACGCCGATCACAGCGGACTCGTCCCCCAAGGACTTGTGTCTGCCCCAGGGCGCGATCGTCGAGATCACGGGCGTGCACACGTTTAGTAAGTGTGAAGCGGGAGTGGTCTTATCCTGTAGCCGCGGAGTGCACTAGCAGCGGACACGTCTGCCCATTGCATGAGCGTGACACGTCCGGGAACAAGCTCGCGATCGGCCCTCTCTTCCTTGACACCGGGGGCGTGGAAGACCGCATTCAGTGCCTCGAGCTCGAGTGAGTCTGTTTCGTCCTACCATTCCAAGGGATCGACTGCAACGAGCGGTGCATGAGAAGGGATTTTGTTGTTGTACAGCATATTTGATGCCACCCAGACTGGCTGCATCGCAATTCTGATTGTGGCGACTTGAGCGCGAAGGAGGTGCATTCAGCATAAGCCGGTATGCTGCTTTGGAGGCTGAAGCTGCATCTCATAGACTCACCCAAAAAATTATTCTTCAGAGGAGGGGGCGTCCAGAGCATGGGTGACGACGCTCCAGCTGTGGAGAATGTTTACATTGACAAACGCTATTCATGATTCATGACGCGCGGCGCTGGAGTCAGGGAGCGAGTGCGTTTCAATTCAAATACCAATTCCATTCGTTCCGAAAGCGTTCAGAAGACGGGACATTGCGTTAGAATAGCCAAACCATGGTAAAGAAGGCAAGACAATCGTGTTACTGTTTCCAAGGTTGCAACGCGAACTGAGACCGAAACTTAATGCTCACGACTCGACCGACCGGCATCCCTCGTACGCACTCCCTTCGAATGCTCCGAGACGCTAATGCCAGGTTCAAACCTCGATGTGGTGCAGAGATGTGAAGGGAGAACGAGTTATGAGAGATACGTATAATGCAGAAAGCGAAAATTGCAGGCTACAGCGACAAGATGTCCAAAGACGGCGAAACCACACAAGGATCATGTGCGTCCAGAGACCGGAGAACGAAGTGAAGCAGTAGTCTTGTGAGAGCACCGATACAGGTCGTGAAGCTGCATACGGCGGACTTTCAGAGACGGGGAGAGACTGTACGGGTGCACGTTATTCAGTCGACAATGCCTCATCTCTGAATCTCTGGGAAGCTGGGAATGCTACAAAGTGCGGACATGCGCGCATGTGCGGCGCGTAGATCGACGTACGTGTGAAAGAAGCCTCAAGGTCCCGAGGCCGCGACATAGGATCGGCGTGGATTGAGCCTTGCGCCCTCGGTGCCGACGCCTATTTATTGGCTCTCGTTCTCTTTCTCTTTCTTCTTCTGTCTCTCGCTCTCTTTCTCTCTGTTTCTGTCTCTCTCTCTCGTGCTCCCTCTCGTACTCTCCCCTGTACTCTCTCACTCTGTCTCATACCCCCTCCTCCTCTTGATCCTCTGCCGTCTCCCATCCTCATTCTCGCAGCCTCCTCTACACCTTCCTCACTGCCCCCTCCGCAATCCACATCATGCCCGATGAGAACGCCCACATCAACATCGTCATCCGCGGCAGCGACGGTACTGAGCGGTTCTTCAAAATCAAGCCCAGCACGGCCTTTGGCAAACTCAAGCGGGGTTACGCGAAGCTCCAAAACCTCGACATTGGCTCTCTTCGTCTTCACTATGACGGCGTTCCACTCTCCGACCACGCAACTCCGCTGGACTTGGACATGATCGATGGCGACGTAATCGAGAACTATATCCCACGTGAGTGTTTTGCCCTCCTTTGCGACAGTGCAAAGTTGCTGATGGCAGAGGTGGGCGGCGGCGGTTCCGCTTGCTTTGGACGGCCTGGCAGCCTTCCTTCCACGGCAGAGCGATACATCATCAGCTGGTTCCCATAGTCGCTGGCGCTTCAGTTCTTGAGCAGGCGCTGAGAGCGCTGCTGTCGCGTGCATGATGACTTGCAGATGTGTAGAGATGCTTGTCCGCGGACCTCATTGGCCTTGTGCTGTAGACCACCACAAATTAGCATGCTACGCTTTTGAGTTAGGAAGGGGGACACGATGTGGAAGAAGGCTGCACCAGTTTATACCCCAAGGGCCGGCATCAGCTTCACTCGCACCCGCCTCCTCTTCATGATCCCGCCTTCCTCTCTCACTTTCTCTCTTTCCACCAACTCTTGCTCTTCTCCAATTCTCCGCACGCCCTCACGATGTCCGCCGTCCTTGACTCCCCCTCGCACATCTCGGTCAAGGTCCGCGACAGCCGCGGCGGCGTGATGACTCTTAAGATCAAGTACACCACCCAGCTCGCCATGCTCGTGACGGCGTACGCGGCTTTCAAACGCCTGCATCCCATCCACATCCGCTTGTTCCTCGACTACCGCGAGCTCCGCCCCGACTGCTCTCCTCAGGAGGAGGGTGTGTGTGACGGCGACACCATCTACGTGATGGTAGACAGTGAGTAGGTGGCTGGCGGCGCTGACAGCACTGTGAGGACGTAGGCGCTTCCTCATTCATTGGCTGGCGTGCCGCACTTGCCTTCCCCGAGTCGTGCACTTCGAGTTCCCCGTTTGGTTTCTGTAGTGATGGCGGCCAGGACGTATTCCCGCGCCTGCTGCCCGTGGTTTGTAGTGTCCTCTCTGTGTGATCAGCGTGAGCTGTCATGCATGTCCTGTGACTGAGAAGATCTGTGAGCCGAGCAGAGAGAGGTGATAGAGCTGGGCTTAATCACTTTCTTCCAATGTCGTTTGGTCTTCGCGATGACACAAGTAGAGTAGCATCCCGAAATCGAAGAGTTGAACTGGGCATCAGAAGGGCATTCATATCACGTGACCGTCGACCTCCACCTTGAAAGTTCGCACTTGCCACTGATCCGCACACGACTCCATCCACCATCTCCAGCATGCCTCTGCCAACGCCGGCCTCTCTCGGCCTCCCCGCCAAGCCCAGCTCGGGCTCGACCTCCGCCGCGCCATCCGCGCTGAAGCGCCCAGCACCCCATCCTTCCACTCCATCCACTTCCGCCTCCGCCTCCACCTCCACCCTCCCAAACTGCTCAATCTGCGACGCTGCCGACAAGTACAAATGCCCGCGCTGCGCCGCGCGCTACTGCTCCGTCGCGTGCCGCAACGCGCACCAGTCTAAGACGGGATGCGACGGTGTGCGGGACCCCGCGGCCTTCGTGCCCCTCGCAAAGTTCACGCAGGGCACGTGGGACGGGGACTACGCAATGCTCGAAGCGACGCGCCGGCAGGTGGCGGCGTTCGGGGAGGGCGTAAGCGCCGACGAGGTGCGCGGGGCCTCGACACGAGGGCGCGGGCGAGGGCGCGGTGCGGCGCAGGTTGGACGGCAGCGCAAGCCCAAGACCGACGGGTTGAAGTGGGCGCTGGCGCAAGTCGGGGCCGAGGTCGACATCCTACCCGACGGGATGCAGAAGCGGCGGCAGAACCAGAGCAGCTGGAACCACAAGTGAGTCTCCCTGAGGCCCAAGGGCATGATGGATCTGGAAGGCGGCTGATGCCAGAACCCAATCTCTCGCTATCACGCTCCATCTCCTCCCGTCAGGCCGGCTAGCAACGGACGACAAAGTGCCCGTCGCGGCGCGCGTCCCCGTCCTCCCGAACGCCGCGACGCTCGCCTCCCTCCTCCCCGAAGCTTTGCGCACCACCGACGTCGTCTACGCCATGCCCTACCACATCCCGCGGCGGCGCTCCGCCGAGCTCCGCCCACCAGGGAGAGGCGCGTACTTCCCCCCCCTGCCCGGCAGCAAGGGGCTCGACGTCGCGCTGCACGGCACGGCGTTCGTCGAGTTCCCCGTCGTGCATGTGTTTGCGCGCGACGAGTGGGAGCATGCGCTGCGGTACGGGATGGTGCGCGTCATGCCGGGTCTGCAGCCGCCGAGGGAGGCGGCGGAAGGGGCGGGGGAGCAGCCGGCCAAGCGGGCCAGAGTCGGGGAGACGGTTGAGGGAAGCGCACTTGCCGGGCTCGGGGATTACGGCGACTCGGACGAGGAGGCGGAGGAGGGTGTAGGCGAGGGTGCGGAAGGGGGTGAGGGTGAGGGTGAGGCGGAGGCGGAGGGAGAGGGCGGTGATGTCACCATCGACCCTGCGATGGCTGAGGCGCTGGGAAAGGCGCTCGAGGCTGACTTCGGGCCTGCTTAGGTTGTATGCATGTGACTTGGACGGTGTGGTGGTCATGGCTGGTGGCAAATGTCTGGAAGAGCCAGTTTCAGCGAGCGGTCAAGGATTAGGACGTTAGCTATTCGTGAGACTCAGAGAATGTCGGGCGCGTATCTGATTTCTTTCCGTTCCACACCACGTCATCCGACCGCAAGGATTTACTCGGCAGCTCAACGTTGTCAACATGTCTCACGCTGCCTGCATGGCCCTTGAGCACCGCACGTGATGCCACGTCGAGTACTGTCGACTCGTTGCCGCCTGCATCCACCCTCTGACGTCCTCTGTCCTGCTTGCATCCTGCTCCCGTAAGGCGTGCATGTCAAGACCGCCGAGCGCCTACGTCTTTGCTCATAGCCTACGGCCTCACTGCACGCGGTCGTCGTGCTCGTGCCCAGGGCAATCCAGATAGTCTTGGCGTGCTGGTGGCGAATAGATCTGCGACAGTGAATGGCATACGCCGCATTCATTCCGGATTTGTACTCGGCATGGCCCAAAGCATCACAAACATGGGACGAGGGTCCAAAAGATTAGAATGAAGTGACTCAGAACAACAATAAGGGCCCCACAGTCACTACTAATTCAATCCCCTCGCTGCGTACTCGATGGCTAGCACGCCAGCGTACGAGCAGCATTCACCGGCGAGCACGAGCATGCTCGCGCTACATAAATTGAGGAGTCTGAGCCAGCGTCTCTCGTCAAGTCTGTTGCAAGCATCCCCTCATAGCCTCCCTGCATCCATCATCCACTTCCATCACCTCATACAACCCGCCACATTCACCCACCGCGTGACACCTGTTCGCCACACGATCCTACTCTCACCATACGGCCAGTTCTCAACCCACCTACCCCCATGGGCGACTTTCTCATCCTGGCTTACATCACGATTTCCGAAACAGCCCAAATGGTCGCGGTGCAGGCCGCACTCACCCCGTTGCTCCTCTTCATGAGCGTCGGCAAGATCAGCCTCAGCCTCGCGCTGCGCCTCGGCGGCTTTATATTCGCCACCGCCCGGATCGTCTCAGTCTGCAACGAGACGCTCGAAGCAGCCAAAACGGCGCACACCCTCTGCTTCTACTCTCGGAAGTACGTCCCCCCCTTGCCACCTAACATTAGGCGCAACCTGCTGCTGTACGACAATCTCCCCGTGCTGCTGTGGGCGTGGGTCGTCGCCCTCCTGCAAGTCCTGCACCTCTGGCTCCTGCGCACGCCCCACTGGTCCCATCTCCCGCTATACATCCTGACGCTGCGCTCGCTCGCACTCGTCTTCGCGACCACGCGCCGCCTCTACCCCCTCCTCCCGCCCGGCTTCCGGCTCGACCACGCCCGGTAACCCCCCTCCCCGCCTCGCTGACGCCAGGTGGACGTACCTCGGCGAACGCCGTCCGCGGGCCCTCCGCCGCGTCGGCGCAACCCACTTCCTCCTCTGGATCCAAGTACTGTACTTGCGCGCCCACGGCGTCGAGCCCGAGCAGTGGGTGCGCGCGAACCGCCCCGAGTGCCCGTACGCCATCAAGACGCGCATGCGGGCGCTGCGCGCGCTCGAGGAGACGCGGAAGGCGCAGGCGCGCAGCGACGCGTGGGACCGCGAGTGGCATCGCCGGTGGGACGCAGAGCGGCCGGCGCGCGAGGCCCTGTTCGCGGATACCGCGTGGCGCGAGCGGCGGCGCGCGCAGGCCGCGGCGGACGCCGCGTTGGTCGGCCCCGAGGCCGCCAAGCGGCGCACGGAGCGCGCGTTCGAGTACCGCCGTAAATGGGAGGCGGGGACTGATGCCGTTACGGTCGGCTACATGTTTTGCTAGGCGGGGGTTGTCAGCAAGCAGCATTTGTATTAGGTTGTGTGAGGAATTTCTAGGAGTGGGGCATCGTACATGCACATGGTTCACGGAGTAGTGGGGCAGGACTGGCATCGGCAGGCACACGTTCCACAACCACCTTCACGACTATCCGCCGCTATCCATGCATGTGCATACAATCCATCATACAAGCCAATCTCCCGCACTGACTACCACTCTGCCGCTGCGTCTGCCGCCTGAAAGCCCGCGCGGCGCATTAAAACCCGCTGAAGGGTTCCTCTACCGGTCACCAGGGTGCTGCCATCAGCAAACCATCCCGCGTTGCGTCCACTCACCATGATTACGAATCCCTTGTCCACATCCAGAACGCTGTCGCCGTCGTCGACGAATGCGAGGCGGTACTGCCCGGCCTTGGCGCCGGCGTCGGGCCGTGCGCCGCGCGCAGTACGCCCCATCCCCGTGCCGGGAATGGGCGGGGACACGACGGTGGCGCGGTAGAAACTCGTCGTCTCGGGGTAGAGCGCGAGCACCTGTGTGCCGCGCGGGAAGTCCTCGAGGTTACTGGGGTGCGAAGGGCTGGAGGTAGGCGCGTCCGGGTCGGGAAGGAGGAGGATGTCGCGCAGCCGCGCGGTCCAGCGCAAGCTGGTGTCGTCGGCGTCCTGGACCTCGTAGCGTTTGTCGCCGACGGCCTTGCGCACGATCCCCAGGATCCACTCGTCCTCCTCCTCCTTGCCCTTGCCGCCGTGCGCACCCGACTTTTGCTTGACGACGATCTTGCGGCCGGGCCGCAGCGGCTGGTCCATCTCGGTCCGGGCGCGCTTGGGGTCGCGCGCAGGTGTACCGGCCCGCACTTGGGGTGAGGGGAGGGAGGAGAGCTCGGAGCCCTGTGTCGCGGGCGCGGGCGACGCCGAGGCCACGCTCGGGCGCCGCTTGCGCTTCATCCCCGAGGGCGGAGTCATGAGGCCGTCGCCGGGCGGCGAGGCGCGGGGCGTCTCGCCGCCGTTGGCTGCGCGCCGCAGCTCGATCAGTGTCGTGATCTGGTCGATCGCGGTCTCGAGCTGCGCCGTCTGCGACTGCGCGGCGCGCCGTTCGTCCCCACTCGCATCTTTCCGCTCCATGCCGCGCAGCGTGTCGATGAAGCGGTGCCACGCCTCGGTCATGGCTGATGGAGGTAGGATGAGGGCGGAGCACAAAAAAGAGGTCAAAGCGTGAGCGGGGTGAGCGGGGTGGCAGGTCCGTGCGCGCCACAATACAAGCAACCAATAGAATATGGATGGAATGAGAAACGCAATGAAGAGGGAGCGACAGAGAGAGAGAGAGGGGGGGGGGAGAGAGTAGAGTGTCAGTGTTTGAATCATTGAATGTGGTGGCGGGAGAATCTCACCCTGCTCACTCTCGACGGATGCCCTTCCGCTGAGCACGCGTGCGCGCGACATGGCGAGGGGGCGGGATGCGTGGATGGAGGAAATGATGGAGTGGGATGGAATGGGAGATGAGTTTGAGTGGAGGTTGGAGATTGATAGGAACGAGCCGATCAGAGCGCTTGGCGAATGTGGCTGGGCACCTGGGGGATCAACAAAGGTACAAAGGGCGACACGGTGGAGGTCGGCCCGACTCGCGTGTATATTGCCGGATGCCCCGACTGCAACGTCAGCGAGGATCAAGCACAAAGGTCTACGAGACAAGTACGGCGGGAAAGTAGAGACCACAAAGACGTGGACGTATGAAGAGATAGAAGAGGATGGGTGGATGTTTGAATCAATTGATGCGAGTGTGGGTGAATTGCTCACGTAGAGAGAGACGTCAACAACCTCCAAATGCGGTTTGAAGGGAACCTCGTGCCACATCACGTGGAAATACTCCCGTCCACCCATCTCGCTTCACGTCATCTCCACCAGGTCGGTGGTTCGATTCGCGCCCGCTTCCGCCTTCATTTCTCGGCGCCCGTTCCGTGTCGGCCGTCGCCGAGCCGTCATCTTGAGGCTTGGCGCTTGCCACCCACTCATTATCAGATAAATCAGCCCTCGGCCGACACATCTCAGCGCGCGCTGATCCGCGCCTCGCTCGGCCTTTGTCCTCTGCGCCAAGCGTGCCGTGCTCGTTGCATAACCTGTCAATCCCGCTGCGTTTTTTCCTCATCCCACTCATCATGCACGTCTCCGCCCTCGTCCTCGCCGCCGCCGCGGTCGCGGCCCAACCCTTCCAGGTCTCGATGCAGGCGCCGCACCGCGAAACCGAGGCTGAAGCGAGTACGTGCGCCGCCCAACAGACTAACAGCAGCCGCGAACGCCGCGCGCCTCGTCACCCACGTCACGGTGGGCACGATGGCCTCCGTTTTCCCCGAGGGCTCGGAGAACGCGGGCCACCCCTTCGCACTTATGGAGTCGCGTGCGTCCCGTCCCCGCCTGCTCTGATCCCAGACGCACCGTGCCACCCCGACGGCGCGCTCACCTTCATCTCCATGCCGATCTCGCTGATGCAGCGCAACCTCAAGGCGACGGGAGGCCGGGCGTCGTACGCGCTCGCGACGCCCCGCAAGCCCAGCACGCACAACGAGTACGCTATCCCGCGTGTCTCGTTTATTGGCGTGAGTCGAGGCGAGAAAAGGAGCTGATTGCAGAACCTCACCGTCCTGGACGAGGTCGATGAGAAGGAGCATGCGCGCCTCCGCGACTGCTTCGTCTCATACCACCCCGACGCCAAGTGGTGGATCCCGGAGGATGCGCACGGCGCGCATGTGTCCAAGTGGGCCAAGTTGTGAGTCTGGGACGGAGGGTTTGGCTGATGAAAGCGCCCCGCACGATGCGTACTACATCGGAGGGTTTGGAAAGTGAGTACTCGCGTGCGATGGAGGTCGGAAGTGGAGAGTGGGGCGATCGGCCTGAGGAATGGCGGCTCGTTTGGATGTGGAGACGAGGATTTACAGCGACAGTGGAGACTACACTTCGTGCCAGCGGAGCTGACAGCAGCGTCGGGTGGATCGGCCACATCCCCATCGAGAACTTCGCCAAGGAGCTCGAGAAGGAGAAGGAGAAGAAGCACAAGCACAAGCATTAAGCGGAGAACTAGTGCAGCAGCCAAATAGGTCTAGGCTGCCAGCAACAGTACAACTAAAACCATGCACCTTTGCCTACTACGAGACCCAACCCTGCTTCCGTCCCCAATCCATGACCTTCTGCGCCGAAGAGAAGTCGGCTTTTTGTGGCCCGCTCAGTTCCTCCTCGACCTCCAGCAGCATGCCCCATGCGGCCTCCGCACGCGTGCGCGCCATCTCCGTCTTGACCTGCGCGGCCGTTTTGGGGACTGTACGCTTGCCTCGTCGCGCGTATGGCTTGCGTAATGTCGGCGTGGAACGCAGCAGGCGCGCCGCGAGGTAGTGCAGCCAAAGCACGTTCGTGGAAGGATGGAAAGAGTCCCATGCCCCGGCCTCCTCGACGACGTCGCGCTGTTCACGGTACACGTCCCACTGGTCGCCCACGCCTTCATAGACCTCCTCGGGCAGGGCCGAGTAGACGGCCCCCTGGTCCGGCATGTCTAGGCGGGAGAGGCCAAAGTCGATTACTGTTGCGCGAACACCTGTTGATCGTGTGTCGAGGTAGTCTGTGACTGGGGCTGGTGGGTCGGCGTCGACATCGTTGATGAGAATCTGCCCCTCGTGCAGGTCGCGGTGCTGCGATCAGTTTCTGAGTGAGGACGATCTTACCTCGAATTCTGTCCACGCCTCCGCCCTTGCCAGCGCATCCGCCACCTGCCAAAACACCGCTGCTGCCTGTACCCAGCCGCGCGTGTTCTCAAACCTGTAACTCTCGAGGTCTTCTCCGCCGTTACCGAGCACGACAAGGGCGTAGCGTTGAGAGGGGAGGAAGGAGTCTGGAGTTAGTCATTGGACTGCGCTTTGAGCCCACCTGGTCTGAGGTTCTCTGTTCCACATTCGTCACTATATCGGTCCCACTCGGCCAGCAGTTGGGCTGGGTAGGTACCTTCAACGACGAATGCACTGTCAGTCAGCAAAGCTCGATGAACGTTACATGAGGCGCAGACACTCACCCAAGGAACTCTACGAATCCTCCTCCAGGCGTCTGGGACATTCGCCGCGTGATTTCAATCTCGCGCACAACGTCTGGGACGGCGGAGCAGTCCGGAAACTCAGCAACAGTCTTGCCCTTGGAGCTGGAGCCAGTTTTGCCGAGCAGCGGCACAACCTTGACGACCACCGCTCTGTCGCCGTCGCCGACAGAAAACACTTCCGAGTACGATGCCTCGCCAACCTTGGTGACCGTGGGCGACACGCCGCTGGGCAGAAGCTCAGTGAAGTCAGGGGCTGTGAAGGCGTCCGAGAAAGGAAGGATAGTTTTGCTCGTCGCGCAGGTGAGGAGCCGGCGGAGATCTGTTTCGGTTTCGGAGAGGGCGTCAAGCGAAACATTGCGGAGTCGACTTGTGACGATCTGGATCTCGAAGCTGGGCTCTCCGCGCACTGGCCGTGGGGGTGTCAGTGGCCCGTGAATGCTTCGAGTGGATCGAATCGGCTTGGGGGACGCGTGCCCGGGCGATCCCATAGATCGCCGCTTGACAGCTCTCCGGGCCACATGTTGCCGTAGAGGTGGCGGGTCATCAGTGGCTCGGGGCGTCTTGAGGGCAGCGACTCTTAAAGGTTTGAGATCAGTACGTGGCGTCTTGGGAAGGTTGCCTTTGACGGCCTTCAAAGGCGTCATTGGCTCGCTCTGGAGCTGCTGAGACACCTTGGTGATCAGTGGTGGGCGGCACGGCGTCGCCACCTTGGAGGCGGGGGGCGTCGTGGAAGAGCGGGAGGGCGACAGATCCGCATGGACGCTGATAATGCGCTGGTGGTCAGTCTGGGCAAACACAGTCACATCAAACGCACCGTTTGCTTCTTGCCGTAAGTGGTGACCTGGAATGTTAGTAGGGCTGGACGGCCTTGTTACCTTTCGGGTCTGGAAAGAAATCAGCCACGCCCCCCATCGTGTCAACTACGGCCATACTTACCCGTCCACCAAGATACGACATTGCTGTGGTCGTTGTCTGATGCAGCGTTGATGGGCTTAATGTGTTGCGCGCGACTGCGAGAGAGCGAAGGATGCGAGGAATGAAGGTGGAGGGGAGCATCATTGCTTGCTCTTGCTCGTTGTTGTTTACATGGCACGTGGGTGATTTGGTCCCGTTCGCCCCTCCGCCGCCGTGGCTGCTTTCCCTGGGAGTGGCCCAAACATGAGTGCATCATTCCACTCGATCTACTGCCCCCCACCACTATCCATCCTCCTCATATTGTCTCACGCGCCCTCTTCTTCCCATTCATCCATCAACATCATCATCAAGGTCCTCTGCTTAGTGCATGCCTTAAGGTATTGCCTCTCGACACTCCCGACATTTCCGACACACCGCCCACCATCCACCCAGACCTCTAGACAATGGCGGCCTCATCCTCGTCGTGGCCGACCCTCGAGGCATTCACTGTCGACCTCACCCAACGCCTTCGCAAAAGCGGCACCGACAGCCTCATCCAATTCGAGGCGAGCCTCAACCGCGACTGCTACGAGTGGCTCGATGACTATCTGGACAACATCGAGGCGCAGGGCCGGCGGTGAGTCTACCCCGCCGTATCGCAACTGACCCCAGCGCCCCCATCGCAGAGCTTATGAAGACACCCTCTCGCACTGCAACCGCCAAGAAGACCCGCGCTACCGCAACAGCCAACAAGGCTCGGGCCGAGCAGCTCCGCCAGTTCAACCTCGCTCTCTCCCCACTCACCAAGACGCCTGCCGGTCGCATCCCCTTGTCTCCGCTGAGAGCACAGAATGCCAACTCCGGGCCTCTGTCGCCCACCCGCTCACCACTCAAGGGCCGGGCGCTAGTTCTCTCTCCTATGCAGGAGGAGGTTGCCAAACCAGCCCCAAAGAAGCGTGGCAGGCCCAAGAAGAACGCCAACGCCGACAAGGAGAATGCTGTGCCTGTCGAGGCCACATCGAAGAGCACCCGCAGCGCCTCTTCCAAGTCCACGCCGGCGTCCACCGCACCCAAGACAACTAAGACCAGGAAGGGGAAGGCAAAGAAGGAGGGAAAGGTGGTCGAGGCTGAGCCCGAGGCAGCGGCCTCGCCGATGCCTGTAGTTGCGCCAGAACCGGAGCCCGTCGGTGACGCTGAACCCGAACCGATTCCCGTTGTTGAGGAACCGCCAACGCTGGCGGCTGCTTTGGCCGCATCTGAGGAAGAACAGGATCAGGATGCCATGGTCATTGACTCCTTTGAGACCATCCCCTTGGAGCCCGCCGACAACGTAACTGAGGCTCTGACCGATGCCATGGAGGTCGACGAACCCACCGCCCCGGCTTCCCCGGAGCTCGCCGTCATTCACCGCAAATCGCCCACTCCCGAAATTGCCAGATCACCCTCTCCTATGAAGCAGGCATCACCAATCAAGGAGGCATCACCAGTCAAGGAGGCATCACCAGTCAAAGAGGCGAGCCCTGCTCCTCCACCGGTGCCCACGCGGCAGGTTCGCTCGTCATGGCTCAGCCAAGCACTCGGAACCAACACCGTTCCCCTTGGCCACAGACTTAGCTCTCAGTTTGACCCTCTGCGCAAGAGCCAGATGGCATCGAGCCAAAGCAAGCGCAAGTCTGACGCCGACGAAGAGGACGCCGCGCCCTCGAGACCTGAGAAGATTGCACGCTTCGACGCCACCACAGCGACCGACGCTGCCTCTGGTCTGCCTGTATCGCCCAAGCACATGGGCTCGTCCCGCCCTCCAGCTTCGGCCAAGTCGCTGCCTCAAGCGCAGGTCAGCACTCCGGCCAGCGCTGCCGCTCGTCTCACATCGACGTCTGTTCCCCAGGCGCAACCACGTATGTCGAAGCTTCAGGAGATGAAGGAGCGCACTGCCGCGGCTGCCGCTGCTCGGCAAATGGAGAAGACTGCTGCGGCTGCAACGACCGATCAGGCAACAGCCGCGAACGGCGGCTTCCTGCGTAACCTGGGTGGTTTCCTCAACCGTTCTGGAGGCGCTGCAGAGAATGACGGCGATCGCGAGGCGCAGGTCTTGGCTGAACGCGAACTTTCCCGCGTCTTGCAGGAGCTTGCCGAGCAGGATATGAAGGCGGAGGAAGAGAGACTCGCCGTCGAGAAGGCAGCAGCCAAGGCTGTCGAGATGGAGGACGCGTTCGAGACAGAAGACTTTGGCAACCAGGCCATCATCATTGACGACGGGTCGGCTGACGAGTACGAAGTCAACGACTCAATCAACCTTCCCTCGCTGCCCGGCGACAACTCGTACATGGACGACGACGATGACGAGCCGATGCAAGAGACAGCTCTCTCAGCTCTCGCCGCTGCGGGGATCAAGATTCCGTCGACGACGCCGGCCCGGACACCCCCACGTCCTCAGCCATCTCGGATTGCGCGTGCGATCAACTCACCCACGCCTGCTGCCCGGCCGCGTGGAAAGACTCCCACCATCCTCGTTTCGCCTCCTCCCAAGCCCAAGGCCACAAAACCTATGTGGGCCACCAGCCACGCTCCGAGCGGAACCTCCAGCCCCGCGAAGCGCGCTACCACTCCTTCCCACCACATGGACGACGAAGCAGATGACGAGGACGACGATCGAGGCAAGAGTCGCTCGGGAGCGTCGTCTCGAAACGGGGCAAACTCTTCTATGTCGTCGAGCATGAGCACCCTCAACCAGGCCGAGCGCATGGCGGGCAAGGTCCTTGGTGTCAAGTCCACGCCCGGTCGCGTAAAAAGCGTGGCTGCGGCTGAAGCCGCCGCTAAGAAGGAGCGCGAGGAGAGAGAGCGCCGTGCCAAGATTCGCGAGCAGCTCGAGCGTAAGAAGGCCGAGGACAAAAAGCGCCGCGAGGAGGAGGAGCGCATCAGGGAGGAGGAAGAACGTGCCAAGCGTCGCGCCGACGAAGAGGAGCGTCGTCGCAAGCTCGCGCAGAACGACAAGATCCGCCGCATGAAACTCGAGAAGGCAGAGCAGCTGAAGAAGCAGCGCGAGGCCGAGGAACAGATGGCAGCCGAGGAGGAGGCTGCAGCACTGGCCGCCAAGCGCAAGGCTGCTGCTCAGGCATCATCGATGAGCCGAAGCCACAGCTCGAGCAACCTTACCAAGGCAACGGCCAGCTCGCTCAACAAGGCGGCAGGGATCAAGACACCTGGGGGCATGAAGCGCCTTGCTCCGACGCCGAGCAAGGGAACCCAACCCCTCAACCCCTCAAAGACCACAGCCGCCAAGCCCATCGCGAGCGCCTCGAGTGGGTTCCGTATGGAGGCCGAGTCTTCTTCTTCCACGATGAAGGCCGTGCAGCGGCCCACGCTTGGCCCACCCTCGCGCACCTCCGGAATGGGATCTTCCGCGGCCCCTTCGCACCCATCGACAGTGCGCACGCACGCCGCGACCGCGCTCCAGCAGCAGCGGGCGACCCTCCAGGCGCAGCTCGACCAGAAGGCGCTCGATGAGGAGTCGGAGAACATTGTGCTGCCCGACATCAACTCTGAGTACTCTGACTCGGACGACAGCGACCGTGAGACGGACTTCAAGCGGCCGGCGTGGGCCGAGTCGCCAGAGCTTAAGCAGGCGCTGGAGAACCAGGCGAGCGTCAACCCCGACGAGCTGTTCGGCCCAATCCGCCCACTCAGCATGGAGGAGCTGTTCAACGCACGTGTCGGCAAGTTCCGCGCGCGCACGTCGTCGGCCAACTGGAGCGGCGCGGACCGCCTGACCGAGGCCGAGGAGCGCGAGTACGCCCGCCGCATGGGCTTCAAGCCGATCAACGCGCCGCGCGACGGCGGCCAGTAGATAAACGATGTTGAGAAACCTGTACTGCTCGATAAATGTATCATGTCCCCTCAACGCACCGCGCCGCATGATCAGTGTTGCATTACCCCAGTCTATTGTACAGCTGTCGTGGCCTTGATGGCCTTGTCGCGTGCGCGGAACATGAGCAGGAGACCTTCGTAGACGGTCCACGCAATGGCTGAGCTCGCCGCCTTGCGTGAAACGCGTAGCGACGAGCCAGCAAAGAAGCCCGCGAAGCCGAGGTCCTGCTGTCAGACGCGAAGGCAGGAGGCTCACGGCATAGATGTGCCGCACGGCGCGCAGGATCGAAGGGTTCTCGGCCGGCGCCACTTGCATGCGGGTCTTGACGCAGTCGGCGGGGGAGGTGAGCACTGTTGCAAGGACAGACGCGGAGACGGCTGAGATGAGCGACAGTCACACCAGCACAGCTGCCCCGCCGCGTGCGGATGGCGGGGTGGCACTGGACTCACCTGACCCAGAATGCAATGCTGCATTTGGCACAGAGAGTTCTGGACGCAAGCTGAGCGCCTTCCCCGCGAGCTCCTTGCCCTTCTCGTAGAAGACGACGTAGAGGCCGGCATAGGGGGCGTCGCGCACCGCCGTCGCCGTAAAGCCCTGGAAGAGGCCGCGCACGCCGTCGGCGGCCAAGAGATGGCGGAAGGCACCCACGAGCGAGCGGTACTGCGTGTACGCGTTGGACTGCGTCAGCGGGGCCAAGTGAGGCTTACCTCGAAGCGGGCCTTGATCACCGTGATGGGGTTGAGGACGAAGCCGACGCTTGTGCGCGCGACAGCGCCTGCGCAGAGGTTGCCCGTCGGCGAGAGCTGCGCCAGCGCCGAGCGCTTGCCCTCCCCGCTCCCCCCGCGCGCGAAGTACGGGATGAGCGTCAGCTCGTGCCGGATCGCACTGAGCATGTAGAAGTAGAGCGCGACGCCGGGGACGTTTCTGCTGTCAGCTCTGCGTCGCCAGGCCTCCGGGCAGCCTGCTGTCCCGCTCCACACCTCCCACTCACCGCGCAACTGTCGGCACCGTGCCGCGCCAGAGCCCCGTCACGCCGTCGTCGCGCACGACCTGGCGCACCACAGCACCGAGCCGATGTCTGCCGTCAGCCCGTCCGCCGCGGCGCGCACCGCTTCCGGCCGACCGTGTTCCCCTGCTGCAACCGTGTCTTGAGCAGGTCGAGGGGCTGGAGACACACCGCCGAGGTGAGCCCGCTCAACGCGCCCGACGTGAGGTGGTGTGCGGCCTTGGGGCTTTTCGCCTGGCTCGTCGCCGCCTGGGCCTCAGCCATGATATGTGTGGTAAGTGGGCTGGGCGATAGCGATGGGCGATGGGCGATGCGAAGGGAGCTCAAATTACTGCGCGGTGGGTGACGTCCAATTCAGCTCTTTTCATTTCGTCATGGCCTTCCAGGTGAGTCGCCCAGCCGCCACCGCTCACCGCAGGATCGCGGCCAGAGCGTCAGCTCGCTGCTTGCGCTCTTGCGGTCGGCGCAGGACGGAGGCGACGACGGAGACGGCGCGGGTGTTGCCGGACCTGCTGCAGCTGGAGGGGGAGGGAGCGGAGCGGGCGCAGCGTCGGCTGCGGCTTCCTCCGCCGCGACACCGAATCCACCCACACCTAATCAGAACAACTCGCAGCTGAGCGCGCTGCTCGCGCAACTCGCCCCGTCTTTGCCTCCGGCACAGGCGCCGCGCGGCTCCGCGTTTGCCGGCGCATCGCATAATCTCCTCGATCCGTTCGGGCCCGTCGGCCGGTCGCCGGGCGCTGAGCGCCGCGTCTCCGCCTCTGCCTCCGCCGATGCCGATGCCGCGGAGAAGAACAAGGGCAAGCGCAAGGCGGATGAGATGGAGGACCGCGACGAGTGGAGCTTCACACGCTGTCTGCCAGCCCTCACGGAGCTGCTGAGAGACGACGAGTTCGTCAAGGAGTTGCGGAAGGTGGGTTGCGCGACCGCGCGGTTGAGGTGGGGGATGTGTGGGGGGGGGGGGGGGGGGGGGGGGGGGATACGAGCGCACACGACAGCGCGACACTGTGTTACTGTGGGAAGAGGAGCTGGGAACGGCGGCTGGCGAGCAGATGGTGGAGGCGCACGGGCGGTGGCGCAGGCTCAGAGCTCACCGCAGATGAAGAAAGACCAGGAGGCTCTCGAGCGCCGCCTGTGGGCGCGGATGGAGAAGATCAAGGCAGAGCAGATGGCCAAGCGAGCGGCGGACAACCAGATCGCCAAGATCACGCGCAAGCCTGTCCCCGCGGAGAAGGTTGCTGTGAGTACGCAGCTGCTAATCTCCACAGAGCTGACAGCAGCAATGGGAGCGCGAGCTGCAGGCGGCACTGAGCGACCTCTTTGTGCGCCAGGTCCTCCCCTCTTTCGACGGGCTGGAGGCGCGGCAGGCTGCGCGGCTGACGGAGCTCGGCGTGCCCGGCCTCGGGGGCGGGAAGAGGGGCGAGGACGCCAAGGCGCGGCAGGTGCGCGTGCGCCGTATTATGGGCGTGCTGGAGGGTGCGCTGGACTAGTTGGCAGGCTAGAGAGGCCGCTTTACTGTATTATGTACTTCATACAACATGTCTATGTCTATAGCCCCGTGGCTGCGGTGTAGTGATATGGCGCCGGCGCTTGGGCTAGTTCTCGCGCCACTGGTGTCCGCAATCGACGCACTTGCTAGTTGTCAGCTCGGGAGAGAGAGGGACTCACTAGAAAGTCGTCATTGGCTCGTCGGCAGAGCGGATCTGCAACTGGCGGAAGTAGGCGCGATGGCACTCCTGACACTTCGGGCAGTCGGCTGGGTGTGAGCGGGGAGTACAGAAGGGAAAGAAGATGATGAAAGAGGGAAGCCACTCGTTGCAGCAGCGGAGGTTGTAGAGCATCGAGAGCCGGTGACAACCACCACAATCCCTCCCAGCGCGCAACTCACCATCAGCTTGGTCGACCTTGGCCCACGCCTCAGGCCCGCCCATGACATCGTCGACCTCCTTGCGCTGCAAATGGGTGCGCATGCTAATCTGCTGCGTAATCACCCACTTGTACGGGCACGTCGGACACATCCTGGCGTCAGCCCACCAGCTCGCACCACTTCCATCCCGTACGCACCAGCACTTGTCCGGCCCGTCGTCGCCATCGCCAATGGTAAGGTTGTTGCTGCAGTACGGGCAGAACAGCATGGTGAAGTGGGTGTTGACAAATTCTTCGGCGACGGAGTGAAGCAAATGCGGGGCCCGTGCCTGAGGTGATAACAGACTGACCTGACTTGTAACCGAGTTGGTCGCAGTCATTACCTGCATCGACTTGATCACCACGTCCGCGCATCCCGCGGATCTCACAGGCCAGAAGACACCATGTCCGAGACGGCCCTCAATCTCAAGCCCGTGACGGCGACGACTGTGGGCGCCCGCCCCGCACCTAAGGCCGCCGACCTCGCGCCATGGCAGTTCGAGTACGCTCCCAGCCGGGATGGGAGCGATGCCAACCTCCTCATTATGTTCCATGGGATGGGGGATACCAAGGCCGCCTTTGCGGGCCTTGGAAGCCAGCTTAACCTCCCCGCTACGGCCGTGTTGAGTCTGCAGGCGCCGCTCGCGTGAGTATTGTGTGCATCCGAGGTGGGCGTGCGCAACGCTCGTCCTAGCTCGTCCTACGATCTCACAATCTATGGCGCTGTGTGTGCTCACACGATCACACACAACCCAACTTCCTCCGCCCGACTGACTGACCCCAGGATCCCACTCATGGACCCGCCAGCATGGACATGGTTCAACGCTTTTGACCCGCTCTTCAACCCGCTCCCTAACCCCGACCCCTCACCGACACTGCCGCCGCTGCGCGCTCTGCTATCGAAACTCATGATCCTGGGATGGGCGCTCGAAGACATCCACCTGTTCGGGTGGCAGCAAGGCGGGACGATGGCCCTCGAGCTCGCGCTGTCCGTGGGGCGTGAAGCCCTTTCCGTGAGCGCGAGCGTAGGGGGCGGGAACACTGGGACGGAAGCACAAGGGAAGCGGCTTGGATCCGTGGTGAGCGTGTGCGGCAAGCTCGAATCATTCCCCGCGTCCGCAGTCCACGCGGCGACGCCCGCCCTGTGGTTCACCCGGTCGACTGGGGCGGCCGCGCAGAAGATGGAGGCTGCGTTGCGGCGGGCCTTCTTGTCCGTCGAGGTGATCAAGGGGTTGGGGGCGGGAGCCGACATGCCGCGGGGGCGTGGGGAGTGGGAGGGGATTATGAGGTTCTGGGCGCAGGTGCTACGGAGGGGGCGGGAGGGCTGGGGCGGACAAGGAGAGGTGTACGAGGTGGAGCGAGCGCAGGGGTAGATGGTGTAGATGGGTTGATGGGAAGCTTGGGAAGGAGGAAGGAGAGCTAATCCGGGATCCGCAACTGGCGATCCCCCTCTCCGGATGCCCGCAGTCGAGGGTGCTAGAGCGATGACGAGCAGCGAGCAGCGAGCAGCCAGCAGCCAGCAGGAGGCGGGCTGGGCGGGAGAAGGGGCAAGGAGGGCAATCGGATCGGCGCGAAGATGGATGTACTCCCATTCTCACGCACGCCACACACCTACTGATGCGCACTGACTGTGACCGGCGATCCAGAGATCCGGCGTGCCAATTGCCAACGTCCACCTTCCAGACACTCGCCCCGATCGCCCCAGCATGCGCAGTACACTCCAGTCCAATCAACTCGATCATCTCCATCACCTCCCCGGATCCAGCGGCCAGCGGCTTGCCAAAGACACACCACTACACTACTGACCTCCTTACCGTCTTTTGACCTTCCTTCTCTTCCAGCGCAACACTACGCGCGACAGGCATCCCCTATAGGCCTATAAGAAGACTCTCTCACCATCAGTCTCTTTCTTTCTCTCTCTTTCTCTCTCGTTCACTCTGATTTTCCTCCGCCCCTTCTCCCTCTCCCTCTCTCTCACCCCTCTGTCTTCTCAGTTTCAACGTTCTCATCTCGCCGCTACTCACAACTCCCACGTATGTCTCGCTCTTACGTCTCAGCGGTTCACTGCTCACTCCCTTAGCGACGACCTCCCGTTTCGCCGCGGTGAGTCTACTCACTCCCCTCACACCTTCCACTGTACTCACCTCTGAACGACTCCAGATCAGTCATTTCCGTTTTCCCGCCCCTGCCACCGTGACGGCAACGTTTTCCCCTACATCCCCTATCTACCGTTACATCGACACTGCTGTGGAGTCCGGAGCGGCCATCGAGAAGAGATGAGCCCCGACGAGCCTCCCCTCCAGAGTGCTCCCGCCCCTTACGTGGCGTGGGAGCCTGCCAACCAGTGAGTAGGCTCACTCCTTCAACTGCCCATTTCCCCTCTCCACCATGCCTTACATATGCCACCTTCCCCCACCTGATACAACCCTTCAACACACTTACAAACAGCGCCGATATCGTGCTCAAGAACCACGAAGAACTGGAAGAGCGGTTCAGCTTGTACGCGCAGCGCCACGTGCGCAGCGGCATGTTCGGCGGGGGAGACGGTGGTGACACCCGGCGTTCCGGACCCACTGGAGGGGGTTTTGGCCAGCAGGACCAAGGTTGGGGAGCTCGAAAGGATGACGCCTGGAGCAGTGGGGGTGGCGGGGGTGGATGTTTCAACTGCGGCGAAAGTGGTCACTTCGTGAGTCTCCAGACCTTCATCCATCTTGTACTGACGGTAGTCTCGCGAGTGCCCTCAGGGCGGCGGCGGTGGTGGTGGTGGCGGCGGTGGTGGGCGAGGGTGCTTCAACTGCGGCGAGGATGGACACTTCGTGAGTCTATGAACCCCATCTTTTGCTGACCGTAGTCTCGCGAGTGCCCCCAAGGCGGTGGTGGCGGAGGAGGCGGTGGTGGAGGTGGGCGCGGGTGCTTCAACTGCGGAGAGGAGGGCCACTTCGTGAGTCTTTAAACCTTCATCTCTTGTTGACCGTAGTCTCGCGAGTGTCCTCAGGGCGGCGGCGGTGGCGGTGGCGGTGGTGGTGGTGGGCGGGGCTGTTATAACTGCGGCGAGGGCGGCCACTTCGTGAGTCTTCAGTTTATATCTTGCTGAGTGTAGTCGCGCGACTGCCCGCAAAGCGTCAGCGGCGGCGATGGTGGGTGGGGGAATGTTCACCCCACCTTTGACGGAGATGCGCCCATGGCATCAGCCGAGGACGACAGCTGGGGAACTCCTCCACCGCTTTCAAACTCGTCCTCGGAACCATCGGACGGCGCGGACGGATGGGGAACTCCCCTCAGTGGCCCGGCACCCAACAAGTCTCCTGGTGCGTACGTGCACCCCGACCGTGTGGCTCTGCACAAGGTGCGGGAGCCCAAGGGACCTCCTCCCGACGGCCACGGATGGGGCACTCAATCGTCTGATGTCGTTGATGATGGCAGCGGATGGTGAAGGGGTTCGCGATAGACAGTTGAGTTGTATATAGATAGGAGAAGGCACATGTATATCTGACGTGAACTCCTTTGCGGAGCAAGTGAGCTGTAGACTGACGCACTACACAATATACTGTCCTCTCAACACCTTGCGCTGCCTCGTTCTAGCGGTGTCCGGCATCCTGATCATCGTAGAAGGTCAATAGATACATGCCGGCCGGTGATATGATGGTAAAATGTACAGAGAAGCATTACAAAGCAAGGACATCTACTGCTTAGCCACGTAGTTGTTGATGTTGCCGGCGAGCACTGCGCGCACCATTCGCGACGCTAGCCCCGTGGTTTGAATGCCCATGCCGCCGTGCACATTGATAGCGCGGCGGTTGCCATTAAGGGCATGGTCGGCGCGGTACGCGTCCTTGGCGGCCTGCATCTTAAGGGGATACCGGGCGGCGCGGGTGCGCTCGAGAGCATCCTGTCGCCGCGAGAGTAGGGTGGCGGCGTGCTGCTGCTGCTGCTCAGGACTGGGATGAGCATCTAGAAGCGCTCACAAAGCCGATGGACTTACGTCAACACAAGCTCGTCAGTCCATGCGCCGGGGCGCGGGCGTTCCGCAGGCTTAGGAGCGGGCTTGTCCGGCTGGCTGGAAAGTTTGCTGAGCGTGGAGGCGAGCAGGCTAGTACGCGGCGCGGGCTTTGGCGCTGGCTTGGGCTTGCGCACCGGTGTATTGGCATTGCTGGCGGTGCTGGCGGATGGATTCGTCGAGGCCGAAGCTGGGACGGTGGGACGCTTCGTAACCCTGGGCAGCACCCGGGCCCTCTTCTTGGGAGACCCGCCCGTGGTCTTCTCCACCTTCGAGCTTGTAGGAGACTCGTCGTCGGACGGGCTCGGCGAGGGGGTCAAGTCGATGATATCGGGGTCGGACAAGGTCGCGGACTCGTCAGCCGAGTCATCTTCGTCGATAATGCGCTTGCGCTTCTCCTTCACGTTCTTCTTAGGCCTGCTCTCTGCCCCCGGCGAGGTCTGGGGCTTGCCCTCTGCCTCTGGTGAGGTCTTCATTGACGTAGCCCCCGCGACCGGAGAGGTCTTCTTCGGCTTGGTCTCTGCGCCAGGCGAGGCCTTCTTGGGGATGCCCTCTGCAGCAGGCGAAGTCTTCTTGGAGACGCTCTCTGCCGCCGGCGACGCCTTGAGACGCTTGGTCTTGCTCGCCTCCGATGGTGGGCTCTTCTTGGTCTCCTCGTCAACGGGCACCGTCTTTCTCTTGCCCCTGCCCTTGGCGGGAGCCGCGACCTCCTCCTGCGCCTGCTCAAGCTTCGCCTTTCCCTTGCCGGTGCCCGTGCCTCTCGCGGCGCGCGCAGGTGGCTTCTTCTCCCCTTCGTCGGCCTTGGTACGTTGAGTCGCCTTCGGCTTGGGCGCGGCTTCGCCCTTATTTGCAGGCATCTTGAGCTTAATCTTGGGTGCTGATGCGGCTGGCGGAGACGGAACGTGCGGTGTTGGAGCTCCGGGAGACGGAGCAGATGTGAAACCCTCTGGAGTGGGCGCGGCAACGGAGGGTGGCGAAGAGGGTGGTGAGGAGAGGCGGGAGGACTGGGAAGACGGTGGTGATGGCATGGCGGAGGATGAAAAGCTGGGTATAAGTAAGGATGAGAGAAGAGAAAGAGTATGATGATGAGTCAATTCAGTGTTTTGTGGATGTTGCGAGGGATGAATGAGGATGTGGGCCATGAATTGTTGTGACGGCTGGTGGAGGTTGCAGGCTGTGCACTGCCCCACTCCACAAGTTTGATAAGGCCACGAGCTATTACTACGACTAATTGAAGCACATGGTAATTGAGGATTTGCCACCTCCATTCTCACGTGCCTGCCCAAAAGTTGAACTTGGCTCGACATCTCGGCATACTTCACACCATCCACCACAATGCCGCGCCCATCCCTCGGAACACCCAAGGCGAAGGGTACGCCCAAGGCGACTCCGAAGGCAACACCATCCCTTGTGGCCAAGGCGACGCCATCAAAGAAGTCCAAGGACAAGGCGCCAAAGCTGTACTCCAACTTCCTCCCCATCCCCCTCGCCCTCCCCTTCCCTCCCGGTTCCTCAACACACTACATCTTCGTGCGGCCGCACAGTACGAAGTCGAGCGACGAGGAGGAGGTCGACCGCGCGTCACGCACACTGTTCGCAGCTAATCTTCCGCTGGACGCGGGCGAGCGCGACCTGCGCGCCCTCTTCTCGCGGTGGGGCGTCGTCGAAACCATCGAGGAAGGTGGCGGCGGTGTTGATGTGCTCGCCGACGCGGTGGCGGGCTTGCCAGAATCCGACGATGAAGAAGAGGAAGAGGAGGAGAAGGAGCCCCAGCCGGACGCGGACGGGTGGACGTTCGTCGGCGCGGCGCAGAAGGCGCGCAAGCGCCGACGTAAGCCGCAGCTGCCCGCGAGTGTGCCGACCGTCGTGCCGCTCGAAGGGGCGCCCCGCTCTCTGGGGCACAGCGGGGGGCGCGCGGCACGCATCGTCTTCGCGGACGCTGTGTCTGTCTCGCGCGCCTTGAGCTACTCGGGCGCGCCGATCGCACTTGCGCTCGACACGGAGCCTGCAGGCTTGAGCTTCTACGAGGCGCGGTACGATGCTTTGCGGCCCCCGCTTGCTGCCGTGCGCGCACATGCCGACAGTGCGATGGCGCGGCACGACCACCTCCACTCGCTCCTGTTGGCGTCACGCGCCAAGGTGCATGGCGCCGGTGCGCTGGTCGACGAGGATGGGTTTACCGTCGTCGTGCGTGGTGGGCGGTACGGACGGACTGCAGGGCGTGGGGGTGCCGCCGGTGTTGCGGTGGCGAGCCGGGCGGTGGCGCAGAAGAAGCGCGGGAGCGGCGCGGGGGAGCTCAAGGACTTCTACAAGTTCCAGAGCGTGGACCGGAAGCGGAAGGGTGAGTCTTGGATTGGGGCGGGCAGGGCTAACAGCAGAACTCGCAGATATGCGCGCGCGCTTCGATGAGGACCGGCGCAAGGTCGACGAGCTCAAGCGCCAGCGGCGCTTCAAGCCGTACTAGGCTGGCTAGAGGGTAGGCGGTGCTATGGATCAGTAGGATGCTCCACGACATGGGTAGCGGCGTGCCGCGTGCATATGCAATTACAGTTTTGATGAGACGTTTTCCCGTTCCCCGTCCCGACCGGCCCTCAGGCCTTCGTTCTACTTCGCGACCGTGGATTCGCGAGTCTAGCCAGGCCCCCCTCTCTATTAAACATCATCGCCTACGCCCGCTCCTTCTTCCCCTCCTCCTGCAGCTTAAGAACCTTTTCGGCCTCGCGTGCGCGATGGTCAGCCTGCTGGATCGCCCGCTCGATGTCGATGCACTCCTGCTCACGCAGGTCGAACGCGCGCTCCAGCGCGGGGATCTGCCCCGTGATGATCATCATGCCGGGATACCGGGCGGTGGGGGCCGGCTCGCCAGCCGCTGCTTTGTCGTCCGCGACCTTCTTCGCGGCGGCCTTGGCCTCCTCTCCCGGGTTATAGATGAGGGCGTCGGGTGTCGTCGTGCCGTCCGCGGCGCCGACCTCGCCCTTCGCCTGCGGCGGAAGCGGCGCCGAGCCCGCGGCCTGCTCGGCGGGGCCGGGGGAGCCGCCCGTCTGCGGCGCCTTGTCGCTCGGCAGAGGGGCGCGCGTCACGTCCGGCGCGACGTTCTCGCTCCCGGGCGGCGCGGACGAGATCTTGGCACTGTAGATCTCGTTCAGCGCCTCGCTCGGCTTCTCGGTGATCATGCCCAGCTTGAGCAGAGACTCGAGGTACGTCGCCCCGCGCCAGGCCTTGTAGTGACTCCAGGCGCGCCAGAGGACGTAGAAGAGAGGGAAGTTGGGAATGATTGGAATGATGGCGAACGGCCACGTGAGCGGCGAGCTGGGGTCAGCGGAGCACAGTGCTGGCACCTCACAGGATCAAACACCTGATCATGCTCGTGCGGTGGTGCGGGATCGCATGCAGCAGGCTACGATGCAACTTGGGGAGCAAGGGCGGAAGGCCGAGGCCCGGCAGTGTCGGCCGCAACAGCGGAATCTGGCGTCAGCATCAGTTCCGCGCGGGGGCTCGCGCGCACGCCGCGACGGGGCACCCACCTCGATCATCTCCTGCTTCTCGCCCTTTTTCGGGTCGGCGACCTTGACGCCGCGTCCCTCATGCACGGCCTTGAGGGCCCACTCCTCGTAGTTGATGCGGTCCATGAGCTTCTCGCCGCGCTCATGAAACCAAAACATCCACGACTTGCGCGGCTTGTGTCCGAGCTTGTTCCACTCGTCAGCCGCCTTGTCCAGCGCGCGCTGGTAGATTGGCGGCTTGCCCTCGGCGGCGGGCACGTCCGGCTGCTGCACATGGTAGAGCATGAGCGGTGCCTCGCTGCTCATGGGCTCCACGGCGCCGGGGGCGAGCGCATTCTTCGCGATGCTCGCTGCCGTCTCGGGGGAAACGCTGGTCTCGCCGGGCGTGGAGGGGGAGACGGCGTCGGCAGCGGCAGCGGCGGCGATGCGTGGCGTCGTGCGCAGAGGGCCATGGGGTATGCGCACGAGCGGCAGCGCAAGGATGCGGAATGGCCGCGACGTTTTGGACATTGGACGAGGAGTTGGGGGAAAGAGATGAAGTCGAGACGCAAACTCGGGCGCGAAGAAATGGAACGGACGCGCGGTGCGGCACAGGCAAGTCTTGGCCAAGTGCCGATTTACGCCCATGCCACGTGCCACGTGGGGCCAAATTACAGCGATCGCCGAGGCGCGTGGCTGGGAGCGAGGCCAACCACCGCCTCCCGCTGACCACTACGTCATGCTCTTCTCCTCCATCCATCTTTTCCTCGCCATCCGCTGCGTGCACAATTGGACACTTCTATTCCCTCACGTCCACTGACCAACCGTTAACTAAACATGGCAGAGTCAACCACGGGCCCCGGCGCACCGCCTCATCCGCACCCGCAAGCCGGCGGCAGCGGCGCGCACGGCCCCGCCGCGCCCAAGGAAACGCGTCTGGCCAATCTCAAGACCAACGCGGCTTACCTTGCCCTCGGGAACAAGGCGGCCACTAAACCCGGCAGCGTCGCTACGCGCTCGGTCCTAACGACGTTCCGGTAGGTTGGGCTCGGCGCAGACGGGCCGATGCCGTGCCGACGCGCGTACATTCGATCGCGGTTGTGGCGATTGGGTCGACGATCGCCGGGACTCGGCCGGCCTGCACCGCTTTCTCGCTCACGCTAGCTATGTCCTGCGATACATGATCCGCCGCATGTTCCGGGTGGCAAAGTACGCTGCGATCGGCGCTGGCATCGCGTTTGTCGGGACGGGTGTGCTCGGCGCTCTCGGGACTGGGATTGCATGGTTTGCCGCCCCGAGCATGGGCATGGGCGTGGGTATGGGCATTACATGGGCGATTATCAAGGTGAGTGTGGCGCGTTGGTAGCGTGGCAAGGAGGCAACTCGGGGGCTGGCTTGGTGCACCAGACATGTCGCCTTTGGCTTCTCGGATCCCATTTGCCACCCGCTCATCGCAGTTTACATGGCGACACCGGCCGGAGCGCTTCCGCGGGGGATGGTGGAGCGAGATGGCTGAGCGAGCGTTCGAAGGCCGCGATCCCGCCAAGGACGAGCAGGCGGACAACGATGCTGCCGACGCCGCTGTGCAGCTAAAGATGGAGAACCGGCGGATACGACAGGACGTGTGGGCGCGCGCCGAGGCGCCAGTGTAGGGAAGCGAGCACGATTGCATACGAAGCATGAGTTAGCGGGGGTGACGACGCGACCGACGGAGGCTGGCGCTATGCAACGTCCACATGCAGCACTTATGGATAGAATTTTGCTAGTTCATCAGAACTTGACACAGCTCGACCGGAAGCGCGCCAGATATCGTCGGAGACTTGTGCCGGTTGGTTGGGGTTCGAGTCCGGTGGTGAGAATCACTGTTAACGGCCGTACAGCCGCCGGGACTGTGGTATTGAGAATCAATAACAAGGGCCGTACAGCCGCCACGACCAGCCACGCATGTCCTTAACTTTTGTCAGCTGGAGAGTATAGTGAGTGAGCACTACGTATCGCGCCTCAGAGGGCAGGAAGCATCGTTGCGATTGAAGAGATGTGTTTGCGCGTATTGTGTGCGGATGTCAGCTCGCACGGAAACTGATATGTTGTCACGTGCGCCACCAGATTCAGCATCCACATCGTCGAGCGACCGACTTGCGCGACTTGAGGACCCCGGCGGCCTCGCCCTATCACTCCCATTCCGTTCCTCCCTCCGCTTCCTCCTCCTCCATGGCCACCTCCGCACTCCGGAGCTCGCCCTCCCGGTTGTCTCTACTGTGTGATCGTCCACCGCCTCCCAGCCATACCGCTCCTGCTGCTAGCACACCACTCTGCTGCATGCAGTAGAATACAGAACGGCCCAACCCTCTAATGGAAGCGGTTAGTGGCCGGCGGCGCGGCGCTGCTCCTGGATGATCGAGGAGAGCTCCTCGACCTTGCGCTTGGAGCGGAGGAGGGTGCCGAGCTGGCGTCAGTACTCGGCAGCCGGCGGCAGCGCCGGTGGGGGCGCAATACTCACGCGCTTCTTGGTGAGCTTCTTGGCCTTCTTGTCCTTGGAGTTACGCAGCAGCTCCATGACACGCTTCTCGTAGGGCGAGAAGCCGGCGACCTCGCGGATGATCGACTTGACGAAGGTCTTCTTCTCACTGGGGTTAGCGGGTGTTGTGGGTTGGCCGCGCAGGCGCAACGGGCAGGGGAGCGGAGCAGGCGGGAGGTCTCGACAGGCGGGACCGAGGACGGAGGACGGGGCGGGGCGGGGTGCACAAGGGCGCAATTCTGCGCGCCGCCGATGCGCGTCCCGCATCCATATCCGCCAAAATTCTTCCCGACAGTGGCATTCCCCTCTCCTCACTTCCTTCCACTTTGCCTCTCCGCTCTCTGCACCCTGCTCTCGGCCCACTGCCTGCTGCGCTCTCCCTCTACCCTCCGCCGCCGCCGCCGCGCGCGCGACTCACGTCTTGATGCCCTTCTTGTGCGAGGGCTTCACCGCCTTGGGGATGACGGTGGTGGGGTAGCCCTTGTTGAGGCCAACACGGAGGTTTGAGCGAGTGGGCGCCATTTCGTCCTGTCGTGCGAAGGTGCGCAATGGGTTGGGGGAAGGTGTGTTTGGCGGAGGAGGGATTCGACGCGGAGAACGGACGCGGAGAACAAGCGCGGAGAGCGGGAACGCGAAGTCGAGATGGAGGTATACAGCGCAGGAGCGGTCGTCAGCACTGGTGTCTCGCTCGCTGCTGGGTACGCACGATTTTTGAGGGTTGAGGAGAGCGAGGTCGATGGCGAACGTCCAAGTGGATGAGGTGGGGGGCATGAAACGCCGAAAAACGCCGCCAAACTTGTGATCTGTTAGCTTCCGTCCGGTTCGACTGGGGGAGTAGTACACGTGTTGCCTTCAGGCACCACCCCCGCTGCCGCCGTATAAATTTCCCGCGGCGCGCTCGGAATCATCATTCGCAACTCTGACTATAACCATGGCGCGCTCTCTCACCTTTATGGGCGTCGTCGGAATGGCGTTGGAGAAGAACGACCGCCATTCAAAATGCGTCGAAGCCGAGCGCGCGTCCCTTCGGGACTCGCGGGCCCGGCGTTTCGCTTTAGGCGTATATTTCATGCAGGCTTGCATGCTCGTTACGGGCAGGGGCAGGGAGGAGAAGACAATAGGTGGGAGAGGGGAGGCTAGAGCGTGCGTGCCTCGGAGTTTGACGTGCTGCGCGGGTTGGACGGATTGCTGCGCCGGAGAGCTGCGGACTGCGCAGCTGTGGTTGTGACGTGCAGAGTGGTGACTCCGACCAGTCGATGGCGGTACACCGTGTGAAGCCGCCGTCTTTGTTTAGAGCTCTCTCGGCAGGTTGCAGGATACACAAAGTATTCCGGGAGCACGGTACTCTACGCGGCCTGCCACCCCCTCCCCACTCTGCGAGACCAGGCCGATGCATGCATCAGTCTCGATGCCACATGCACGCACCAACACCCCGTCTCGAACGAAAGTCATATGCATTGTCACACCAGCCCAGCAAAGCTACAAGGTTCGAATCTATCCATCTATCACCAAGATCAAAGCATCGCGCCGCCGGCGAGCGCGATGGCCATACTTGCCAAGACGGCGGAAAGGAGAATGGATGGCTGCGCGACCGTCGCGGCCGAAATGCGGTTGCCCGTGCCGTTGGCGGCACCGAGACCCGCGTACAGCTGCATGTTGCGGAAGTACGAGAACTGCTGCACGGGCGACGCCCATGTGCTGTCGTACCCGCCAAAGAAGGTGGAGAAGTAGACGCCGCCGATGCTCTCGACCGTGTCCGAGTTGCGGATCTCGAGGTTCTTGAACTCGAACGCCTTGGTGCCGTTGTAGTAGAACGCCACGACGCCGTTGGCGATATCCGCTCTGTTGAGCGCGACGTACAGCCACACAGTCTGCCATCTGCCCGTTTGGAACGAGTACTTGCCGCGGCCGAGCGACGTGCCAAAATCGTTGTTGCACACAACGTCGAGAGTCGAGCAAAAGTTCTTCTGCGAGGTCGGGATGTATGCATACACCTCGCCGAGGGCGCCGTCGCGCCACATCAGCCGCGAGGAGAAGCACTTGAACTGAACGGCCTGGTGCCCGCCCGAGCAGCCGATGGGGTCCGGCCCGCCGCGCAAGCCCGGCAGCTTTCCGCCTTTGTTGAACACGAAGAAGTCGTCAAAGTAGACGTCGTACGAGAGGAGCATACGCTCGAACTGCCCATTGGAAGTCGTGTTGGGGAAGATGTTCTGGGACTGGGACGTCGCGTTCAGTGGCTGTGCGTAGAACTGCGTTCCTCCTGTTCCGGCCGAGTAGGAGCCTTTGGGATACTCGATGCGGAGGACGGGTGTGTTGTCCTTGGCGGCAAGGACGTCTGCGCGCCCTTCGAGATCGGGTGCATCCGCATCTCGACGCGTCAATGGGGCTGACGGATCGGCGACGAACGCACTGGCGTAAGCCTTGCAATCTCGTCCTAGTCAACGTACATGTCCTCCTTGCCAAAGCTGATGCCGTGTTGGCTGTTGATCGACCACTTGTCCAGAATCCAATTGTCAGCCTCGCTGCCGGACAGGGCTTGTGTGGGGAATGTAAAGTTGTATGATTCGGTCAGTCCGTATGTTGCAACGACGTCCGCAAGCTGCAAGGCGGCAGCGGGCGAGATGGCCGCGACAAGCGCCGCAATGTATGCAAGGCGCGCCATGTCGAGTGAGGGGAGGAGGATCTCGGAAGGAAAAGAGGGCGTGTTGCTGGGCGCGTTGGATTGAAGGACGGTTTCAATGAGTGTTTCAGTTGGCCTGTGCACGGGCAATCACGGCTGGGAAGCACGCGGGCGTGATTCTGGCTGCAGTACCCGAGTGACGAGGGTCGGAGTATCGAGTGAAAAGTACGGCGAGGTCGTCGCCGCCACAACTGTCCCGGACACGGACAGCGTACGGGCAAGACGATGCGTGTATAAACAAGAAGCGAGCGAGGGATCGATTGGTGGCGTCTGGTGGAGCGGGGCCAGAGTCCAGGGATATGAAGGAGAGATTGGAAGTGGAGCGAGTCTGGAAGCCGAGGAGTACGACGATGTTGAGTAAATGAATGAGATGAGATGAGAGGAGATGAGAAGAGATGAGAAGAGATGGAAGAGAGCGGCGAGGCGATGAAGAGAGATGAGATGGAAATGGAGCGGAGGCGGCGGAAGGAGCGGACGGGGAGGAGGACGCGTGCCCCTCTGGACCCTTCCCTCCCTCCCACCCAAGAAACTATTCCGGGCGACGCGACGCACTAAATTACCCTTCTCTCCCTTTCTCCCTTGAATCGCCAAGACTCGCCGCCCTCCAGCGCTCATCTCCTCTCGTATCTCGTCGCCATCTCTCTCTCTCTCTCTTTTACACTACTCGGCGCTCCTCGCACCCAGCCGTCGCGATGCCGAATTGCCGAACGCCAATACGCCAATACGCCAAGGCGACAACGACCTCCGCAGCATGAGTGCGGTGCTGTGGTGACGAAACGTTAGAGTTGGGTAAGAGGCACATGGCACTTTCGGCACATCCGGTGTTCTGACGTATCCCACTTTTGGCCCATTCATCTTCGTCTTTGGCCTCTGTTGAACGTCCTGTTGGCCGTCGTATGTCTCATATGGCTCATCGGCTCACGGTAGCATCCAGATTTCAGCGCTGATAATAGTCGAGCAGTGGGTCATGAAGCACGTGCATCTCGTAGTGCATGGACTGATCCCCTGTCTGCGTGGCTCAATGCGTGCTGACGATCATCCCGATCTCTGGCGTCTCCTTCTACCATGAGGACGTATGCTCGTCATATCATGCTGGGCCGACAGTTGAGCTACCAAGCCGAGGGAGGTCGCCCGCCCGTCACACCTCGACCTTGGCTTGGAACGAGTCGAGGCCATGGGGCTGGAACTATGCTGTTCTGAGGGAGAGTGGGCGCCTACTCTTCCGATTGCCATTCGAACCTTCAGATAGAAGGAGAGGCGCGGCAATGGAATTGGAGTGGGGTTGCCAGGGAGCAAGTTCTTTGGCCAGTTACACTTTTGACTCCGTGAACCTGGGCGAGTTATCGCAGTTCCAAGTAGTTCAGTCTAAAGCGACGAGTTACTTCGGGTGGCAAGGCGTTCACACAGGCAAGGTGAGCTGACGGGTGGCGCCGCCTGTTACTTTTCGAAGAGGTCCACTTCATCGTCGGCGGTCACTCAATGCTGAAACAAGGTGGTCCACTCTTGCGCCCACAGAAGAACGTTGGGACTATGCTATGGGCCACACCCGAGCCACCAGTTTCGCAGCGACCTTGGCATCGCGGAATCGCAGGGTCGTAAGATCTGTGCATGATGTTGCAACTGTCGACACAATCGCCTTGGTTCAATCCCCTCGGCGACCCTCGCTCTCATCAGCAGAGGTTTATGCACCCATTACACACGTATACACCTTATTCAAGCCAAGCCATTCCACCCAAGCCACAAGCCGGCGGCACTTGACCCCTGCCATTCCGCGGCTCCACACTACGTCAGAGCCATCCGGCGTTGCCGTTCCTCAGCCTCTAGCCGCCGGGTAGCGGGACGCAGCTTCGGCGCCAGCCATCGTCATCGTTGGTACTATTTCCCGGCTGAACCGCCGGCATGTCTCGGCCCACTCATGCCATCTTAGCTCCATTTCAGAGCTTGCTGACAACGTCAGCCACAACGGCGGCATGCGAAAGCAATGTATATGGCCTGGAGCAATGCCGGCCCCACATTCCCTCGGGCAGCATGAGGCAAGAAGCGACAGGGGGTCGCCGAAGCGCCCACGTATGGAACATATAACCCCTCGCCGCTGACTCGTTCCCCCATAGCTTCGAGCCATGCTCTTCACGTACCTCCTCCTCAGCCAGGTGGCTGCGCAAAGCCTCGCGGACACAGGTCCGCAGGCGCCGCCCGTTTCTGCCAACGGGACTGCGCTCGCGAGCACCCCGGTCCAGTCCGCCAGCTCCTCTCTCGCCACCAGCCCGAGTACAGCCACCCGAAGTGCCGTCACCGGCGGTTCCGGCGCTGGCTCGGGGTCAGCGACAGCGCCGAGCACGGCGATCCCTTCGGCGTCGGGCTCGCTCGATGCCCCCGTCCCCGGCCAGGACATTGTGCCCCTCCCGCAGTGGTGGTGTGCCGACAACGCGACGTACTGCCCCGGTCGGCTACTGCAGGATGTGCAGCTCAGCGGCGTGTTCCCGGACTCGAAGGTGGGTATGGGCCGTAGCGACGCTGACATCAGACATTTGTTGACAAGGTATGTCGGCGCCGATGAGATCGGTGATCGGGATTGGTGATCGGCGAAGATCCCTAGACGCCGTATGGCGCATTCCGTTTCTCGGCGTGCCGTAGCTAACCGCAGCCCACTAACGGGTCTCTAAATGACACGCTGAACGCCTTCAACGCCCTCGGATCGAACGTCACGGTCGGCGAGATCGCGACGTTCGCGTCCGACTGGTTCAAGGGTGAAGGTCTCGAGCTCCAGCCCGTCGAGATTGAGGGCTTCAACCCGAACCCCGCCATTCTCGACAACGTCACCGACCCGCTGTACCGCGCCTGGGTCTCCACGGTTCACGGGTACTGGACTCTTCTGATCCGCGCGACGAACGAGAGCGCGCTGTGCCAGCCGGGCCCGGATGGCTGTTCGTCCTCCCTCATCCCGCTGAACAACACCATTGTCGTCCCCGGCGGCAGATACCGCGAAGTGTACTACTGGGACAGCTACTGGATTCTGCAGGGGCTCCTCGCGAGCGAGCTCGAGAACTATGCCTTGAACTTGCTGCAGAACTTTATGGACCTCCTCGACGTGCGTCCCCTCTGGACCCGCTGACGCCAGGCTTACGGATTCATCCCTAACGGCGGGCGCAAGTACTACCTGAACCGCAGCCAGCCGCCGGTGTTCGCGCACATGGTGCATGCGTACGTGACGCAGACGGGGAACACGAGTGTGCTGGAGCGCGCGCTCCCGCTGCTCGACGCGGAGCTGCAGTGGTGGGAGGTGAACCGGACCACGACGGTCGTGTCGCCGTGGACCAACAAGACGCACACGGTCGCGCACTACGCCGTAAACAATAGTGCTCCGCGCCCAGAGGGGTTCGTGGAGGACCACGACGCGGCTTTCGGCACGCCCGACCACCCGCAGAACTTGACCGAGCAGCAGCGCTCAGACTTGTACGCGGAGCTCGCGAGCGGCGCCGAGTCCGGATGGGACTACACGTCGCGCTGGTGTCGCGAGCCCCTGCTGAATGAGACGGACAACAACGTCGTGCTCCGCACCCTCAATGTGCGCGGCATCATCCCCGTCGACCTCACAGCCCTCATGGCAAGTAACCACTACCTTGTCGCCGAGCTGTACGAGATGTACGGCGGCGGTAAGGGTTCGGGCTCGAAAGACGGAGGCGGCAAGGACTCTGGCTGGGGAGGAACCTCGACGTCTCACCCCACCGGAAGCATGGCCCCGCGCCCTAGTATGTCGCAGCCGGCGTCCCCGCCCGCTGAGTCGCCCTCGGCAGAGCGGCCTCCGGCTAAGCGACAGGGGGCTGACCCCGCGCTGTCCGTCCCCGAAGGCGCGAACGGCCCAACCCCCTCCCTCCCACCCATGCCGACGCCCACGCCACAGGGCGCCGACCCGGCCTTGAACCCCAGCCAGGGCGGCGGCGACGGAACTCCTTCCGATCCCGCTGCGGCTCCTAGCGATGGCGCCTCATCTCCCGCTGCGCCCTCGCCCGAGTCTGGATCGCCGGCGATGCAGCCTTCGCCCTCGCCTAACGCTGAGTCCCCCGCTACTCAGCCCTCGCCTTCTCCCAATGCCGGTTCACCCGCTGCGCAGCCCTCGCCTTCGCCGAACGCTGGCTCTTCCCCCGGCCAAGCATCACCTTCGCCTAACGCTGGCTCCCCCGCCGGCACGCCTCACGCGTCCACCAGCGCCGGAGGCATGACTGGCGGCTATCCTCCGTCCGGCGGCAACCACACCGGCGGTGGTGGTGGCGGTGGCTCCGACAAAGCCGCGGCGCACCGCGCCAAGGGCGACGCATACAAGGCCGCTGTCCTCGACCTGCACTGGGACGCGGAGCGCGCCTACTTCTACGACTACAACATCTCGGCACACGACCACTCGCCGGTCTACTCTCCCGCGGGCCTCTGGCCTCTCTGGCTCAACATCACGCCTCCGGGCCTGGAGGGGAACGAGACGATGGCGCTCGCCATCGCGAGCGGGCAGCGCTTCATTCTGGGCAAGTACGCTGGTGTGCCGTCTGTCGCGAGCCTCCTGAAGACTGGCTTGAACTGGGACTTCCCGAATGTCTGGCCGCCGCACGTATACAGCACAATCAAGGCTTTTGAAACCCTCCACCGCCTCGTGCCGAACGCGACGACATTCGACGCCATCGGCATCCCGTTCGACCAAGTCGCGCCGCGCCAGCTCAACCTCGACGAAGCGCAACTGCCGGAACAGCCGCAGTCGACGATCGGCAACACCTCGCTCTTTACGAACGCGTCCGAGCCCTGGCCGAAGCAGATGGTCATTGAAATCGCAAACCGGTACATGACAGACGCATTCTGCTCATGGTACTCGACGGGCGGCGCGATCCCCGGCGTCCTCCAGCAGCTGCCGCTCTCCGACCTCAACGCGACGGGCACGTACACCTCCGACTCGGCGGGACACATGTTCGAAAAGTTCAACGTCACGGACCCAGACGCGGCGGGCGGCGGCGGCGAGTACACCGTCCAAATCGGGTTTGGGTGGACGAACGGCGTGGTGCTGTGGGCCGCGGGACGGTATGGGCAGTACCTCCCCACGCCGACGTGTCCGCTCATCCCTATTGTCATCAACGACAACGGAGGCGGTGGAGGCGGTAATGGCACGGACGGCGGCAACGGCACGACGCATGATGCCGGCGCTAACGCTACCCACGCCGGCACGAATGCCACGCAGGCCATGTTCCGCGGGTACCGCATCCCGCGCAAGTAAGGACTTTGAAGTGAAGCAACAATGCAGTGTGTCTGAAGATAACGAGGAGTGGGAGATTGAAGGCGAGGGCGGGGAGGGCGGAGGAGAGAACGGAGGATTGTGCCGCTCCCTGGAGACGCAATGAAGCACTGACCCCCACTACTACTTGCGGCGTCCGGCGAGGCGGTCCGCTCTTCTGACGTTCATGACGGTGATTAATGCTAATTACGCTCATCGCGGGAAGTCTCCCATCTCCATCGGAGCATCACTCACCATCGCGGATCGCCCATCGCCCGACGCCCACTCCCGCCATCGCGCATCCGAGCTCCGCAGACCGCCACGACGTCTTTTGTCCAAAGGAGGTCAGAGAGTGCGAAGAGCCGTGCAGCAGTTCCAGCCCCGCATCTCCCTCATCTCCCTGTACGCTCGGACACGTCGTCGCTCGCTTGCCTGGGACGATCACTCTCCCTCCCGCCATCCTCCAATCCTCATCTCCCTCGTATCCGGGCTGTCGTCGCTCATCGATCACGGTGCTCAGCACGACCCTCTGGACCAAACACTCCAACAGGCAACACGTAACGGGATATCTGGCGCCCCAGCCACCCCCTCCCCCTCTCCCTCTCGCCCCCGCCTCGTGTTGGTGATGGGAACGAGGTGGACGTGCGGGGGTCTGAGCGCGCTCAACATGTCGCCTGGAGAGACGGTGGGGTGGTGGTGCCTGTGGCATGCGAACGGAAATCATTCGCGTCCACGTCTCTCCAGAGTACATATTCCTCACTCGCCTCATCCTCGCACACAACAACTTGTCCCCCTCTTCATCCTTCCACTCCTTTTCCCCATCTCCCACTTCTTTTTCTCCTTCTCCTCTCTATCCATAGCCACTCACCCCATCCCATCATTCACCACGTAACGACCTCCACGACACGACACATAGCTCTCCAACCCCGGCGCTCGCCACGCTCGGAGTACGACTCACGATCACACTACCCCCGTTCCGTCATCCGCTCTCATTGCGGAGAGGAACTCGGCCGCACGCTTCCCCACACGTCGTGAGTGACCCCTGCGCCATGACCGTCGTGTTTGGTGTTTGTGAATGCTCGTCTGAACGACAGATCTGCGCATCCTCATCATTTGACTCCACCTCGCTGTCAACTCGACTCTCACATCAACCCATCTTGTGACGAGCTTGACGAGCGTCCTAGCCCTACAGCGCAGACTAGCCACGAGTGAACGCGCATCCTAACGACTTCACCACGACCTTCCTCAATCATACCCAGCACGACCTACTACAACACCACCATTCACTCCCTCCTAATACCCCTCTTCACGACCGCCACGACCCCTCCCCACGACCTCACGACTCACTCTCACGGCCCGCACTACCCACGTCTCATCACCCACCATGTCCTCCGGCCACCACCTCGCGCCGGACCGACGCTCGGCTTTCAACTCGCTGCGCAAGATGCCCTCAACGCTCTTCCGCAGCGACAAGACTGACGAGCCCCTCACTCAGAAGAAGCCCCGTCGTCGCGCCCTCGCCAGCTTCCTCGGTCGCAAGCCGCCCCCTGACAAGACGCCGCAGAACAAGCAGCGGCCCAGCTGCGGACCCGACCCCTTCGTTCGCCCCGAGGGTGTGCCTAGCGTGCGCCACCACTCGCCACAGCCGCCCATCCGTACCACCTCGGTGCATCGGCAGCGCATCACTTCAATTCATGGTGTACAGACAGTACACATTGACGAGGTGGACTCCCTCGACGACCCCTTGATTGACGAGTGAGGCGCCTTGTGGCACTGCTGACACCAGCGACAACACGCCCACCACGCTCGAGGAGGCGCCACGCGTGGCTCTCGACACTGATCGGCTTCCAATGCGCCACGCGTCGCTTCCATTCCGTCCCAGGAAGTCGCAGCTCATGTCGCTCGCCGAGGTGCAGGAGCCAGAGCAGCCTGCTTCTAAACCCCCGCCGACACCGCCGCCAGAGTCAAGCCCCCCCAAGACCAAGTCCCGCTTGATCAAGGAGAAGACCCGCTCGCGCGTCTGGGGTGTCCTCACGGGCAAGCGCTCCTCGAAGGCTAAGGCTGCATCGCAGTGTAGGTTACTAGACTAAACTTTGCTGACGCACAGCCTCGCCAACACAGCCAACAGGCAGTGCTTCGGGGTGCCAGTCCGCTGGCCGTATGTCCGTCTCGCCCGCATCTGTCCGTACCCTTCTGCCACCTTGCCGTGGTTCCACGTTCTCAGACCCCACTTGCGGCGACTCGATGCCCAACCAAGCGGGCGATTCCTCGTCGCTTCGGCCATGCCAGCTAGGTTCCCCTCGCCCGCCAACGCTGCACGTAATCCATCCGACCCCGGATGGAGAAGTGCCCGACCCGGTCTCGAAGCTTCAGCGTGTCAAGGAGCCAGAGTCGCCCTTGGTCTCGCGGAAAGGGCCAGACGCGCTCCAGCCACCACGTATCCTCATGGCCCGCCAGTCTACAGAGACAGTCCGACGCTCGCCTTCGGCAGCCACCAGTCGCAAGTCGGTGCCCAAGCGCAAGAGTCTTGCAGGTCTTTTCGGCATCTCCTTGAAGAGGAGCGCGGACCGGCTGCGTGCCGCCATCCCCGCTCCTCCCGTGCCCTTTCTGCCGGAGCCGTCCACACCCTCGCGCCTGTCCCTCGAGGCAAACATGATGAACGATACCAGCCCTGACACGGTCGCGTTCTACAGCCGCCACGGTGCTCGCTCAGGCTTCAACCTCCATGGCGACCTCTTGCACCCAGATGGTGAGCAACAAATCTCCGCGACGCTGAGACCAGCTCACATACTCGATGTAACCTCCGCAAATCACCATCTGCACAGCCTCGTCACCAACATGGATGCTAGCTTCTCCGTGACCAAGGGCCGGCGCGAGCCAGGTACTCCGACTCCGCTCCGCCGAGTACGATCAGGTGTGCTCAAGGCTCCAACCAGCTCAAGCCGCCCCACTCCTGGTCGCAACTCTGCGCCTCCGACCAGCCCGTCCAAGAATCTTGCCCGCTCCATCGGCAAGGTATCGGAGGGTACCCCCAGCCCGACCACGCCTGCCAAGCCGTCAGTCAAGCTGATCGTGAGGAATGTCTGCGAAAGTATCGCGAGATCGCCAGGCAGTCTGTCCGTGTCATCATATCTCGGTCGACCGGACAGCGTGGCGAGCGACATGTCCGACACCTCGGCTTCGTCATCTTACAACGTTGCACCTGTGATCAACAAAGCCGGCAGTGTAATGCCCAGCTTCCGCACCCTCAATACCGCGTCCTCGACGCAGCCTCAAGGGCACCCCCCTCCACCACCCCCTTCGGCTTTCTCGTTCAGTCACACCCGCATCGCGTCGCAGCCCCCCATCTTGGACCTCGACTTCGGCAGCCGCCCCAGCTCCATGTTCACCGACATGCTCGGGCAGTTCAACTCGTCAAAGTCGAGCAGGGCTAGCGATCGGTCTTTCAACCAGTCTCTCAACCAGAGCACACGCAGCTCCAACCGCACTACATTTGACTTTGCTGCCGAGCTTGCGGCCCTCACGGCCTCGGCGGGTGACTTCTCTGGCGATACTCTGCACATCGCCCGGTCCATCGAGTTCTCGACTGAGTCGCCGGACACAGCACTCGCACAGCTCGAGGAAGTGCTCGAGTCGCGTAAGAACAGCGCCGAGACGCTTGGCCGCAACCGCCGCTCCAACCCTCCGTTCCAGGGCCGCATCGAGTTCCAGATGGGCGTTCGTGCTCGCAGTCACTCGCGCCCGTCTCCGGGTCTACCGCCGCCATTCGCACTACCACCAACACCCACCCTCGATGGTCCGCTGCAAAATCCCAACGACCATCGGAAACAGCCTTCTGCTATCAGCTTCGCCTCCATGTCCAGCTTGGGTGCGCCGCTCGCACACATCGATCGCGGACACATCAATTACTTCGAGCAGGCGTTCGCAGCCGGAGGCCCTCCCCCTCCACTGCCACCTCTCCCCCCCATCTCGAGTCGGGTAAACGCAAGCCACCACCGTCGCATGTCGTCCGAGGTATCGATCGACTCCGTCCTCTCAGCTGAGACGTCCATGGTCACTGGCCGTGCATCTCGCTGCCACCATCGGGAGTCATCCACCTGCAGCTTTGTAGGGCGCTCCGACTGGGCTTCTCAGCGTCGCGCCTCCCGCGACAGCGAGTCCCTGGCTCGTCTGAGCTCCATCGCTCGCCTCGGTCGTCCTGGCATCGGCGAGCGCATGTTCGAGGGACTTGACAGATCCCAGAGCAAGGACTCGGAACATGGCATTTCCTTTGTCGGAAGCCCGACCTTCGGCACACGCCCGTACTCCTTCGCATCGTCCACGGATGAAACCGCGGAGCCGGTCACTGAGGAGGGAGTGTCATTCTTCGGCACCAACCACAGGCGCAAGCCCTCGTTCGCGATCCAGAGCCGACCCCTGTCTCTCGCCAGTCTCGACGAGTCGCGCGTCAACGATACCTTTGACTTCGTTGATGGGCCTTCCAAACGTGGCGCAGTCGAGATTGACGTCGTCGACGCATACACCCAACCTAGTGGGTTTCACCCCTCCATCACGCTGACCATAGGTCCTGCCCCGGAGACCAGCACACCTCACTCGCGCGAGGTCGGTGTGCCTCGGGCGCGTCACCGTCCTCCTGCGCTTTACCTCTGCGATGGCGAGGAGGACACGCCTAGCCTAATTTCACCGTCTGACCTCACCGAAGTCTCCTCGATATTCTCACTCGACACGGCGCGTGCCTCCAACCCCCCGCTTGGGTATCCCTCGCACCGGAGCGGCAAAGGCTCGGTCACAAGCATAGTGCAAGTACACCCGACTATTCGTGAGGAGGCGTCGCGCAAAGACTTCCGCGAGTCGCGCGCGTCCGACGACTCTCGTGCTGCCTGGGAACTCGTGCAAGAGCTCAACGCCCGCCACTGGAATGATCTCGGTGATGTGGCGTCGTCGCTGCTCACGCGATCTCCCGGTTCCGACCTCTATACACACGCCGATGCTCCGCCAGTGCCGCACACCCGCGCAGAGATCGAGGCCATTCTCGCTGACTCTCAGGCGTCGTACAAACCTCTGGACAACGCATCCAAAGGCGAGCAGCCTGCCGGCCTGCACCGCCGCAAGACGTCACTTAGCGATTCACGTGCTGCCGTCGCCCCATACATCCTCCAACCTGCCCCGCTCGAGACGCGATTTCGGAGCAAGCGCTCCTCCGGGGAGCGCGTGTCGCCTCTGCTCGCCGAGTTTGCGCGAGATGTCTCTCCCCTGCCTCGGTCACGCGATGCCCCGCTACCCAATTCTGAGGCTAAGACTACCAGTACCGTCGCAACTGCCCCAGCGCCGCCTGAGGTTCGCCCGCGAGTGCCGTCCGCGGTCCGCCGCGACAACCTAGGCTGGGCGCGCCGCCGTAATTCTGATGAGCCGGCGGGAAGTGCGCCTCATATGCCACGCAAGGCGCCCGTGTCGGTAACGATGGGGTCTTATCCAACGTTCTTGGCCTTCTCGCCAGCGCCTAGGCCTGAGCACACGCAGCCCGAAGCCAAGACGGCGTCATCGCGCCCCACCCACCCACGCCCGCTCCTGACGGCCAACGTCGCGCCCAAGCGGGCGCAGAAGCGTATCCACGTCAAGACGGACAGCAATGGCTCGCCGATGTCGCTGCACAGTACCTCGTCGCGTACTTGCCTTACGGTGCGTGCCGACAGCGCGCCGCTCGCGGCCCGTTCAAGTAACATCCCGCAGCCGCGGCGGGTCTTCAAGACCAAATCGTCGCCCGAGATAAGGCGAAAGGGGAACAAGGAGAACGTGCGTGCGCCGGCGCCGGCGTTCGTCTTGGCTCCCCCTCCGCTGCGTGTCTAGTTAGATCTGGCCTGGGTGCTGAGATGGCTCGCCACGCGATTCTTCGTGTTCATAGTGAGCACTTCATAATGCGTGTACATGTCCATGCATGCTGCTTGTGTGTACAGGGCCAGGTTGCGAAGCCGAACAGGCGTGGCGCTCTACAAGGTGGGACGCGACGCGGTCCTCGGGCCCCACAGGCAAGTGTCGGTCCTCTCGGCCGGCAAGCACGAGCAAGTTCGACGAGTGCCGGAGCGGTCCGGATGATGGACCAACGGGAGATTCCGATTGTGCCAGTACCGGCGGCAGTGGTTGATTGTGGCCAATGGGAGGCATGGGAGAGGGGCAGTTCCCCCACAATGCGACGTCAGTGGATAGGCGAAGGGAGGGAGGGAGGGAGGGAGGGAGGAGGCGCGTGGCGGCATGAAAGGAGGACAAGTGATCTGACGGTGGCCCGTCTCGCCGAAGTGATTTGATGCTCCGGCTCGGTCCGCTTCTTCAACGCCTCCATCCCTCTTTGCTCTTCCTCCGCCGCCCCCACCCCGCACAAGCCTCCAGGTAAGTCGCCCCTCCTGCTCCTCCGTCGCTCTTCGTCCTCTTGCTCACCTCCTCTTCCTGTCTCTCTCTTTCTCTCTTTCTCTCCTTCTCGACTCTCTCTCTCTCCCCATCTCTCACCATGCCCCTCACCCGCCCCGCCAACCCCTCCTACGTCCTCGTCCCCCTCCTCGTCGCCCTCGTCGCCTACGCCGTCTACTCCAACCGCTCCTCCATCTGCTCTTCCTCCTCCTCCTCCTCCTCCTCCGCTTCTGGCAACAGCAAAATGTCGCTCTCGAACAAGCTCAGCATCAAGGACGTCGACCTTAAGGGCAAGCGTGTCCTCATCCGCGTCGACTTCAACGTGCCCCAGGACAAGAAGACCGGCGAGATCACCAACCCTGCCCGCATCGTCGCCGCCCTCCCCACCATCAAGTATGCCATTGACAACGGTGAGTGATATTGGGGGGGCCCGGAGTCGGGGTGGGGAAGAAGGAGGGGAATTCCCACACAAGCGCCACGCGCCATCGTGCGTCATACGCCCTTGCAGGAAGGGCATGCTGGGCTCTACGACCGGGGTCCATCACTGGCAGCCCTTGCGGCTCGGAGCCCGATGCTGGTGCTCGCCGTTTCAGTCGATGCGGAGGTGGTGACGGCGTTGGCACTCGCTGTCCTCGCCCCTGTTCCGCCTTCCCTCGACCTGGCCGCACTCGCATCCATCAGTGTTGGCGCCAACACTCGCACCACGACTCGCGCTCGCAGTTGCAGTCGCACTCGCCATTGCCCCGCTTTACCGCACATTTCGCTAACCCCAGGCGCCAAGGCCGTCGTCCTGATGTCCCACCTCGGCCGCCCCGATGGCCAGAAGAACGAGAAGTTCACCCTCAAGCCCGTCGCAGAGAAGCTCCAGGAGCTCCTCAAGCGCGACGTGACTTTCCTCAACGACTGCGTCGGCGCCGAGACCGAGAAGGCCGTCAACGGCGGCAAGGACGGCCAGGTGTTCCTCCTTGAGAACCTCCGCTTCCACATTGAGGAGGAGGGCAAGGGCGTGATCAACGGCGAGAAGACCAAGGCCGACGCCGAGAAGGTCAAGGAGTTCCGCAAGGGTCTCACCGCCCTCGGCGACGTCTACGTCAACGACGCCTTCGGCACCGCCCACCGCGCCCACTCGTCCATGGTTGGCGTTGACCTCGACCAGCGCGCTGCCGGCTTCCTCATGAACAAGGAGCTCCAGTACTTCGCCAAGGTCATGGAGTCACCCGACCGCCCCTTCCTCGCCATCCTCGGCGGTGCCAAGGTCAAGGACAAGATCCAGCTCATCGACAGCATGCTTGACAAGGTCAACAAGCTCATCATTTGCGGCGGCATGGCCTTCACCTTCAAGAAGACGCTTGAGGGCGTCAAGATCGGCAACTCGCTCTTCGACGAGGACGGCGCCAAGATTGTCGGTGACATTGTCAAGAAGGCCAAGGAGAAGAACGTCGAGCTCATCCTCCCCGTCGACTATGTCTGCGGCGACAGCTTCTCCAACGACGCCAAGCGCGTCACCGTCACCGACGCCGAGGGCATCCCCGACGGCTCGATGGGCCTTGACTGTGGCCCCAAGTCGAACGAGATCTTCGCCAAGGCCGTCGCCGACTCCAAGACCATCCTCTGGAACGGCCCCGCCGGTGTCTTCGAGTTCTCCAACTTCGCCCAGGGCTCTGATTCGCTCCTTGACGCGACCATCAAGGCCGCGGCTGGCGGCGCGACCGTTATTGTCGGCGGTGGTGACACCGCCACCCTCGTCGCCAACGCTGGCAAGGAGGACAAGCTCTCGCACGTCTCGACTGGCGGTGGTGCCTCGCTCGAGCTCCTCGAGGGCAAGGAGCTTCCCGGTGTCGCGGCGCTCTCGAACAAGAAGTAAGCGACTGACTCGAGCTGGACAGCGAGCCTAGCAATAAAACAATGAGGATGCGAAGCATATGCATGAGGAATAAGCAGCGCTCAAGCAGGAAATACATTATAGACCGTGCATCTCCAGTTTCTCTATTTCCGGAAGTGGATCTTTCGATCCCGCCACACTGTCCCGAGCAGCTTATGCCCTCGCGCCTGGTATATGACGTTGTGCGCGAGCGCGTCTGCACCATCCCATCCCTTCGCGCCGGCCACAGCGATAAGCTCAGCCTTGACATCCGCCTCAGGCACGTGGTTGGCCTTGTCGTCGACGGCGCCGGGCCCCAGCCGCCGCAGCATCCCGAGACAGAGGTGCGCGACGAGCACAGCTTCGCGCGTGACGGGCGGCGCGTCGGCGGCCGTGCTCGCTGTCGACGGCACTTCCGAGGAAGTCGGGGAAGGCGGGGCAGGAAGTGAGGCGCGCGCCAGCGCCTCAAGGTGCGCGATGGTCGCGCCGGGATCCGCGCCAGGCTCGGCGCCGAGCATGCGCCAGATTTCTGGCGGGAGTGCGCGGCGGATAGACGCGGAGGCGACGCCGACGGCGTCGAGCGACATGTTGATGCCGTCCTGTGCGTTCGCTTTTGGCACCTTCCTCGTCGTCGGGCTCTTGGCTGGCGACGGCTTGGGCTTGGGCTTGGGCACGGGCTGGGACGTCAGCTTGGCCTTCGGCGAAGCTTTGGGGGTTTTGCTCGGCGTCGGGTCGGGGATGAGGGGCTCGGCGATGGGCGAGGGCATGCGCGCCGTGGAGCGCGATAACACGGAGGAGCGGTACGCGCTGCGCGGGGCGGGGGTGATGCTCGCGCGCATGCGCGACACGATGGTGCTCCCCGGCGCGGGGGCGCCGAGGCGCGTGCGCGGCGTCGCGACGAGCGTGAGCGGCGAGAAGCGGGTGATGTCTACGCGCGGGGTCTGGAGGAGCTGGCGCGCGGGCGTGCGCGACGTAGATGCGCGCAGCGAGGTGCCGAGGTTCGGCGACTGCGCGGGGCGGGCGGGCTTCGGCGCGCGCGGCGCTCGCGGCGTGGTAAGTGGAGACGTGCTGGCTTTGCTTGACTGGTTGAGGGGGGAGCGGGGCGACGCGGGCGTCTTGGATATCTTCGGCGATACGGGTGAGCGGGGCGAGCGCGCGGGACTGCGCATCGCAGCTTTGTGTTCTGCTACGCGCCGCCTCAGTGGCGCCAAGCTCTCTTCGAGGGCGCGCAGCGCCTCCTCTTCCGCCGCGATGGCTTCGTCGACGCTGCGCTGCGCCACCTCCTTCTTCGGGCTGTGGATGACTTCCTCAAGGGCACGCTCAAGCTCGGCCGCGCGTGCGGTGTTTGCTTCGTGCCGTGCCGCGAAGCCCTCAACCTCGCGCCGCGCGCGCGCCATGCTGTGCTCGGCCGCCATCGTGTCGATGACCTCCTCCGCGGCCGCGAGCGTCGCCTGGAACTCGTGTGGCGTGCCGCGCGCACGCGCGAGCTTGCGCAGTGGAGAAGACGCCCGCCCCTTCGGGAGAGAGGGGAGGAGGCGGCCGAACGGCCGTTTCTCGGCTTCCGTTGCGTCGCGCACGAGCGAGAAGACGTTGCCGCCCGACAGGTAGAGGTAGGCCGAGGTGAAGGGGCCGGGTGGGCGGGCGTTGGCGCGCGAGAGCGACGCGATCGCATCGCTCTCGTGCGCGAGCTTGTCGAGGGCGCTTTGCAGGGGCATTGCGCACAGAGTGGGTGATGCGATGTGATGTGATGTGCTGTGATGCGATGTGATGAAGAGGCAGAACGGCAAGAAAGGCAAGATCACTCGCGCTCGTGAACGGACCTTGTTGACATCCCTTTTGGTCCCGCCAGACGTCACCGTGCCTGAGCGCGTCGAACGCGTCGAGATTGCTCCATCCCACTTTCCGATCTTCCGAGACATCCACCTATAATTGACACAATGACAGACTACTCCCCCGGCCCCTCGTCGCGCGCCGCATCGCTTGCACCTGGTGTTGGTCCCGGAAGTAGCTCCGGCGCTGGTACTGGAGCAGGATCCCGCTCCTTCCTTTCACGTTTGAGCTCGGTCGCGCACGATGACTCAATCGCGGACGATGAGGAGATGGAGGACGCCGTGGCAAAATCCAAGGTGTTCACGCCAGAGGATCTCGACCCCGGGCCTGATGAAGACGAGCTGGACGACGTGCGCCGGCTCGGGCGGGCGCTGGCGAAGGAGAGGGGGACGCCGGCACTGCTCGACTGGGACGCCGACCTGGTCGGCACGTTGCTGGACAAGTTGGAGCAGCAGGTGGGTCGAAGAGGGCTGAGGATAGATCTGATGGCAGGGCAAGATGATGTCGACGTTGCGAGCCGATCCGTCGACGAGCGAGGAGGAACATTTTCGGCTTGTGCTAGTGCAGACGGAGATGGAGCGGGCCAAGTGGCTCGTGAGGAGTTATGTGCGGGCGCGATTGCATAAGGTGGGTACGACGCGCCCCGCGGAGCAAGGCGACGAGTCGCACAAGGGCATTGACAGGGGGATAGGCGTGATGGGGGGACCGTAGCACGACGCCATTGTCCCAGCACTGACGCCAGATCGAAAGATACGCCCAGCACATTGCTACAACGCCAGAACTGCATGCACGGCTATCGGGCGGCGAGCTGGCCCATGCGCGGCGTTACGCAGACCTTATAGCACGGCACTACTCTTCCTCCGTGCTAGACTCTCTCCCAGAATGGTTGCGGCGGATGGACGAGAGTAGCGGGGGAGTGTCCATGGGTGAGGCAAGCGAGAAGAACGGAAGCTTACCCCAGTAACGAAGCCCAACCACGCCCAACCGGTGCTCATCTACATTCGCAAAGACTGCGGCGAGCTCGTGCTCGATGGCGACGAAGTGGCCGAGCTCACGAAGGGCTCGTCGCACTTGGTGCGGTACGACCTGGTCGAGCGGTGGGTGCAGCTCGGCTGGGCCGAGGTGCTGTAGCGGCACAATTATGCAAGATGTACATTACATACAGGTAGGGGTACAACAATGGCGATTACACAGACTGGGCCTGAGGCGTGATGATGCGCGAGATGTGCTGCGCCGTGTCTGCGTCGGCACTCGCGCCCGAGATCCACGAGCGCGCGCTCTCGCCAGAGCTACGCGGCTCGCCCGCGTGTGTGCGGATAGAGTCGTCAATCGTCCGCAACAGGTCGTCGAGGCGGTACGGCTTGACCACGACATCGGTGAAGTCGGCCATGGCTTCAGGAACTTGTGCTTGGCGTGCGTTCCCGGCTGCTGTCAGCGTTGCGGGCGCCGGACTTACTGAGCGCGACGACGTTGGTCGGCGCCAGGAGGCCAGCGGCCTCATCAGCACGCAGGAGGCGCACAGAGGTATATCCGTCCATGACGGGCATCTCGAGGTCCATGAGGACGCAGTCGAAGCGTTTGGGCGCGGCCTCGTTCACCGTGTGCGCTGCGGCTGAGATGGCGCGGCGGTGGCCCTTGTCTCTGGCCTTGCCTTTGCCTTTGCCCAGGGCACTGGAGTGAACCGGAGAAGCGTGGGGGGCGGGGAGGGAGGGCGACGCGCCGTTGGTGCGCCGGCTCCAGCGCTGGCTCGCTCGCAGCCGTTCCAGCGCCTCGAGACCGTTACTCGCGCTCTCCACTGTGAGTCCCACGTGCTGGAGCTGGCGCATGAGCACGGTGCGGTTGATGAGATTGTCCTCCACAATGAGAATGTGAGGCTTGAAAGGGCCGGCGATCTCGTTGCTCGCATTCTCGGGCTCCGGCGCTTGCGTGGTGAGACACGGCCGCGTGCGGATGTAGAAGCGGAACTCGGAGCCGCGGCCGTGCTCGCTCACGACGTCGATGTGCCCACCCATGCGCTCAGTGAGTTTGCGGCACACAAACAGCCCGAGCCCCGAGCCACCGTACACCGTGTGCGTCTCGGGTGAAGCCTGTCGGAAGCGCTGGAAGAGTACTTCCAGCTCGGATGGCGTTAGGCCCGGCCCCGTGTCCACCACCGACACGAAAAGGTACAGCTGCGTGTCCTCACTGATCTTGCGGTCGGAGGGGGGCGGCATAGCGCATCCATCCACGGGCGGGTCCACGCCGAGGTCAACACGCAGCTCCACCCGCCGCACGGGGCTATTGGATGTGAATCGGATCGCGTTTGAAAGAAGGTTCGTCACCACCTGGCCCAGGCGAACGGGGTCCGTCATAATGCGCTCGACACCCAAGCGCTCGAACCCCGGCCCTATGTTCAGGCTCAAGTCGAGGCGCTTCATCCGCGCTTCGTTCTGGAATACGAAGATGGCCTTCTGGGCCTCCTTGCAGATGTTGGTCTCGGTGTCGTACATTTCTGTTGTCAGCCAAGCCGTTAACAGCACGCACGGAGCATATCGAGCTGGATCTTGCCGAGCGAGAGCACGTCGTTGGAGATTCTCTCCTGCGTCAGCCCGCATTGGTATATGCTGTCAAGGGCCTCGAGATCCTCGCCCATCGTGACGAGGAGCTGGTCGGTCGGGTGGAACACAGTCTCGTCGTCGACTGCACGCTGCATCTGCTCCTGCAGAGCTAAGAGATTCGATTTGACGAGCGACGCGCACTGCATTAGGCTGCTGATCGGATTGCGGATCTCGTGCGACGTAATGTCAATTAGCAGCTCCTGCTGCCGTCGCGCCTCTTCGGCCGCCGCGCGCCGCTGCTCCGCCTCGAGAACTTGCTCGCGCTGCATCCGCTCGTTGGTCTTTCTCTCCGTGATGTCGACGGTGCACCCGATGATGTGCGCCTGGCGTTAGCTGGAGAGACAGAAAGGCGTGGCTCACTGGTGCGTCGTCGCGGTTCACCCGGATGACCGTGGTGGCGCACCAGCGCCCGTTCTTCCACTGGTACTCGGCCGTCTCGTGCACCGCCTGCTTCCCGATATATTGTCGCCAGATTTGCGACACGTGCTCCTGATGGTCCTCCTGCACATAGTCGCCCCAATTGGTGATGGGCTGCGTCTGTGGGTAACCGGATATCTCGTGCCTGCGGTCAACTCGACAAGTTCAGTCTGTCTCACCACTTCTGGTTGGCATAGTGCACATAGCCGTCCTCGGAACAGCGGAAGATGCCAACGGGCGAGTCTGGGTGAGCTGACATACAATTGCACACTCACACTCGGTCAGGAGCCGCAGCTCATTTGTGCGCAAATCGAACGCGCTCTCGAGGGCGCGCCGTTTCTTGCCTAACTGGAGTCTGGGCGTCAGCGAGGACAACTCGGTGAGCATACTGCATGTGCGCGCGCGCAATCAACTCTCGAGCGTTGAACGGCTTGGGCATGTAATCGTCGGCTCCAAAGGCGCCATCAGCGCGCGCATCCTCCATCGAGGTGAGGAGGATAATCGGCACCATCTGTTGCTCGGGGGTGCCCCTCCTGAGCTCGGTGAGCAACTCAAACCCGCTTATCTGATGTCAGCTCAGACTTAGCACAGCTCACCTTGGGCAGCATGACGTCCGCAATGACGAGGTTTGGGTGGTGCTCCTTGACCTTCTCGAGGGCTTCATGCCCGTCAGACGCCTCGATAACCTTGCAAAACGGTGCAAAGATGGCGCGCATGTATCGCCGCGTATCCGGCAGAGCTTATGTCAGCCTAATTCCTCCAGCCAACTCACAGTCGACAAGCAGCACAACGTCTGTCGAGTCAAAGTAGACCGTGCTTGGGTCGATGCCCCGGGCGTTACGGTCCGAGGGCGAGGAGGCGGCAGACGAGGGGCTGTGGAATAGGTCCTCTTTCGGAATGCTCGTCCAGCCCCAGTGAGCGCGCGACATGGCATCGAGGACCGACTGGTGGAACTGCTGCAACGGGGTGCCCGCGGATGAATGCGGGGTCTCGACTGCGCCTGGCGGCAAGTGCTCGTATCCAAGCCTGATATGAGCGTCTGATGTTCAAGCTGACTCACGGAAATGTGACAGTAAACCTCGTCCCATGCGAGCCATCAGGCGACTCCTCCGCCGTACAGCTGTCTACATTAAACGTGCCTTGGTGCAGCTCGACGAGTTTCTGAGGTGAGCAAGCGGCGTCGTCCAGCAACCTACCCTGGTAAAGAGAAGAGTGATGCCCGAGCCCCCGTGCGTATGGATAGCAGTGTCGTCGGTGGGGTACTTGTCGCCGAACGCGAGGCTTTTAGCTATCGTCAGCTTTAGGCGCACTGCAGCGCACCAGGTATTCCGACGCCGGTGTCCGCCACAGCCACGATGGCAGTGCCATCTTCGTAGTTGACCGTGACACGGATAGTTCTGCTCGATCAGTACGACACATGTCGAACCCACCCCTTCCGCGTGAACCGCAGCGCATTCCCGATAAGCGTAAAGAGGATCTTTTCCTGCTGTCAGCTCGCTTCTGCTTGCGGCGCACGTATTTGTCCCGATCCAAGTACACTTCGCGGTTCTCCATGTCGCAGTCGACGACGTAGTTGAGCCGCGCAGCGTCTGCCGCTTGCTTGAACATTGCCGCGACATTGCGCGTCACCTCGCCGAGGTTGACATGGCGGAACGAGCTTGCCATGTGGCCCGCCTCGAGACTCGAGAGGTCCATGAGCATGCCGACGAGGCGCGAGAGACGCTGTACGTTTCGTCGCGCCATTTTCAGGCCGTCCCGCAGCCGTCCCGCCGGCAGCTCTGCCACAACGTCGTCCAGTGGGCCGGCGACAAGTGACAGCGGCGTCACGAGCTCGTGCGAAACATTGGCGAAGAGGAGTTTTTTGGCTCGCTCAAGCTCCGCAAGCTCCTCCATCCGCTTCGCCTCCTCTTGGTAGTACCGCGCGGCTGCAAGATTGATAGAGAGCTGGAGCCGGAGTCTGTGGTCAGCCGACGTTTTTGAGCGACAAGTCGACGTACGCTCGCTGTGATTGTCAGCCTTGGTGTCTGAGGTCGGATGTACTCACGAGAAATGCCTGATACTCGATGTCAAAAGAGAGGCAGCTGCTGAGACCCAGCACAAGGACAGCGCGCGGCAATCCCCCATCTGCGCTCGTGATGGGAATAACGATGGCGGAGGTCGGCAACTCTTCCCACACACGCACGGAGTAGCCCTTGATAATCCGGGAGCAGTCCCTCACAATGATGGGCCGTCGGGCGCGCAGTGCTTCGGCAAGCGGCCACTCGTCGGCCGGCGCGGGCTCGATTTTGACGGAGCTCGACTCGTGCGTCGCATCTGATCGGAAAATGCCCCGCCGCATTGGCGTGTAGTTAGGTTTAGATGCTGGCTGCCCTGCTTCGCTGGGGGATATTTCCAGCGTCGTGAAAGCGCTAGCCATCATCTCGCTCGTGGGTTGCTCGCCGGGTAGCAGTTCGACGGTGCACGTTTGTGGGGCAGAGACATGTCCGTCGGGCACACCAACGCCGCCGCCATACCGCAGGCGCGCTGTCGAAGTGGGAGGACCGCGGAGCGAGTTGGCGCGGCTGCCCACGCTTCGAGGTTGGACTGAGGTCAGAGAGCACCAGAATGATACCTACTGTTCGAGGTAGTCGATTCGACGTGAAAAATGAGAGCGAACGGCGCATCACGCGGGTTGGCTTCCAATGTATCGAGGAGTGTCTCGTTGAACTCCTTGATCGACCGTGCTGTGTCTGGTGTCAGACTGAGAATTGGCTGAACACTTACACGCCCTCTCAGCCAAATCACGCAGCACAGTCGTACGTCGCTCTGCCAATACTCTGAGCGTCGTGTCGTGGAGTGTGAAGTAGAGCCCTGCATACTCGCCTGTGGCATCTTTGAGAGGTGCCCACAATTGTGAGTAATACGCCTCCCGCAAACGAGGACAGTGGCGAGTCTTCTCCAAGAAAAGTTCTAAGAATTAGCGTGAGTTTGAGATGTCAACTCGCCGTCTTCCTTCAAAACAGTCGTTCCTGTCAACACAACGTCGCTCAGCGAGCCCAAATACCGCCATAATTCTGGCCGTCAGCAGTGTCAGTGACGCAACCTACCAGCCCACGACTGAGGCCCCGACCGGCCGAATGCCTCGGGATGGTCGTATATTTTGTCGGCGTACAGCTGATTGTAGATCAACGTGAACTCCTTGCCCCACCACACGGCGACGGGGAGCGGACACGCCATAGCGGTGTTGACAGAATTGTGGAGTGACGAAGACCATGACTCCCGCCGCCCCAGTGGTGTGGCAGACCAGTCTGTGCTCTCGAGGAGCGCCACGACGTCTGACACCTTGCCTTGTTCCGTGCGATCTGGCAGTGGACCGTGGACAACTGATCCGTCTCGAAAGACGTAGAGCGGGCGCGCGGGATCCCAGTGGTTGGCGCGGACCGCGTCGTCACCGTCATTATTGGCATAGACGTCGTCTTTCCGTGGGCCGCGTCGCTCTTCCTCACGTGATGCTTCGCGCGGCCGCCCCCGTGGCGGTGGCGGTGGCGGATCTCCATCCGCAGCAGCGGTAGTGGCTCTGGACATCGTAGACAGACCGCGGTCAGAGCGATCGGGCACAGTTGGACTGTTCAGGGGTGTGGCCGTCACAACAGCGTACACGTGCGCTGGGGACAACGAACGTTGCCCCCCGACGAGCTGATAGAGGGACAGGTGTGTTTTGGAGAGGAGGAGCGCAACGCGCTTCTCCCCAAAGGCAAACGTGAGAGTGAGACTAGCCTCAGCAGACGGAGCAGCCACTGCGTCGTCGTGAGACCCCCCAGGATCATCAAGGTCGACCTCTGCCTTCTCGCGCTCCGGCTGCGACGAGCCCAACCAGATGGCCAGCCGTCGCGCCTCCTCCACCGACAACCCATCAAGGAGGGCGCTGCTACATGCCAACCGCTTCCACTCCCGATTCGCCCACACCGGTTCGAGCGGCTTGAGAAATGAGAACTTGGTCCGTGCCCATGTGGGAGGCGGAAAGTGATTGGCGTCTGGTGCTGCCGAGATAAGAACGAATGCCGGGTAGGGATACGACTAATGTCAGCCAGACTGAAGCAAAAGCGGCGCTAACGTTCAAAAAGTCTATGGGGAGGTTGGCAGTGTCGACGCCAGCATTCTGAAGCGCCTCGAAAGGGGAATGGTGCGCACTAGAGGATGAGGGGTTGGGCGTGGTGGAGTGCGAGTCGTCGAACTCGGGGGGTCGCATCCTATCTACGGCGCTTTCGGCGCCGCTGAGGACGATCCCTGTCATCGCATCCAGCGCTAGTAATGCGTGCGATGGAGGAGTGATGGGCCTGCGATGGGGAGGGAACGCCCTCTAGCTTGGCGTGGCTGAAGACGTGGAGAACTGATAGAGAATAACGATGGTGCTGAAGATTTGATTGAAGTGGGCAAGCCGTTGAGAATGGTGCGTATGACTGAGTTACCGTTAGCTAGGAACGAGGAGGAGAAAGATAGCAAGGTAGATCGCCTGGACGGCATGGTGGAGCGAGCGGGACTATGGGCGAGTTAACTGGACGACGAGTTGAGCGCTACGAGGGGGGGGGACGGCAGGCATTCCTCAGGTCGGATGCTGCGCAGGGTAGCTCCGCAGCGGCAAGCGTGTGGGCTCGTAACTCGTAGCTCGTTTCGTAGGGCAACTTGCGAAATGCAGCTCTCTGATGGGCCCACCGGCTCTGCTGCGTGCTGGAGATCTAGGATCTAGGAAACGGCTACACGCCACAGACAACCGGGGTGGCGTAATCACAACTTTTACTTGCCGATATGCCCACAACGCCAGCAGAACGCGTGCGGTTGACGCCCTCACTCCCACCTTCAACTTCGCACGTTGGCACCCTCGACGTTAACCGAGCGTGGCACCCTCATCAATGTCAAAAACGCTTGCCCAAGTCGAAAGTCGATACATACCGTGCCCCTCCAACTTTTTACTTGGACTTGGCGCGTGGAAAATTTGGTTGTGTCTACGCAGTCTGTAGTGCCCTACGTCTGTGCGTCATCATCACCGAGTTGAACAGATGAGATTATGCTGACAAGAGAGTCCGAGTTCTGATTGTTCCCAGAGTGCTGGGCCAAACAGATCTGCTCATGAGGTGATCGACACTCTAAATTGATGTTTGATTAGTCCTATAATTAGGGCTGATCCGCCTCACACGTCATCCTAATCACCTGAAAAGTAGTGCCTTCATTTCATCCATGTCAACAATCCTCACCTCGTCCTCTACTCATCTTGCAACAATGCCATACCATGTCTACCTTCCACCGTTGTCACTCTCCCCACTGTCCTCTCTTGACGGCTTCAAAGATGTCCACCTGTACCCCATCCCCCATCCACCCGCAGTCGTCCTCGACATCGCGCCTGCCCAAACACACCCCCACCTCCGTCCTCCATCGACGTCATCCCCGCCATCCCCGCCCCCCGTTCCACCCCGCACCCCCACTCCGCCAGCAAGCCACAGGCGTAGATCCCAGCGCCTGCGTACCTCGGGTAGGCACGCGGCTGGCTCCGGGAGCGGGTCAACGCAAGACAGCGTGAACGCGAGTGCGAGTGCAAGCGCTAGCGCGAGCCAGAGCCAGAGCCACTCGCATCTCTCGTCGCTCAACTCGTTCTCCATCACAGCCTCACGCCCCTCCCAAATCGCGCACATTCCCACATGGGCGATCCCCCTGTCCAAGCTCGTGCCGCTACACGCGCTCCTCGCGCGCCGGCGCACGCGCGAGCGGCCCCGCGTCACCCTCCTCTGCGGGATCATGAGCGTGGACGCGCCGGCATGCCGCCCGCGCCGCAAACCCGGGCCGGGCGGGCGCACAAGCGACCTCTGGATTGCGAGCTGGGACGTGCTTGCGCCTGCGCCGGGCGAGCCCGCCGCAGCCACCGTCAAGCTCTGGGACGAGTGCGCGCGCGACTGGGGCGGCAGCGTGCGCAAGGGCGACATCGTGCTTCTCGAGGGTGGGTGAGTGTACGTGCAAAGCTGAGACAGACGTCGAGTTCGTTGCAGCCGGGGAACGTGATGGGCCGCAGCTCGTGCTCTCGCCGCGTAATGGCCGCATGCCACCAAAACCTGTCGTGCTGTATCGCACGCTCCCGCGGTATGCTGCGGCGCGCGGCGACTATGTCTACCGTGCTGCTCCGCGGGGCGCGGTGCCCAGCGGCGAACGAGGAGAGATCAGCGCCGAGGACCGCGCACTGCGGCCCGACCTCCGCCTCGCGCGGAGCGACCGCGGCGTGCAGGCCGTCGCTGAGATGGCGCGGTGGTGTGCCGAGTGGGTGGGGGGCGAAGGGCCTTAAGGACGGTGCATGTTGTACTTCTACTGTTTTACTACTGCCCGCGTTGCGCAGAGCATGTTTGGTTCTGCGAGCGCATAGAAGGGAGATTGCGATCGGTGGCGCGGTTGACACCGCTGCCTCATGTTTGCATGTAACACAACCTCCCGCGGTTGTCGTGACCTCAACCCAACTCGTCTCCCAACGGCGCTTATATCTCAGTCATCTTATCACATCTGCTTGTCCACCAAAACCCTGTCCAGCTCGACTACATGCGATGATATCAAGCTCAAAGGCTGCTGACGAGGTGCGTCGCGTGCGTGCCGAGCGCCCACTGGCGCATGAGGACACCCGCAATAGCCGTCGCGGGCGGGCACTTGGTAAAGTTGTCAAACTTGTCCATGGGCCGGGGGTCGATCATGGCCGGCGCGTTGATGTCGCGGTCCTCCTGCGCCTTGTCCAGCTGGTTGTAGTCATCCTTGGTGAACTTGGAGCCGAACTTGGACGATGCGACGCGCGCGACGACGGAGCGGGGGAAGAACTGCGCATCCTCAAGCTCGTTGTCGAGGTCGAGACTGGGGTCAGCGGCGCGAAGAAGTAACAGGAGGAGGTGGGGGCCGGCCATGCAGCACGAGCGCGGACTCACCGGATGGTCTGGCCGCCGGGGGCGCGCCCGTAGCACCCAACCATGAGGTTGGCAGGGTACGGCCACGGCTGAGACGAGCCGTATCGGACGGGCCCGACGACAATGCCGGCCTCCTCAAGAACCTCGCGCCTGACCGCCTCCTCAAAGCTCTCTCCTGGCTCGATGAATCCCGCGAGACACGAGTACATGCCCTTCGGCCAGCTCTTGTTGCGGCCGAGGAGCATGCGGTCGCCCGTCTCGTCGAGGATGCCCATGATGATGACGGGATCCGTGCGGGGATGCGCAAAGTTGTGCAGCCCGGTGTTGGAGAAGCACTTCTTGCGCTCCTCGGGCCCGCCACGCGCCGTGACGCAGCTCCGCTTCCACCCGCCCCAGAGCGAGTACGTCTGCCGTCCACACGCAGGGCAGTAGCGGTTACGCGCGTTCCAGTCGACGATGGGGCGGCCGGACGCGAATAGGCCGGCATGCCACGCGTCCATGAGCGACGCGGACATGCGCGCGTCCGCCCACTCGCTGTCCGGCGGCGCGGAGAAAGTGCCCTGCCGCGCGGCGTCCTCCGCGTCGCCGGGCACGGCGTACAGTCCTACGCCGGCCGGCGTCGCGTCAATCGCGAAGTAGGGAGTGCCGTGCGGCTTGAGCAGGTCTTCGCCGGGAGGACAGCCGCGCTCGTCGACGCCGAGGAAGACGAGGATGCAGCCCGCGCGCCGCGCCTCCTCCGCCTTCGCGTTCGCGGCGCCCTCGGGCGGCGACAGAAAACCGTCGCCAACCAGCGCTTGCACGGCGGGCAGGTCGACGAGGTACGGCGACGAGATCTTGCCCTTGTGCACGAGCGGCTTGCCCTCGTTGAAGACGAGGAACTTGGCGCGCGAGAGATGCGCGTTCAGCACATCGGCTTTGGAGCGCACGAAGGAGAGCCGGTTCAGCGGGGGCGCACCCGCATAGAAGCTACGTTAGCGAGGCCGGGGGGACGCCCACTTGATAAATGTGTCGTTGGCGTGGACGTCCATGGGAACAGCCGTTTGGAGGGGCCAGTGGTAGTAGCGGGCCGAGGGCGGAGCACGGGGATGAGGACGGAGATGGAGACGGAGAACGGCGAGATGGCGAGGGAGGAGGCGCATGCAAGAGCGAGGATGAGACTGTCGACGGCCGCCGCGGTGCAGGTGACTACCGATCCGAGTGATGTGGGGAGGCTGCTGACTGATCGGCCCGGTTACCCGGGGACGCGGATATGTCCGTTGAGAATGCCGAAATACCTCGGCGTTCTGCAGGTGCACCAGATACATGCGACGACGATATACACGGAGCGCTTCACGCAAGTATCTACAAAGCATCGGGTTCTACATCATCAGGCCCAGAATCGGCACTTGAAGTCGTAGCGGGACACAGTCTTCAGAGGAGCGTGTTGCAGCCGCTGGGCCGTTGTATCGACTGGTGTTGAACACTCTCCGTTCACCGCATCCCTATCCGCCCCGATCTCGGCCACATAATCCTCCTCGAGCACCACCTCGCCGCGGATCCACCGAAGGTTTCTACGCCAGGCAATAAAGGGTGGGCGGGTACGGAAGACAAGGGGCGGTGCGTCCAGCCGGCCAATGAAGAGATGCGGAGACGGCGAGGGGATACGGCCGACCCGGCGGCGCTTGTGCGCACCCTGTGATGCGGGCAAGTGACGAGCCTTGAGGAGCGCGCGCATTCGTGTCAACGGCGGCAGTGGTGGATGTTTTTTGGGGGTAGGTTCGGGCTTGACCGTTGTGCGCCGCCCCTTGACCGTCGGTAACCTGTCCCACTGGATGCGTGCGTTGGTGACCTGGACGAACGCGCGGAACGCGTCTGCGCTCTTTCCACGCGTCCGCGGAATCTGGGGTGGGAGTTTCGGATCAAGCCAACCCTGCGGAGGCCTCTTGGGTGGCGGAGAGGGTGTGCGGCGGTTAATCTCGACGATTGCGACAGGGCGGGGTGGCACGAGGTTGCGGACGAAGTCTGGGAGAGGGCGGGGGCGCGGACTGGGCGGAGGTGGGGTTGGCGTGGACGAGGGGGAGTTCTCGTGGCTTGGAGATGCCGTCGGTGAGCTGGGAGCAGAAGAAAGGCTGGAGGAGGGCACGCGAGGCGGCGGAGGATCGATAGGCTTAGGCAGGCGGATGCGCAGCATGACGGGGCCTGGTGGGCGCGGGAAGGTTGCGCTTTCGGTGCTTGGAGGTGACGCGAGTGGTGAAGGCTCGCGCAGCTGCTTGTGTAGGAGTTCTGGCACGGACTCGCACTGAGGCTCACGTAACAGTTCGCTTGGAGGAGCACACGGGGGCTCACTCGACGATGGATGGGCAGGCTCGTGCCGAGACTCACACGGCGGCTCGCTTGGAGACTCATGCGGAGACTCGCGCAGAACCTCACGCAGAAGCTCAAGCAGAGATTCCGGGAGAGGCTCATGCAGGGGCTCGCTGGGTAGTTCGCTAATGGGTTCGCGCGGTGGTTCACTCGACATGTTCTTCCCGCAGCTCTGGCGCCGCTCATCTACTCGCTCGCTCCCGTGAGAACTCTCGGACACTGGTGCGTTCTCTATATCGTCATCGTCTGGCGGAAGCGAGCGCCGCCGCTTGCCGCGTGACGGCTCCAACGCGACCTCTCGCGCCCGCTTGCATACTCCCCGCGCCGCCTCAACTCGCCTGCTGCTGCCAGCTTTCGGTGGCGAGACTGCATCAGCAAAGTGGACGTGGCGCGCAGTCTTTGTCGCCTGTTTGGCTCGGGTCGCAGGCTTGACCGGTGTGGCTACGGGCTTGATGGTCTTGATCGTGGGCTTTGGAGCACGCCGTGGCGTGCGCGGCGAAGGCAATGACTGAGCAGCGGCTTTGGGTGTATACTTCCGCGCGCGGCATGGCGAGGTGCTAAGTCGGTGGCGTGGAGCGGGTGAGGACGCGCGAGCACCGACAGGAAGTGGCGAGGGGGAGCGGTTGAGGTATCGCGACATCGGCAGAAGCGGTTCAGAGAGGAGAAGAGTGTCAATGATGTGAGAAAGGATGTCAATGCAGTGGTAAGGGGCGAGAGGAGGACGTCAGAGGGCGCCAGTGTGTGGTCAGCAGACTGGGTAGATGTGTGCATGCCGGGGCAAGGGCGCGTTTGGCGTTGCACCATGTGCTGTGCGGAGCGTGTATCGAGGCCGGCAAGGCATGATTTGCGTTCATGTGGCGTTGAGTATTGCGGCACTGAGCATTGCGCTTGCCTTCGATGTCTCTTCTATGGCTCTTACGCTTAACCTCCATCACACTTTAGACTATGAGCCTGTAGTCATTGTCGACGTTAGACTGTAGCACGGACCTCATATTGTTCCCGCTGCCCACCGACTTGCCCTCCGCCTTCAACGGCCAATGCCGAGCAGCTCGGATGTAAGAGGGGTGAAGTCATTTACGGGCGTCAACAGCGGGTTATGCGTGATGCTTAACCCGGACCATATAGCTCGCCCATTCGTTATGTGAAACGTTGGATCTAGCCTTACGAGTAATAATCAGTCGTGGCCTGGAATCGATGTTGGATGTTTATGAGGCGTCAGTGAAACCCGCCGCCATATCAATTGTGTAACTCGAGTTAGCCAAACACCTGCTCTTGATATGTCAATGTCTACCCTCGCCTACCCATCCGATCAGCTCGGACTGTCAGTGGGCAGCAACGGAGGCCAGCAACGACGCCGCCCGCCGATCAGCGCGGAATGCGGCGCGATGAACACGGAGTGGAGTGCAAAATAACGGCCGGACAGCCGACGTCACCCACTCCGGCCGTCTCTTGCTCCCTGCTCCTGAGTGAGTGCCACGCCTCATCGAGGAATGGTCAGCACAAACGTGCTCGGCGCGGCTCTCGCGAGGCTGCGAGAGGCGGCAGAGAGCTGGGGCACCGGCGGGGCCTCTATGTTATGCTGGCAATCGCCCCAAGAAAAGTCGAGTTGAAGGGAGCGAAAGAGAGCGTCGGAGCGAGCCGACGTCGGCAAAAAAGTGGGCAGGCAGGGAGCGCTCACGTGCGTCAGGCACCACCGTACGAAGGCCGCCGCACCGCCGTACCGCCGTACGCCCGCGAGGCCGGCAACTGCCCACCCGGCCACGTCTAATCCGGCCCTTCCATCTCTCCTCGTCGCACAACCTCCTCCATCCCATCACATCGCGGCTTTCGGTCACGTCTCTTTCCCCATTCCCCTCTCTCCTCTCTACACTCTCCCTCATCGCCATGTCCAAGTCAAACTCGTCCTGCTTCGCCAACCTCGTCGCGCATGCCGCGCGCACCGTCTCCACCCCCAGCGGCCTCGACGGTGGCCTCCAGCTCTTCGCTTACACCGGCCCCGTCGTCGCCCAGCTCGTCCTCAAGCTTGCCCAGGCCCGCGCCAAGCACCCCATTCTCCAGAAGGTTGGCGGTGACACCGCCCGTCTTACCGAGCTCGCCGCCGGCATCGTCCGCGGCGCCGGGAACATCAGCGAGGCCCGTGTTATCATGCGCGCGTTCGGTGAGTGATTGATTACTCCGGTCTCGTCGGCCTGGAAAAATAGGTGGCTGGGCGGACGATTATCGCAATCAGCGCTAGTCTGCCATCGTCCGCTGCATCCTTACGATGACCGAGGTCGGGAACCCCCACCAAGCCTGACCCGCCATAACGACGTGCAAAGCTTACCCCAGGCCTGCTCCCCATGCTTGACTGGCTCCTCCGCCTTCACCCCAACCCGGCCAAGGCGCTCGCCAACTTCTTCCTCCGCCCCAGCCTGGCTAACCTCGACCTGAGGAACGAGAAGGTCTTCCAGACCCTCCGCGTCATCCTCCTCTCCCTCTTCTACATTGGCGAGCACTCCGTCTGGCTCGGCACCAGAGGCATCCTCGCTCTTACCCCCGAGCAGCTCGGCACCATTGCCAAGATTTCGATCCGCTCTTGGGCGTGAGTATCGCGCAGTCTGCAGAAGTGCTGCGGGGGCGCCGGCGGACGGACGGGGAATCCGCGAACAGCACGGACTGTTCGCGTCCCTCTCGTGCTCTGGCGCCTCCACTTTGCTCCCTCTCTCCTCTAAATTCGCTAACTCCCAGGATCGACGTCGGCCTGTCGGCGGTCAAGCTCATCTCCACCTACCGCGGCCTCCTGGCGCGCAAGAATGCGCTCCAGGCCCAGGGCGAGGTGGGTGCCGTAGAGGGCTATGCGCTTACGGAGCAGAAGGTGGATGCCGAGGAGGCCAAGAAGCTCTCGGCGGACTTTACGGCGTGGAAGCGTGCCGCCTGGGTCAACTTGTGAGTACTGAGCTGCGCGAGAAATGCGCGAGAAGAGTGAAGGGACCAGCTGACACCCAGCGCCTGGATCCCCCTTACTGTCCACTGGTCGTTCGGCGGCCTCTGGGAGAACCCGCTCATCACTGCCGCGATTGGCGCCGTCGTGTCGGTCGGGAAGCTCAACAACGCGTGGGCGGCGGCCGCCTAAATCTGGCGCGAGGACGAGAGCGCCTGCGCTGGCGCGTAGAGTTCAGAAGCAGTTGTGCACACTGTCATTTGATGGATCGATTCTTGAGACGGAGACGGCGTCTGGGGGCTTGCTGTTGTAACTGCGGTTTATCATGCAAGGCTTCTTCTGTGCGGGCGGATGTGCAAGAGTAGTGAGCCGGAGCAGGACGAATCGAGGACGGACAAGACGCGTCCGTCGGTGAGCGACAGGGAATCGGACGAGGCCGTGGGTGATGGTGATCAGGTCGATCACAACCGGCATTCGGATTTGCCGTTTGCCACCATCACAAAGGGGACCGGCTACGAGGGTGAGCGGGAGTGCACATCTGCATGTTTGCTCGACCTGTTCCGCACCGCGGGCCGGTGCTTGTGAAGGACATTTCAACTGCAGATGGTTCTGGACATTGGAGATGCAACGACGGTTGCCAAGGGGAGCAATGAGGAGACAGGAACTGAGCATTCCGCACTCTCGTGCGTTTCACGTGCTCCTCATCATCCTCTCACAACATCGACTTTCCGTTCTCGGACGGGCCTTCCTAATATCCCACTCTCCGTCTCCGCTCCGCTTCGCTCGTGCTCGGTGTTTAAGCGAGAGCAAGAGTTTTATGCATGCGATTTATTAACGGCTGCCACACTCCGAGGCGTAGAGAATACGTTGGCCAGAGTTATGCTAATTACCACAATTACCACGGTATGACGTCTGTGAATTTGACCGAGAGGTGCCTGGAATACCGGAGGGTTGACCAGAACGTTCGACCCATCTTTGGCAAGCAACGTATATCTTGACGACTACTCTGCATCATGTGCGACCTCTCTTTCCCACTCCCATTCCCACTCACACTCACACTCTCACTCTCACTCACACACTCTACCTGCTCGATACCCAGCGCTCGTTGACCGACGCTTCGCACGGCTAGACGCCACCTTTACACACACACAATCCCATCAATATCAACATGATTGCACGCAGACATCTTGCGCGCACAGCGCTCCCTGCCCGCCCACGGCCAATTCCCCGCGCTCTCGTAACTCCTCTCGCCCTCCGCCACAACCCCACCCCAGTCCGATCATACGCCAACTACCCCGGCGGCCCACCCGGCGGTGGCTTTCCACCATACGGCGGAGGCGGCGGCGGTGGTGGTGGAGGTGGTGGCAACTACCCACCCTTCGGCGGGCGACGGTTCCCCGGCCAGCCACAACAGCCACAACAGCAGGGCCCACAGAAGGGCGAGACGCTCAAGCAGTTCTCCGTCGACCTAACAGAGATGGCCAAGGAGGGCAAGCTCGATCCCATCATCGGGCGCGACGAAGAGATCCGCCGCACCATCCAGATTCTTTCCCGCCGCACTAAATCAAACCCATGCCTCATCGGCCTCCCCGGTGTCGGTAAGACGGCGATCATCGAGGGCCTTGCCCAACGCATCGTAAACCGCGACGTGCCCGAGAGCATGCAGGACAAGCGCCTGCTTGTCCTCGACCTGTCGCTTTTGCTCGCTGGCACGGGAGTGCGCGGCGAGTTCGAGAGCCGCTTCAAGCAGCTCCTCAAGGACATTGACGAGGAGGCCGGTAATGTCATCGTTTTCATCGACGAGATCCACACCCTCCTCAACCTCGGCAAGGCCGAGGGCTCTATGGACGCCGGCAACATGATCAAGCCCGCTCTTGCGCGCGGGTTGCAGCTCATCGGCGCCACAACACTCGACGAGTACCGCAAGTACATTGAGAAGGACCCAGCACTTCAGCGCCGCTTCCAGAGCATCATGGTTAAGGAGCCGACCGTCGCCGACACCATTTCGATTCTCCGCGGCCTCAAGAGCCGTTATGAAGCCCACTTTGGTGTGCAGATTGCCGACTCTGCGCTCGTCACAGCCGCAGTATACTCTGACCGCTACATTCCCGATCGCTTCCTTCCCGACAAGGCGATCGACCTCGTTGACGAGGCCTGCTCAACTCTCAAACTCACGCAGGAGAGCCGCCCACAGGCGCTCGAAGATGTCGACCGCCGCATCATGACACTAGAGATCGAGCGCGAGTCGCTCAAGAACGAGGAGGACGCATTCTCGGTCCAGCGCCGCAACAAGGTCGACGCCGAGCTCGCCGAGAAGAAGGAGCAGCAGAAGCGCATGAGCGAGGTCTGGGCCAAGGAGCGCGAGCGCATCCAAGAGATCAAGGGGATCAAGGAGGAACTCGAGCGCGCCAAGATTGCGCTCGAGAACGCGCAGCGCCAGGGCGACTTCGAGGCCGCCTCGCGTATCCGCTTCTCTGAGATTCCGCGCTTGCAGAAGCGCCTGCCTCAAGCCGAGGCCGAGCTGCAGGACCAGGACGCGGCCAACCCCGAGCTCGCCGTGCGCGACCGCGTCACGAGCGAGGACATTGCCATTGTTGTCGGGAAGGCCACCGGCATCCCCGTTAGCAACCTGCTTAAGGGCGAGCGCGAGCGCCTCGTCGGCATGGAGGACCAGCTCAAGAAGCGAGTCGTGGGCCAGGACGAGGCTGTCAAGGTCGTCGCCAACGCCATCCGCCTCTCCCGCGCCGGGCTGCAGAGCCCCAACCGACCCCTGGCCAGCTTCCTCTTCCTCGGCCCTACGGGCGTGGGCAAGAGTGAACTGACCAAGGCTGTTGCCGAGTTCCTCTTCAACGACGAGCAGAAGGCGCTTATCCAAATCAACATGTCCGAGTTCCACGACAAGCACACCGTTTCCCGCCTGATCGGCGCCACCCCCGGCTTCGTCGGCTACGAGGAGGGTGGGCAGCTCACTGAGGCAGTCCGTCGCCGTCCATACTCGGTCGTCGTGTTCGACGAGATCGAGAAGGCCCACCCCGACGTGGCCAACATCCTCCTCCAGATCCTCGAGGAGGGTGTGCTCACCGATGGCCAGGGCCGTCAAGTCAGCTTCAAGAACACGATTATCGCACTCACGTCCAACCTTGGTGCTGAGGCGCTATACGAGCCCGGCGCAACCGAGCCCGACGGCACAGTGAGCGCAAGCGCGAAGAACGCGGTTCTGCGCGACGTCAACAAGTTCTTCCGTCCCGAACTCATCAACCGTCTCGACGAGCTCGTCGTCTTCAACAAGCTCCCGCCCGGCATGATCCTCGACATTGTCAACCTGCGCCTGGGCGAGGTCGCCGCCCGTCTTGCCGCGAAGCGCATCACGCTCGACGTGACGGAGCCTGCGCGCGAGTGGCTCGCCAAGAAGGGTTACTCGGACCGCTACGGCGCGCGCGCAATCACGCGCGTTGTGCGCGACAAGATCTCGAACCCGCTCGCACTCAAGATGCTCAACGGCGAGATCAACGATGGCGAGATCGTCACCGTCCACCTCCGCAAGGACGCACTCGAGATCACGTCCAAGCCCGACCCGAACCAGCCGGAGGGTAGCCGCAAGGACAGCGACGGCGAGAGCATCCTCGAAGAACACGGCGAGCTGCCATAAGCGCGCGGGATAGTAAGCGGACGAATTGTAGCATCACTAGCATTACCCATCTGGGGTTGTACCCCGTCTCCGCACGGCTCATAGTAAATATAAACATTGCAATAGGCAACAGAATAGCATCGGATGGATTGTGTCTCGGTTCTGTGTATGTAGACTTTATGTGTCAGACCGCAGAAGCGTAGAAGCGTTGAAGCACCTGAGGCTTGAAGCACCTTAGGACTTGGGGGGGGGCGGAGCGCTACCGAGCAAGTGGACAGCCTTCTGTCAAAGCATGAGTTAGACACATCAACCTTCCCGGCCTTCCCATGCTTTCGGCTTGGTCTGGGTTTCCAGCCCGTGTTCCAAATGATCAAGTTGCCTGATGCGCAAGTGCGTACTTGCATGCTCTTTCAGTCTACAGTACATATGAAGGTTCGCACGTTGGCATGCATGATATGCGGGAGCGGGAAGCGGAAGTGTCAATGGTCAGTCACGTCACGTGTGTGGGGTCTCCACGGTGACAGTTCGCCTCCGGCGTCATCGGACGTGGCCAGTATGCTCCAGCTTCGCGTCACCTTCTCCTTCTTGATCTCTTCTCTCTCTCCCTCTCTCTTACTCTTGCCTCTTGCTCTCTCTCTCTCGCCACCATGGCAAACCTCGGCCCCAACGGGCTGCAGGTACAACGCACCTCTTCCGACCTGGGCTCCAGCCCGCCAACCTCACCACCCTCTATCAACGCTGCTCTCCAGCACGTTCCAGCACGCTCATCGCCGCTCACCGGCCTTCCTCGACCAGAGCATAGACGCGTCTCCAGCGGCTACCTCCAACCTCCGCTGGCATCAAGGGTGCAGTCGCGCCCCCGCACCCTCGGGCGTGCACAACAGCTGCGCTCCGAGGTAGACGGCGTCGTCAAGCGGCGGGCAGGCTCTGTCCTGGGGCGCGGGTGAGTGGCAGTGACAGTGGCTATGACAGTGGCGGTGGCGGTGGCGCGTCCGCGCGCCAAGGTGGAGGGGTGATTGCTGACGCCAGGTTCATCCTCAAGACCGGTATGCACGGACCTCCTTATCGAGATTATTGCTGATTGCAGACCACTACCCAACCGGACGCGCGCTTGATCTTGACATCAACATCCAGGGCGCACCCAACTTCCGTGCCCCACACGAGGAGGGGCTGAACGTGTTCGGCGTCGCACAGCCCACCGTTCCCGGCCTCAAGTCTATCCTCACCATTCTTCAATGCCAGCCGCCCCGCACAACCCCCACCTCGAGCCGAGCTGGCACACCGTTGGGGAGACGCCGGAGCTCCGCCACCCCTTGTGAGCAGGGCCACACGATATGGTTCTCGACACGTGAAGAGACACTCGGTGAGTCGCCTCCCCTGCTGTCACCCTCGCGCCGTACCTGCTAACAAACAGTGTACATGTGGGTCCAAGGGTCGATGATAAACTCACCCCAGCTCGGGACGGCCATACGTCCTCCGCGACGCTGCGACGCCGCTCCAGACCCTCGCCCTCTCGGACCGCGACGATAACCTCGAGGACATTGAGCGACGTCTCAAGATTGACATTCTGGAGGAATCGAAGCGCTACGGTGGTCTTATTCTCTGCCATGACGAGGTGCACGGCGGGGAGCTCGTGCCGTCGTGGGTCGCCGTCGACGAACGCAGCATAAAGACACCGCGCGAGATCTACGATGACATCCGCAGCCAGGGCTGGAAAGTAGACTACTGGCGCATTCCCGTTGGGCCAGACCGTCCTATCGAGGTGCGTTGGCACTGTAATGGCGCTGACAGCAGGACAACTACCTCGATGCCTATGTATCGCGCCTCAAGGATGTCGACCCTTTGACCACCTCGCTCGTGTTTAACTGTGGCATGGGCGTTGTGCGGAGTGAGTTTTGTACTGAGTAGACTGACGCCAGCGACATTCGCGATGTGCGCGGCCTTGCTTGTCCGACGCGCTCAATATCTGCGCCGCGGGCTCGATGACCCCTTCCCTCTGTCGACGGGATCGGGTTTCTCCACTGTGAGCTGCGGTATTGACGGAGTCCGCTAACAATAGCCTGCCTCAGTGCCCGGGACAGCCACACCACTCTCAATGAACTCCCTTGCACCGGCAACCCCGCATGCCGCCCAGGTCCTGCAGCAGGTGTCGCAGCAGCAGTACCTCAACACCAGCCTGCTCAAGGTCACACGCATGCTCGACGAGAGTGGGTTCCGCCTGCTTCTCAGAATCTGACGCTAGACCTTCCTTCTCGCCGCTCCACTGCGGCCATTGACTTGCTCTCCACTCACCCCAGGCTGCTCGAGTCTCTCCGCAGCGCGCACATGGGCAACTACCAGATTGTCCTGTCCCTCCTGTCCAGCCTCGACCACGGCCGCGAGCTGAAGCGCCTGGTTGACTTGATTATCGATGACTGCGACTCGGTCGTCAACCTCCGCGAGAATGTCATCGAGTACCGTATCAAGTACAGTGTGGCATCGCGCGACGACCCAAATGGTTCTTGGTACCTTGACAAGGCCGTTCGCTCGGTGAGCGCTCCAACTGTATCCGAACTAACCCCAGCTCGAGCAGTACTTTGACCTCATCGTGTTTGCAGCATATACTGAGAGCGACCAGGGCATGCTCAGCGGCGTACCGTTCTCGGCGTGGCTTAAGAGCCGTCCGGAGATCTGGAAGTGAGGTACTCTGCCGAGCAGTTGAGCTGACAAACAGCCAGATCAAAGTTCTCCGTCGGCGCTGGGGCGACCGGCTCTTTGCGTTTGCGCCAGCCAACGACCTCAGTGTCGTATCGAGATCTCTCGACCTTGGCGACAGGCGGATTGTTCGCAAAGGTCACACCGACGTCGAAGGCGGGAAGGTCCTCGGTGACGAATGGGCTGAGCACGTCGTCAAGAACCGCAGCGGCATCATGCTGCGTGCATCGTAGGTGTTGACTGACGTCTGAATCGCTGACAAGATCAGAACCCTTCTCAAGCGCGACTTGTGGGTTGCCGACACTGCTGCCACCACCGAAGGTGTGCGCGGAGCCATCGGATTCCGCCAGGTCGCGAACGAAAGTGTCTACACAACAGGACAGCCGACGCGGGAGGCGATCACGACCATTCTTGGCATCGTCAAGCAGCGCTCCACTGGCATCTCGAAGGTCGTGTGGATCTGTCTCCGCGAGGAGCCTTTGGTGATGATCAACGGTGAGACTCGGGTCCCGGCGCTGGACTGACTTTAGGTGCGCCGTACTGTCTGCGAAGGGACACAACTGCCCTCCGCAACATGCGTGACTACCACGGCGTTTCTGCTGCTCGCCTTGAGGTGTTGGAGGAGCGACTCAAGAGTGACGTCGAGGCTGAGCTGAACACATTTGGTGGCACTCTACTGCTGCACTCGGAGGCCGCGGATGGCAAGGTCGTGCCGTTGTGGGAGAATGTCAACCCCGAGGACGTGGACTCTATCCGCCAAGTTATGGACGACGTGGCTCTCCGCGAGATGGATGTCAACCTTGTCTTCGAGCGTATTCCCATTACTTCGGAGTCGTCGCCAGACGTGAGTGTTTTGCGCTTGCTCGCAGCTGATTTCAGTTCCACGACATCACCTCCCTGCTCGAGATTTGCACCCGCATTGACCTGGACCAGACTGCCATTATTCTTAATGACCAGCTTGGTCGCGGGCGCAGCTCAAACACGGCTGCAGTCATCCTCCTAATCCAGCGCTGGATTAAGCGCAGCCAGGACTCGCACGCGCCCTCGACACCTGCATCGCGCCGAAACGCGTCACGCAACCGCCTTGCTCTCCAGCCCTCGTCAAAGACAAGCTGGCAGATCATCAACAGCGTCCTACGTGTGGTTCGCAATGGTCTCGAGGTCAAGCGTATCGTCGACGATGCAATCGATCGCACCTCTGCAACCTTTAACCTCCGCGACGCGATCGAGGACTGCCGAAACCAGGCAGAGGAGGCCAAGGCCCCGGAGGACCGCACGCGCGCTATCGAAAGAGGTAGGCTCATACGAGTGTGAGCGTCGCTGACACGCAGGTATGCACTGCCTTCTGCGATACTTCCACCTCATCGTCTTCCAGGCGTACCTGGACGACACTGATCGCGACGACGAGAACAAGTACACCTTTGAGTCGTTCGTCAAGCACCGTCCGGTGTTTAAGACTCTGCAAAACGAGCTGCTCGCCGGTGGACTCAAGAGCCTGACGCCGCTGGAGCGCACAGAACCTGTGGAGGGTATGGCTGTGAGTGACGATCAACGAGACGTACTGAACGCCAGCTCGAAGACGAGGTGTCACACGTTGTGGCGAATCGCACAGGCGCTATTCTTTCCGCCCAGACTGTGAGTCCCACTACCGACCAGTCCGCTTATGGCAGATCCTCAAGTCCGACTTCTTCACAGGTTTGCAGAAGCAAAGTCTCCCAGAGTAAGTAGTGTTCCGGGTCGCAGCTCACACTCAGGCGAGTCGACGGCGCGGCAAACTACCGCAAGGTCCCACTACTCCTCGATCCCAAGCTCAACGTTCAGGCCGGCGACAAGGAGGAGTATGTGTACGGCACTGGGTGAGTCCTGCGGTCTGGTCTGTGCTGATGGCGAAGTATGCCGAGCTCCATCGGCTTGCGCAATGCTCTGCACAAGATGGGCGCTGGACCTGACGGCAAGCGCAAGGTCGTCTGGACGTCTCTGCGCGAGGTAGGCTGTCTCCCTGTATTTCAGCTGACATCATAGGAACCAGTCCTCTACGTCAATGGACGGCCGCATGTCTTACGTTTGGTGGACAAGCCGCTCACCAATGTCGAGTACGTGATGGCGACGAACTCGTACTGACTCCAGAACCACGGGTGTCACTGCCAGCGTTGTGGAGCGTATGGAGCTGCAGCTCAAGGCCGATGTCATCAAGGAGATTCGCGAGGGTACCGGCAAGCTTCTGCTTCACGACGAAGTGGAGACCAAGCCGGGCATGTACGAGGTCGTGCCGGTATGGGAGACGGTTGAAGAGGAGAACGTCATGACGCCGCTTGAGCTGTACCAGCAGGTGTTGGACGAGGGCTACCACGTCAACTACCTGCGTATCGCGATCGTGCGTACTCTGCTCTCAGAAATGCCTAACCTCAGACGGACGAGCAGGCGCCTCTTCCCGCTGCTTTGCAGGTCATTGTCACCCGCGTGATGATGGGCGTCCGCGAGGGCGACGACTTTGTGTAAGCCGCCACCAACTTGTACACGGCTGATTGCAGTTTCAACTGCCAAATGGGCCGCGGGCGGACCACGACAGGCATGATTGCTGCGTCGCTTATCGCGACCATCGCGCGCGAGGACACATCGGACGAAGTGTACCAGAGCGACGAAGAGACTGAGGATGAAGACGACGACGTTGACCTGGATGAGGCAGCGCAGTATCTCAACGGTGAGCTCTTTAACCTCCGTGCCCATCTAACCCCAGGCGAGTACAAGACCATCCTGCAGCTAGTCACGGTGCTCCGCAACGGCAAAGAGGCCAAGCACCTGACTGACCGCGCGATTAACGCTATGGATGGCGTGCAAAACCTGCGCAAGGCGGTGTATGAGTGAGTTTTGTCGCCGGGAAGCCAGCTGACACTAGCTTCAAATTGAAGATTGCGGCGGCCGAGCCTGGTACACCGAAGTACAACACCCTGCTGCACCAGGGCGTAAACTACCTGTACAGATGTGAGTCGTGATTGAGGTGGAGCACGAGCTGACGGCAGACGGCGCCCTCATTGTGCTCACCAACTTCCTGCTCGAGTGCAAGGAACAGGGTGTGGAGTTTGACCAGGCCAACTTCCCCGAGTGGCTGCAGAAGCACCGCGAGATCCGTAATGTGCTCAGCCGCAAGAAGCTCGACTAGTGGCCTGAAGGACCGATCTTGTAACCGAGGAGTGTCTGGGGACTTTAAGACAACTTATAAGGCTGACAACATGTATCTATATAGCCGAAACTTCTCACGGTATTCATACAGGCCACTTCAGACAGGCCAAGATCAAGTCTCACTGCGTCTTGTCAGCCTTAGGAGTGGACGGCCCGCTCCCCCACGGCATCCATGAGCTTGACGTGCGTCTGTTAGGGGCGGGGCGGACCTCGGCGCCTACAGCTTCCTCCCGCCTGATCTCGGTGAACGAGGCAGCGAGGTTTGAGCCGCCACTGAGAGAGCCATCTGAGGACGTGCGCGAAGCGTCAAGAGTCCGCGAGCGCGTCTCGCCCTGGCCCGAGGCGCGCGCAGAGCCATACACCTCGTCTGCGGCGTACTGGAACGCACGCGAACCAGCCAACTGTGACGGCGGCGGGGGCACGGGGGGCGAGGCGTCAGACACTTCAAACTTGGGCGGCACAGGGGGCGGGGGCACGTCGAAGCCGCGCGCGGCGGTCTGCTGCGCGGACCCGGCGGCGGCGGAGACAGCCGCGAGCGCCGAGGGGAGGTACCTGCTCGCGAGGCCCTGCATCATGCCCGCGACCTGCAGGAGGCCGCCGCTCGCGGGGTCGTTGAGCGTCGGGGGGTGCACCATCGGGGCGGCACTGCCGAACCCGCCCTGCGCGTACTGCTGGGCGAGGTGCTGCTGCCCCGCCTGGTTGATGTAGCTTGCCTGCTGTGGCGTGAGCTGGAGTCAGCGTCAACGTCGCTTTCGGGAGCCTCACGCCAAGCATCGCGCGCACGCGCTCATACACCCATCCGAGGCCGCTGCGGGTGTGCGCGCCAGCTTGGCCGCGCACGCTGCCGATGAACTCGTCGATCGCCGGCTCGTGCTCCGCGAACAGCGGCGCCAGGAAGTTGTTGTACACGTATGGCGTGCCCGTCGAGCTGATGGCGAGGTAGAGGAACACGGCCGTCTTGAAGAGCGTGTAGAGCGGCAGCCTGGTATCAGTGGCGGCGATGACGGTGGGGCGCTTGCGCACTCCCGTCCCGGCGCCGTCAAGGAGGGGGCACGCGCCCCCCATGTCACTGTCACGCTTTGCGACCGAGTGCTGCTCGCGCGCACGTGATGCTCACCAGCTCAGAACCCAGCCGACGGCGCCCTCGAGCGCCGTCCATGCGCCCACGAGCGCCCAGTACTGCAGCCAGCGCTCGAGCTCGGCGTCGCCGGCCGTGAGGCCGCCAGGCTGCCGCCGCGCCAGCGCCTTGTAGCTGCAGTACGCGGGATAGAGGAACTCGCCTGCAACGCTGAAGTCAGCTTGGGGGGAGCCGAGGGTGGGGCCGGTGGAGTGGGTGGCGCGGTAAGGGTTGGCGATGGGGTGGAGCGCATGACCGCACGTCAGAGGCTCACTTGATCAGGCTGGTTAAGAGGAGGGGCATGGTGAGAGATGGAGAGAGGGGGGCAAGAGAAAGGAGAAGAGAGAGGAGAGGGGAGATGAGGAAATCGACGCGCAACCAACTGCGCAGCGGTGCCGAGCGGCTCAAGCTGCGGTAAATGCGGGGCGCTATGTGCGGCGGCGGCGGATGGCAACAACCAAGTGACGCAGTGGGTGGCAACGGGAGCAGATGCACGTGATTATGTATCGCCTCTCGCTTTCCGCTTGTAGAAGGTGCCCGCCGATGCGAGGACCGTGTTCTGCGGTGCCGAGCGGCGCGAGGGACATGGTGGGGATGGGTGCATGGGCGCGCGCGCGCCCCGGTAGCGATTAGCAGTCTCACAGAACAAAAAATCTCGGATCTCACCCATCGCGCCACTATACGTTGCTACGACGAGGGGAAAGTCAGGCGCGGTCAACGCGCTCGAGACGCGATGAGCTATCTCTCTCATACGGACAAGAGCAGCCGTGCGCAACGTAGCCGACCTCGCTACGCCCCCCCTCCTCTACCTCCACATATCCACAGATATGCCACGTCTCTCCCACAGTCAGAGAGTATGCTCCGGGTCAGGACTCCATGTGAGATGCGCCTGCTTCTGACGCTTGGGCGCTGTCTTCACCTCATCGGTTGGGCGCTATCAGATATGCGTCAGGCCTTGGTCGTTGCTGTAGAGTAGGGTTGGCTGCACGCTGGTGCATAGACTATGCGCTGTAGTCCTGTATCCCGGAAGTCTAGAAACATAAAGAGGTATTGGCCTCATTGGCCGAAGCGGCGACGCAGCCAGCTACAAGATTACGCACTTTCGGTGCTTCTTCTTTGGCTGAGAGTGCGGAGCGGCGACGGGAGCGGCAGCCTCCGGCCCGCGCTTGGCCACCTTGATGCTGCGGACAAGCTGCTTGAAGGCGGCCTCCACATTCTGGTTGAGGCGGGCAGACGTTTCAAAGAAGTCACAGCCAAGCTGGGTGGCGAGCGCGCGCCCTTCCTCTGGGGATACTTCGCGGTCGTTGCCCTGGTCGCGCTTGTTGCCGACAATGACGATTGGCGTGCGCATGCGCTGTCGAGGCGATGGTCGTCCGTACACATTCTCTGATGCGCTCATGCTCGCCTCGTCCTTTACGAGTGTGACGCGCTCGACAATCTTCTCTACACGGTCGAATGTACTACGAGCCGCGATGCTGTAGACGACCAAGAATCCTTCTCCGTCGCGAATCCACTGATCCCGTAACGCCGTGTACTCCTCTGTGCGTTAGTGTGCGAAGCGGAAGTGACGTGATGCGAAGCGAGAGGGCATCGGCACGTCGAGGGACGCGCGACGGGGTGGGAAAAGCGCGACCCTCGCGTCCCTTCGCGACACCAAGACCAGACTCCAGAAGCTCAACCCACCCTGTCCAGCTGTGTCGAGTACCTCTAGCAAGCACGGCTGGTCGTCGACGACCCACTGCTTGCGATAGCAATCCTCGATAGTTGGGTCGTACGTCTCGACGAAAGATGACATGGTGAACTGATGTTAGGGGAGTCCGGGGGAAGGCTGTAGCAACTTGCGCGTGGAGACGCACTTGGACTGTGAGGGCTGTCTTGCCGACACCACCGTCACCGAGGACGGTGATCTTGTAGACCATACGTGAAGCTTGTGACTGGTGTTAGAGCTGGGAGCTAAGCGAAGAGTGGTGAGAGGGAGGGCGCGCGCCGGAGTGCAAGGAGGAGGAGAGGAAAGGAAGGAAGGAAGGAGGGGGATGATGTGGAAAGGAGGGTGTTGACGTGTTGACGGTGGATGATCGGATGAGGCAGAATGCGTCTACTTGATCACCAGGAAGCGCCGCGAAGGCTTCAAAGCTCGACCGAGTCTACTTTCTCCGTGGACGCGCCGCATGACGAGTGTCGCACGCGGCCTGGCCCTCTCGCCATGGTCAAGATAGTCGACGCACCATGATTGTAAGCCCGCGTGATTGCGGGAGAGGGGGAGATGGTGATTGCTGGGTGGCGACTGGAGGTTCTGGAGCGTGCTAGTGCAAGCTGGCGGGGTGGTGGGTCGTTGGACGCGCGCGTGGAGGGTGGGGAGGAGCCGGGTGGAGTGGGCGATGGGTTGAACGCGTGGGCGGAGCGTCGGGGTGTGAAGGAAGGGATGGTCGTGTCTTGTGTCAAGTCGTGGGTCGTGGAACAAGAAAGGGAATGGGGGGCCGGAAGAGACAAAGACAGAGAGAGAGAGAGAGAGAGAGGTAACGGATGAGATGACGGAGGAGGATGAATGGATGGAGAGAGGGAGGGTGACGATGATGACGAGCGAGAGAGAGATGGAGATGAAAGAGATGTTTCTGTCTCCTCTCTCCACACCTTGCTCGCCATGCTTGCGCGTTGGTAGCCAGCTTACTAGCCAGCCCAGCGAGTATTACCCTGCATTTATTCCCTGGCGCCATGACCCAAACTTGCCATAGTCGGTGGTGGTCCGTGCCCACAAACTACAGGCCCCCCTTCTCTCTCATCCCGTCCTTCTCTCTTTCTTCTCTCTCTCTCTCTCTCGCGATCTCGTTCCAATATTCATCATCTGGGCCATGGCCAAACGTCCCGCTCCCCCGCTCCCCCGCTCTCCCCCTCCCCCGCTCCCCCCCGGCCCGCAGTTCGCAATTTGCAGCTGCAATTTAGGGTGACCCGCCCCAAACGAGCCCAGCCTTATCGCGATCGGCAGCCCCTGACGCACCAGACTGCCATCTCCCAACGCGCCCAACGAGATCAGCTACCAAATGCCTACTGCAGGAGACTCCCTCGTCCTCTTTGATACATTCAAATTGCATCAACCACGGCACATTACGGCACGCCAAATACCCCCCCCTCTCGTTTGTTACTTGCCAGACTCCAGACTCTAAACAAAACACTTGGAGGCACGCTGGGTTCCTGCCATCCTGGGAAACGGATGCAGAGAGAATCAATTGCCTGCCGCAGCCTGAAACGCTCTCGGTTTCAGCTCAATACAGCCCGCGCCCGAACATGCGCTGAAACGTGCCTGTACATCAATCGCCGCCTCCGATCTCGGATCTCTTGGCATGGACGCGTCGTGGCGTCTGCAATTCATGGCCTAGTAGCTGGTAGCTAGGTGTACGTGTGCGCGCTCGGCCAACGCGGCGACAAGAGGAGCAGAACAGGAGCCGCGGCGCCACTGTGATGTGCCTGGCCTGTCACGCGACACATGACTCCGGCTCTCAAGGCCACTGGCTGCGAGCTCGCTAGCACGACTCGTGTAGTTATATCAAGATATCGCTCGTGTCTTGGGCAAGAGATTGTGCCTTCAATGCCTCGCTCGACATCCTAGCTAGTAACTGTGCCTCCCACATCCCAGCTATCGCAGACAATACATCTACTGGAACGTTGTACAACATAACAACTTCTCGCGATCTTTGTTCGCGCGCTCGAGCGCTCTCCACTCATCCGCTTCCCCGCTCACCCGCTCACCCGCTCATCGCGCGCTCCGCTCGCCTGCCCCGTCCGCAAGCACGGTGCACATAGTCGGCGCCGTCATCCCCCGCTTCGGGATGCCGACCGGCATGCGCGCGCCACCATGCGCATTATCCTGCTTGCGGAGTCTGCGCCGGTCCCGTGCGGCCCGCACGATATTGTAGTGGATGGCCTGTACGGCGGCGTCGACGCCGCTCTCGGCGCGGATGCGCTCGCCAATCCGCGCCGCCTTCTCCACCATGACGCGGCTGGTCGTCGCCTTGGTCAGCGCGTCCGCAATGTCGTCAGAGCGCAGCGACGACACCTTGGCGCCGACGCCGAGCTTGGCCACGCGCAGCGCCCAGAAGTGCTGGTCGCCGAACCAAGGCTTGATGAGCGTCGGGATGCCGGCGCGGAGGGACGCGCCCGTCGTCCCCGCCCCGCCGTGGTGCATTGCCGCGTCGAGCTTGGGGAACAGCCAGCCGTGCGGCACCTTGTCGACAGAATAGCAGCTGGCCGGGAGCGGCTCGTCGTCCTCGGCGTCCGCGGCTTTGTCGCGCCCACTCCACCCCTTGGCGATGATGGCGCGCACGCCCGCCTTTTCCACGCCTTTGACGATGCTCTTCGTTACGGCCGCTGGGTCCGGCACGATAATGCTCCCGAAGCCAATGTAGACGAGCGGCTTGCCGTCCGCCTTTGCTTGCGCCATGAAGGCGTCGAGGCTCGGCGGCGGCGACCAGTCCATGTCGCTGTTCTCCAGGTTCCAGTATCCCGTGATCGTGATGGCGTCGTCCCAGTCAAGGGGCTTGGGCACGACCGCCGGCGAGAAGTTGTACAAGAACGGCACTTTGTTGATGCTCAGGCTTTCTTGGTCGGTGCTGCGAAGCCCGAGGTACTTCTTGCGCCACCGGTTGATCTGCCCCGAGCTGGCGCGCCACATGATGTTGTCGAACAGCACGTACGTGCTGTAGTTGAAGCTCGGCCCCATCTCGATCTGCGGCACCATGAATGCCTGCGGGTACGCGCTCGTGCGGGTCCACGGCATGGTGAATGCGCGGAAGTAAGGGACAGGCTTGCCGCTCTTCTTGGCGAGCCCTTCGGCGATGTGCACGCCCGCCATAGCGCTCGGGCTTTCGATGAGCACGTCGGCGTCCTGGCACGCGTTCCAGCTGTCGACGAGCAATTCGTCAAGCCAGCGCCGGAACCCGCCGAGCGCCTCCTTGAAGAAGCCGGGCGAGAACATGGCGTGGTCCGTGCTAAGCTTCATGAGCGCCGTCGGGTCGCCGCCCGCTTGGCGGTGCTCGATGCCGTAGCTCTCGATCCAGGTCTTGAACTCGTCGTGTGTGACGATCACGCACTTGTGCCCGTCCTCCATGAGGCGCAGCGCGAGCGCGATGTATGGCTGCACGTCGCCGCGGCTGCCGATAGTGAGCATCGTGAAGCGCCGCGGCGTCAGGCGCGTGTTCCACCCCGTGCGTACTTGCCACGGCCGGTTCGCCACGAAGGGCATGTAGCTCAGCGCCTCGTCGCTCATCGCCTTCGGGTAGAGAAGCAGGTCGGGCGGCGGCGCGAGCACTTTGGCCGCGTGGGCGAGCGTGCTCGCCGTCCCGAGCGCGGGGTTGAACTCAAAATCCTTGTCCTCGAGCTTCATCCCCCGCACCTGCTGCCACATCTGGACGGGGCCCTGCTGCCCCTCGATTGAGTGCTGGGCGGAGGAAGCCTCGGACGCCGAGTCGGGCGGGAAGTCGGCCATCTGCGGCGTCTGCGTCCCCGTTCCCGGCGGCGTGGGCAGGCGCACGAGCTCGTTGATGCGCTCGACCACCATGTCGCGCGACGTCTTCTTCCAGAACTCAAAGTGCAGGTCCTCCTGCCCGTGGATGTGGATATCGAGCCCGTGCATCCGGATGCGCGTGGACGGCGCCGCCTCCGCGCCCTTGACATCGCGCACAGCAAAGCGGTACTTGATATCGGCGCCGACGTTCGCGCGCCGCCAGAAACAGATGTATCGCGGGGTGAGGATGATGTGTCCCCGCGCCGGCGCGACTTTGCCAATATAGCAGCGCTTGAGCCAGATGCCCTCGTCTTCGCGCAGGCCGAATACTCTCGCGGCCATGGCGGCCTTTTCGCGCTTACGGGCCTCGATGAGCGCGAGCGGCCGGCCGGCCTCCTCGTCGTCGTCTTGCATGCTCGACTCCGAGCCGCCCGAGTTGCGCCGGTCCCGGCGTGCCTCGATGTCGTCGTCTTTTGCCAGGCAGTCGTACCCGCCCACATCGATCGTGAACTTTGCTGGCGTCACGCCCGCCTTGTACTGCCGCTCGCGCGCGGCCTCGAACGCAGGCTCGAGCACCTGCACGAACCACGCTTGCTCGTTGAGCACGCCGACAACGAGGTCGAAGAGGCTGTCGTCGTCCTCGACCGAGACGGGGTCGAGGCGCGGCGGCGGCGCCGCGTCGATATACGTCTTGTTGCGGGAAATGCTGCCCGGATCGAACGCCGGCTGGCTCGACGCGTACGCCGTCTCCGCGCGCAGCGGGGACGAGAACTGGCCCGAGCCGCGCTTCTCCTTCGTTCTTTCGCGGGACGAGTCTCTCGACCGGCTCAACGAGGGGAGGAAGCGCGAGCGCCGCCGCCCCCCGTCCTCCGTAACCGCGCGCCGGGGCACTTCGAACTCGGGCAGCTCTTGCTTGAGGCCCGCGAAGTTGCCCTCGGACGTCTCGGGCGCGGCGTCGTCGCGCCGGATGTCCATCTTGACGAGCGTCGCGAACGAGTGGTACTCGCTCACACCGGCGACGCGCGCGCGGTCCAGCGGCACGCAGCAGCGCAGCATGCTCCAGCCTTCAACGGCTTGCGTGTGGGTCATGGCGCCCATGACGCCTTGCAGCGAGTCACGCATGTGGCTGTCGCGGAACCGGCGGCGCGAGTAACGGAACAGCGCGCTCTCAAAGTATCGGCGCCAGGTGATGGCGCTCTGCTCGTTGTCGACGGTGAAATGGGTGGTGCGCTCGCCGTCGGCCGAGTCGTATGTGAAGACAAAGTCGGTGGGGTGGTCGTCATCAAACGGCATCAGCCGGAGTACGGTGGACACTGGTGTGAGCTGTGAGGCAAAAGGGTGCTTACGGAGGATGGAGAAGAGGGGGCGGACACGGCTCTTTTCGTCGCCGGAGGGATAGGTTGTGATCATCTCGGGCGAGAGCTCCAGCCACACCCGCTGCTTGGGCTTGTACAAGTTCGAGCGGTGGACGGTGACCGGGCCCGCGTAGATGATGTTCGGGCGGGCGACGGCGCCGTCGTCTCCCGGCTCCGCGATTTCAGAGGGGGACATGAACGCCGAGTCGGGCGGCAGCAGCGCGTGGAAGAGCAGCCGGTGCGTCGTGAGGTGCAAGTTGCCGATCATCATGACACCCTTGAACAGCGTGCCCTGGCTCTCGGCGAGGATGCGCTCCGGCTCGCTCTGTCCGTCCGCGTCCACCATTTTGCTGGCAATGTCCCCGAACTCGTCGATGATCGCCTGCAGCTTGTCGGCTTCGTTGTACTCGTTACGGCTGAAGCGGTCCTTCTCCTCCGCAAGGCTCGGGACCGCAGCAGATTTGGGCGTCGTGGGCGTCGAGGCGGTGGGCGTCAACGGCTGTTCCGACGTCGGGGCCGTCGACACGCTTTCGTCGTCTGTATCGTACAAGTGATTGGGGCGGTAGGACGGCCGGCGCAGCGCGCCGGGCCGCGAGACGGTGCTCGAGCTCGCGTTCGCACTCGCGAACGACGAGTTGAGCGTGTTCATAGAAAGCGCAGTCAGCTTTGCGCCCGTGTCTTCGTGCTCGGCGCGGATCCACTGCGCAAAGCTGTACTTCTTGTCTTCGTCGGGTGTGTCTTCCGAGTCGATCTTCTCGTGACCGAGGCTGTCGGTGTCCCGGAACTCGTCGGCATCATGGAACTCGTCGTCCGGCGGCCCCTCGCCCATCGGCTGGGCCGTCTCGACCTCGACCTGGACGCCGCCGCGGCTGTCGACCTCGACCTCGTCCTCCTCGACTTCGAGTAGGCCTGCTCCCGTGATGCCGCGCGCGCCCGCGGCCATAGCTTCGAACATGCAGAAGAGCTGGCAGCTTGACGCGGTGCCGGCCTGGACGTGGCCGAGTCCTTCGTCGGATACAGTGCGTTTGTGCTTGGAGTTCTGGCCCTTCTTGGTGGGGCATTTAGCGAGGAAGCGCTTGAACTTGGGCGTGGGCGCTATGGCTAAGCTGGGCGCAGATGTAGTGGACGCGGACGGCGGTGGCGAGGCGGGGTCGGGGGCCGAGTCTGCAGACGCCGACGCAGGCCCGGTACCGGTCGCGGTCGCGGGACGCGGAAAGGACAGCTTGTTGAGCGGCATGCTGCGGTGCGGTGCGGTGCTGCGGATGGCTTGGTATTGCTATCTATTCAGTTGGCAGGTACGGAGGCGTGCGGCGTGCTTGATGAATGAATGAAGAGGTTGAAAATGATGGTACTAACTGCCGCCTGGACAAGCTGGACATGGAGATGCGACCGATGACAAGTCGTCACAGTCCTCACGATGGGTTCCCAGCTTCTGTGGTCCCGTCCTGCTGTTCCGTCGCAAATGCCGGCGACCGACACGTACCCGCCTGCTGCACACTGCGGACGGCCTTGGGAGAAAGCGAAGCTAATCAAACAAGCATGCCCGCGGGCGGCCGTGATGTGTCAGATGGCCATCGGTCATCGCGCCTCCCCCGGGCTTCTGGGCCATGGACACAGAGTCCCGAGAGCCCGGGCCCAGGGCCGTGGATCGAGATCTATCTGCCGTATCAGCAAAACGAGGCCTAGAGCGCTCGAGTATACCGAGGCCTCCGATGACCGAGATTCTAAGCGCGAGCGGTGCGCCGGCCCGGTCCACCTCGGCCCTCACCTCGCCTCGGGCTCGGTGCCGACGTCATCGGCCCTGAGCGGAAGAGTTCCGGACATGGTGCGTACTCCGCCATGCCAATCCTCGTGGCACTCGCGTGTGTCCATAAGTATCACGTGATAGGAAATGTTGAGCCTCCACCTTCGCAGATTGTTGCTTGATCCACAGGCTGCAGGATGAGAGTAAGCATCACACCATGGCTGCTGCACCGGGCCCATCAAGTCGCAAGGCAAAGGACGGCTTGCTCCGCTTCTCGGGGCACAAGCACCTGCGCCAGCGCCTCGTCCTCGCCATCCTCTCGGGCAAGTCGATCCGCGTCGACGGCATCCGGCCAGACGACGTGCACGTCGGCCTGCGCGACTACGAAGTCAACCTCCTCCGTCTGGTGGAGAAGGTGACGAACGGGAGCACGATCGACATCAACTTGACCGGTGAGTGGCTGTTGCGCCGTGGCAGCGCGCCCTCGCAGCCTCCGTGGCGCGCGCAGGCTGCGTCGTATCCCGCTGACAACAGGCACATCCTTCCTCTTCCACCCCGGCCTCCTGCCCGGCGGGACGTACACGCACACCTGTCCCCGTAGCGTGGGCTACTACCTCGAGCTGCTGGTGCCGCTCGCGCCGTTCTGCAAGAAGCCGTTCAGCATCACGCTGGACGGGATCACGGGCGACACAGCCGACCTCTCCGCGGACATGGTGCGCACCGTCACGCTGCCACACCTGCACCTCTTCGGGATCCGGGACGCCGAGCTGCAGATCAAGAAGCGCGGCGCGGCGCCCGGCGGCGGCGGCTCGGTCCTCTTCTCGTGCCCCAACGTCCGCCAGCTCGCCACCCTCCGCTTCCTCGACGCCGGCCGCGTCCGCCGCATCCGCGGCATCGCGTACTCGACCCGCGTGTCGCCCCAGTTCGCGAACCGCATGGTCGAGGCCGCGCGCGGCGTGCTTAATCGCTTCATCCCCGATATTTATTTGTATACCGACGTGTACAAGGGCGAAGAGGCCGGCAAGTCGCCCGGATACGGGATCACCCTCGTCGCGCAGAGCACGACGGACGCCGTGCATTCCGCCGAGGCGCTCGCGCATACACCGGGATCAGAGGGTGGTGTGCAAACACCAGAGGATGTTGCGACCCACGCCGCGCGCCTCCTCCTCGAGGAGATCAGTCATGGCGGCGCGGTGGACAGCAAGCACCAGTGGCTTGTCCTCCTCCTCATGGTGCTCGGCAAGGAGGATGTTGGCAAGTGTCTCATGGGCGACCTGACAGCGCACACGTGAGTCTCTACTCTCTCCTCAGCCCCTCAGATCTCCTGCTTACCCCCAGCATCCAATTCCTCCGCGACGTCCTCCTCTTCTTCGGCGTCAAGTTCAAAATCTCACCTGCACCAGCACCCGAACTCGAGGAGGGCGAGGAGCGCCCCGCAACCCGCGGCACCGGCGAGGTGCTCGTCTCCTGCGTCGGCGTCGGGTACAGCAACGTCAACAAGGCTATGGCGTAAATTATGTGTCATGTATGTACTTCTAGCACCTGGCTCGTGACTGGCTCGTATCTGGCTCGTATCTGGATCGTGGCTTGCTTGTGGCTCCTTAGCTGCGGTTCAACTCGGCGGGACCCAAACCCGCCTGCCAGATGAGCGGTGGCACGGGGGGTGGAGGCTCAGAGCGCCCGAGAAGCTTGAAGCTCGGCAGCGTAGGGCGTCGGCGTCGCGTGCTGCGCTGCGTGTCTCCCTTTTCCTTCCTCGGTGACAGTGGCGATGTCGGGAGCGGTGGCGGCAGAGCTATGGCAGGCGTGTCGAGGCGGCGGAGGGCAGGAGACGCGGGAGTGCGCGGGCGTGGGACGCGCGTTTGGCGTGCCGTCGTCGGGGAGTCGTCGTCGGACGACGAGGGCTCAGCGGGGCGCCGAACCACGCAAACCTTGGTATCGATCGAGAGATCGGGCTTGTGACATCTCCTCGGCGCAGACATGTACGTGCGATCGGGATGCGAGTCCTCCGAGCTCGGCGTAGTGGAGATGGAGAGATTGAGAGACGGGCGAGATCCCCAGTCGAGCTCATCGGACGGCTCGCGCACAAGGCGGCTGGGGAGGCCGGCCACGTCGTCCACGCCCAGATCAAACTGGATGGGGTCTGGCGGGCATGCGAGCGAGTGGATCCGGTCCAGAAAGTCGTCGTACTTCTCCATCAAGTCGGCGATGTCGCCAAGCTCCGCGACGACAGTTGGCAGCGTCGTGAGCTTTGCGCCAGGATGCTGCCGCTTCTCATACCACGTCTCGCAGCACACGGCCCAGTCGGCACTCAGGTCTATCGGGCCCGCAGCGGTGAGATGGGGGATGGCCTCAGCATGGAAGGTTGGCACGAGTTTGCGACGTGCGGTGAGCAGGCGCTCAACCTCGGGGGAGACGTTGGCACCAGCCTCGTGGTCGCCCGCTGGCGTGGCTAGTGACACCAGATAGTCGATCATGACGTCGTTGTTGGCTTGAATAAAGACCTTGAACAACGCGAGGTCCGCGTGCCGCACCAGGTCTTTGTCCGAGAAGAACGCGAGCGTGTGCAGCACCTTTGCGATGAGCGTAAGGGTGCGCTGCTGTGCTGGTTCGAGAAGCGAGCTGGCCAGTCCAAAAAGGTGTGGTGACATGAGCGCCGGCCCGATCAGCCGCAAGAATACAAAGCTCGACACGGCCTTGTAACGCAGCAAATCGTCGCCGTCGTCGTGAAACTCCTTGACCATCCGGAAGAGGTGTGCTAGGATATGGCGGATAAAGTTCGGAAACAGGTGACGGTTGTCGTACATGTTCGCCCAGCAAGTCTGGATGAGCTCTGTCATAACGCCCAGTACGCGGAAGTTGAGAACAGGCTCGCTTTCGTCACTGTAACCTGGCTGGAAGAGACGGGGCTCAATGCTCTCGCGCATGACGCGCTTGATTGTCGGCCCCAGAGACGCCTGGAGAAAATCGGAGCACATCATGCGCATGAGGACCTCTAGTGTCTTTGAGAGCGGCGTGGTGCTGCGGAATAGGGTGGTGCCCGCACTCCTCGCCTCTATCGTCGCAGTATCTCGCACTCTGTCCATGAGAGCGCCCTCGCACAGCGCAATACGGCACAGATACTCCATCGTGCCCTCCATCTGACCGCGGCCGCCCATGACGTAGAGGAACTTTGACGCATTGCCCGAGTGCGCCAGCTGCTTGTCAGTTAGTGGCTGTGTACCCGAGTAGGGGGCTCACCAGGGAGTTGTACTCTGCCAGCGAGATTACGTTGACCTCTTGATAGGAAACCGTGAGTCGGATCTCGCCGATAATGTTCCCAGTTACTGAGCGGACAGGGTATCGCTCGTCGGCGGCTTTCGTGAAGGATGACACGAGTGGAAGGTCAACCTTGCCGAAAAGCACCGAAATCTTGTCCTTTTTCTGCCGCAAGAGAAGCAAGGCTAGCGTAAGCGGTGCGCATGGAGCGTAGAGTTTGAAACGCGGGGAGTTGGCTCGGCCCGACTCTGCACATCTCCTGAGCTGGAAATCTGCCCCGGTTCGCATGTTCAATCTAGGCCAGAGGGAGGGTCATAGCGTCAAAGGGCTTGCGTGCGATGCGATGTGCGACCATCCTCGCCTGCACACGCATGCGTACTCACAACACGTAGTGAAATGGGGAACCTCTGTTAGATTGAACTGCTCGCCCCAGAAGGGTGTGGCACCCCCCTCTGTCGCCTTGGTCCAGCCAGTGCGAGCTACGAGTCGGTCATCCAGAAGCCTGAATGTCAGCGTTACAGTACCTTGCTGCACCTAACAGTTCAACCCGAATTTGGTCCTTCCACGACCAACCCGGTTTGGAGTTGACGCGTTTCATGTCCGCATCTCGCCGCTTACTTGGCGACTTTACAGGCCGACTGTCACTCGTAATGCTGCCGTCTTGCTGCGAGCTGCTGCCGTCGAGGTCGGGCATGGGCATGTGGCTCGCCTGCGCCTCTTGAATGTCCAGGACAGCAATTCGAAGACGCCGGTGGGAGCGCATCTGGCGCCCATCCTCAAGAGGGATGCGCGCAAGCGAGCGAAGGATGGCATACCACTCGTCCTTGATCCGCTGACTCGAGAAGGCAAGAAAGAGCATCAATTCTTGCTCACCTGCTTCCTGGGGCTGGAAGAGCTGAGTCGTTGGCGCGAGCGGCGGGGGAGATGGGACGGCAGATGGCGGCGGCGCTTCAGAGGACGGAGTCGGAGAACCAACTTCAGATGCTGATATTGTCTTGCTTCGGGCGCGAGTAGTCATGGGGATCATGCCGAAGAGGCGGGAGCCGTCACTCGGCTGACGTTTCCTTCCAAACGGTACCGACATGAAGGTCTTTGGCGGGCTCATGGCGCCCTGAGAGCTGGCACTGCTGGTTGTACTCTCCTGCTGGGTCCTGGAACGTGAGATCTCGGCTGGCATCGAGCCTGTTGGTTGTGGTTCCTCGAACACTTTACATCCTGTGAGGCGGAGAGAGATGCCATGTGTCCGCGCCGAGACTGACGGGTGAATGTGCTGTATATCGCTGATGCTCCACACACCGCTGTCCGCGAGCGCCGGCAGACCAATGTTGAACACTGGTTTACGCTGTGGTGAGCTCAACCTTTTTGTTTTCTGACGCTCACAGTTGCGGAACGCAACACGCGAAGCTCTCCGCCGCCGACTCCGCCCTCCCCGGCGAGGCTAATGGACAAGGCACCTTTGGACCATCGCGTGGGCAGGCCTCGCTCTGGACCTGAAACTGAGGCCGGAGCGCGCCACCCGGGGAGTTTTCCATACGAACGCGAATCTGGGGCTGGGTCAGCACCTGCTTGATATTGCGTGCACGTACGCTTGAGGGATCGATCGATGGAGGCCGAGCCAGTAGATGCTCGGGCTGCGCGCGATTTGGGTGGGTGGGAGCGGTGAGGAGGGGTGATGTCGAAGGCTGTCGGTGAATGGAGTGATGGAGATGGGAGAGGGGAGCTTTCGAATAGGGGGCGGGGGGGGCCAAGAGGAGGCGTAGGCTAAAGTCAGCGGGGGCGCAAGGGGGCGGGAGATTGCGTCACTCACAATGTCTATCTCTGAGGCGCGCTTCTTCTTTGAGAGGGCGGGGGAGGGGGAGGAGGGTGTGAGGAGACTTGTGGATGCGACATGGTACTCGACCGGAGTCTCGTAGACCCACGAGGCCGAGGGCATGGAGGAAGGTTGTGCTGGGGTTGGCTGTTGGGGGGGGGGGGCTTTGGGTGAGGAGGAGGGTGAGGCGAAGGGGGACGGGTGACGGTGACGGTGACGGGGACGATTAGTGAGTGTGGTGAGTGAGTGGCAAGAAGTTGAAAGAGCGAAGGGGAGGGAGCGGAGTGGAGAGTGGAGAGTGGAGAGTGGAGAGTGGAGAGTGGAGAGTGGGGAGCACGGAGTAAGGAGTGAGGAGGTCGAGGCGAAGGGAGGTGGGGGGGGGGAAAGAGAGAGAGAGAGAGGCTCGGGCGCGTGTGTTGGGAGTGGAGGAGTGGAGGAAGGTCAGTGGCCAGCTAGCCAGTGGCCAGCTAGCCAGCAGATGGTGAACAGTGTGGATGCGATTGAGCACGGACGCTGAGGCCACCGGCCATGGGTGATTTGCGACGGGTTCTAGTCGGCCGCGTGTTGCCGGCTATAGCTGATGAGAGCTGATGGACGCGCGACACGAGGCGAGGGGGAGCAAGGAGGGGGAAGAGGGGTGTAGAGGGGCACAGTCAGCAGTGGATTCGGGGAGTGGACAATGTTCCTTTGGCGTGTTCGGGGTATGCGGCCATCCGGGGCATGTCGAGAGTGTCATCGTGTACATCGTGTACATCGTGTGAGGGCGTGAGGGTTCAGACCATCGTCCAATGCTCTGGGTCAGGTTAACAAATTGGTCTGCGTCTGGAGCAGACTTGCCTTGCATGCCTTGGCCGTTCTCCCCGCCGTCAGCATACTGTATCATCCGCTCTCCTCATCCCTCCTCATCTCCTCCCCAACACCGTGCGCAATTCATTCTCGCATGCTCGCAGGATCCCAGGATCCCCAATCGCAGGGATATAGGGATACAAAGGGCCATCCATATCCATAGGGCTAGCTGGGGTAAGCGATGAAACCAGGCATCGTGCACGGACCGTCTGTTGGCTGTCTGTCAGATGTCAGAGGATCAGAGGATCAGACGAGGGAGAAGAAATAAGATGGACCGCCATGCGGCCGGCGGCCCAAGCCACCCTCCACACGGACCGCCTTTGATCCTCGAACCACGGTCCTCGTCAGGAACCGATCTCCTCCTCGCCTCCTCCCTCCACTTATCTACCGGCTTTCTCCGCAAGCCGACGAGCCACGAGCCGCGAGCCGTGAGCCGACTCATCGGCGTGCGGATGCGGAAGCTCCGAGGCACGCCCACCGCCCCGTTTCCGCTCCTTCCCATGCCACCACCGACGTCGACCCCGAATATCCGCCATCCGCCATCCGCCTTTCCCATCCCTCTCCGGATCTCCGTCCCTCCGCCACAGGGAGAGGCGGAATTGAGGCCTCCAATCGTCAGACAACTATACTGTATGCGGATCGACTGTAGCTTGCAGGATCGCAGGAGGGCTCGCGGCTCGCGGTCAGCTGACGCTTATCAATCGGCTCGTGCGATTGGCGCGATTGGACGCGAGAACACGTTGTCGCCTTGCAAGGCCTCGTAATTGCTCGTAAGTGGTCGGCGGCTGCATTCTGCAGTTTTGCGATCTGCCTGATACGCAGCCGAAATGCCCACTCGGATCTGGCCTGCCTCTACTCGTAGCGTCCAAGTTGCGGTTCTCTCTGTCAGTACTGAAAGAGTAGAGTGGGCGGACGCGAATAGCAGTAAAATTAGCAGCAGCCAGCAGCCTGAGACGAGAGTATGGAATCAGGGAGGCAAGCCGTGGCAAGTCACATTGCTCCTCCATCCTCTTCACATTACTCGCTTGGCTGATCCTTTCTTAGACATTATTAGTGTCGCGTGGATGATCTTCGGATCTTCGGGTGCATGGTGTGCATGCGCATGCAGTGAGCGTGCAAGCGATCATCGTCGCGCGGTCGCGTGGCGACGCCGAGGGCAGGGCGAGAGGCGCCAGGCGCCAGGCGCGAGGCGTGAGGTTGCGCTTCGGGCCAGACCCGGCCGACATTATATGCGCCTGAAACGCGACATGCCTGGGAGCTGGCAAGCTGGTTAAGCTGGCAAGCTGGGAGATGAGAAGGCCCATGGGACCCCGGATCTACGGCCGTATCCACGCATGTTTTCCCACCTCCCTGCCCCCAGCTCGGTGCCTTGCTCTGCCATCTCCCAGCTGCTGGCTGCTGGCTGTCTGAGTGCTTGCCAGCATGCGGCCCATCTCCGAGTACGGAGAACGACGGCGGAGGCGCACCCAGTATGCCACAGACGCCTCCCGCCGGCAGGCCATCAGCTGATCAGCTGACATCTGACATCTGACATCTGGCTTGGCACCCCACGAAATTTCATTGGAGATGTTGTGTCTCATGGCCATGGATAACGTCCCGCTTTTCGCTGCCCACGCTAGCCTTGGATCGCTGGGTTATCTTGTCTCGGGCCCACGGGATCTCGAAAAGGGCAGGTTGGTACCGCATGCCGCATGAATGGGACGTGGATGAAGGGAAGATAGAGGATGACAACGGCGGCGTGGGAATCGACTGTCGTGTTTGACTTCTCCGCACTTGATGAATCATTATTACAGTACACTCGTGCACCGCTGCCAACTTGCAATGTATTCTGTGCCCAGGCACACAGGCGGAAGATCGAGGGTGTTGTCCCTGAGATCAAGTCGCGTCGTACAGCTCTGTCCCTGGATTGGCGGGCCTGGGCCAGCATGCCACGAACCACGAGCCACGAGCCACGAGGCGATGAGGCAAGGAGGCAAGGAAGCGAGAGGAGGTGCGGAGGATATGGATATATGGAATAAGGGACAATCAGGGAGATGGGGGGAATTGGGGAATGGATCAAGTCTAGCTCATGGCATTCACTCGATCTCCACCGTGGACGCTCTGGCACTCGCAATTCTCAAATCTGGCAGCTGGCAGTGTGCACGCGATCCACGCCAGCACGCCAACGCGAGCGCGCTAGCCTCCATCCAATTGTCTGCCGCCGCTATCCCCTAGCACTCTCATGTCACCTATCGACTCGGCCACTTGTAGATCGTAGAGCTTGTGAATCACCATTTACTCAGCACTCAGCACTTGGGCGAAACATCTTCATCCAGGCGCGTCTCATCTGCGCCTGCCAATCCCAGCTCCCGACCCGGCCTCCTCCGCTCCGCTCCGCCCCTCCATCCACAGATCCTCGCGTCTTCCGCACGCCCACACCCACACACGCGCGTACTTTCCATCTTCCTCGTCATCACGCGCAATCGCATCGCTACCTCCCATCTCATTGCGCATCGCATCACGCACCCCGCGCACTTTTTCCCCCTCCCTCCTCCTCCCACCCACGCTAGCCACGCTACATCACAACCCCATCTATACACCGCACAGCACCGCTTCCATCACTATCCGTCTATTCCAACATCGGAACATCGGGTCGACACCGTCTCACCGCCATCCAACTTCCCTGCCGAGTAGCGACTCACGCCGCCTGGCCGCCCAGCGCCACCATTCTTCCTCCCTACCTCCCTACGCGTTTGCGCGGCCCTCGTTCCCCCCAGTCTTCATTGAATCATTGTTTCACCCCACAACACCTTTCGACTTTCTACAAATTCAGCCGTGCCAAGCAAAATCATCTGGCATCTGGCAGCTGGCAGCTACCAAACTAGCAGATAGCAGCCAGCAGCACGCAACAGCCGCCGTCCTCACTCGACTCACACATCTATTGCACTAGAGCGACCAGCCACCTACGCATTCATCCACTTTGCACTCTCACACAACACACCAGACGGCTCCCACCTTCCCAGCCAACGGCCTACGTCAACACCAGTTTTGCTCTCTGCATTCATCCACTCTCCCTCTCCTATATATATATCCACCTCCTCGTCGACACCGCTTCCATCAGTCACTACCTCATCCCCTTTCCATCTCCACATCAGTGCACCAGTGCTCGTGCTCGGACCTAGTTGGTACCTCGACCACCTGCGTCTAAATCTGTGCCTATTCCCCACACGTTGGAACCATTGCCGCACCCCACGTCCACTGCCGCACCATCTTCCACCTTCCATCTTCCACGCTCCCACCAACTTTCCATCCACGCCGCGTGCCTCAAGTCTGGGTAGATTGGCTATTCGTCCCAATCTCACCCAAAAACTTTGAGCGCTCGTTCCAAAAACAACTGGTACTTGCCAGTGCGCCCCTCCGGCCCCCGGTTCCCGTGTTCCCGCCTTCCCCACCCCGCTTTCCACCCCCACGTTCCCACCCCGCCCCCGCCCATTTCCCAACTCCGGCCTCAAAGTCGTGCCTCGACGCGGCACAGACACTTGTCCCACCGGACAAAAACATTTTGGTGAGTCGACCATTGTCCATAGCGTGCTGGGATGCCGAGATGCGGTGCCGGGGTGCCGGGGTGCCGGGGTGCCGGGGTGCCTCCAAAGCTGCGCCGAACCCGCGTCGGCCATGCGGCCAACGTAGTGTAGTGCGGAGTGGTGCGGAGGGGTGGATGGCACCGGCGAGGCCTGCGGGTGATGGGAAAGATGTGAAGAGTGAAAGCGGAGGACAAGGATCCGCTCTCCGCTGATGATTTGGGTGAAGAGATGGGTGAGAGAGATGGTGATGTCATGCACGGGCAGGGCAGCAGGGGGGCGGCAGGGACGGCGTCCGGAATACGGTGTATGGGCATTGTGCCCCTCTGCACTCGGATGGCGCCTCGGCCCCCGCTCTCCCTCTTCCCTCTGGCTCTACGCCCTTCCGCCCGCTCGCCCGCCCGCCCTTGTCTCTCTCAGCCTCGCGCGTCATCCATGTCGCCGATCCCCTGGCAAAGCCGAGCCCCGAGCTACTTTCAAGGGCAGGAGGGGGGCATGAACGGTGGTGTCATTATCAATTATCGCGACACGAAATAGCTCTGCTTACACCAACACAGAAGTAGGCCACCTCTTCATCCTCCGGGTCGACCTACTCTTTCCCCCCTCTCTCCCTCTTCACCACTTGCCCTCTCCTCGCCATCACCGAGAGCGGCCCGGTCGTTGCGTGGGCATCTGTGAGTCTTCCCTTGCCGTGTCAATCGCCGGTGGTCATCCCCAACCGATAAAGAGGGATTCCCACGCAAGCCACGATTGGGGGCCCAGACCCTTTGTGTAGAGCAGAGTAGAGTGTGGTTGTTGCATTCCGCTTGCACCATCCCGCCCATGCCGCCCAGCACGCTATCGCTGCGTCGCTGCAGTGCCACTCTGCTCCCCCCCCCCCCATTGCATGAACAGAGCTAATCATTCTCTTCTCCCTCGCTTGATCCTCGTTCCTCGCACACTCGCACACTCGAACACTCGAACACTCGAACAATCAAACACATCCCCCGCTCATCTCGTCACTCCACCATCCCCCATCGCTCGCCATCACATCACACTTTCCCCCCTCCTCGCTTCAACTTCCGCCATCGCACCGAACATTTCGGTCTCGTCCTCTTACTTCTTCTCTCTACGCCCTCCACCACGCGTCAATATGTCGTCCACAACAGTCAGCTGAGCTCGATTTACAACGCCCCAAGCCCCTCTCCCTCATTCCTCTTCTTTACCACAACACGCAAAGGGTCTGCTCGACTTTCTTCCCATCCACTCCTGTCCACTTTCTTTTATATCACAGCCAAGCCCACCAGCCTTGATCTCCCCCCCAGAGGCTCAATCCCACCCATCTCGTCCACGTAAGTCGACTCCCACACGTGTGAAGCCGCGATCATATTGCGTCTTCCCGGCCATCGGTAGTCGGGACCCAAAACTGCAAGTGTATCACAAATCATCCTCGCAGCCGTCCCAAAAGGCTCCCAGCCAGCCGTATCGGCTGATGGCTATCGCGCCACGATCCACATCCCCTCTTCCCACACTTTCTGCTATGTCGTTCCTCTTCCCCTCTCCCTTTCCCTCTCCCTCTCCCTCTCCCCACTTGTTTGTCCCATCGGAGGATGAGGACGAGGACGAGGACGAGGACGAGGAGGGCGAGGCGCGAAGCGACGTACGCCACCATGTGCTTTCCCACTCCGCAACCGCTGCAAACCTCCCAGCCCCTTATCACACACCCTTATCGATGCCCTTGCTGACTTCCCAGCGCCTCGTTGCTTTCCCATTGCGAATCCCACCATGCCTTACGCAGAGCCCACCTCTCCAACCTCGCCGCTCTCGCCGCTGGGGGATGCGCGACCTAGGTATGCACGGCGACACTCGCACAACACCTCTCTCGAAGTTCGCCCCACCACCAGTCCCATGCCTGGACTTCCTCGCCGTGCCACATCGTCCGCTTTGACGACAACGACGAACACTCATTCTCACCGCAAGGGCACCCTCTCCAACTCTCCTCGGACAGCAGCCAACTCTGCTGCTCACCGTGAGGCTCTCGACGCCATGCGCACCGTGGAGCCACTCCAGTCGCCTCCTGCCAAGGGCTCCGACTATAGCATCCTGGGACTTCGAATTGACAAGGCCACTCCTTCTAGCACCTCTCGAGCCGCCAAACCTCCAGCTCTAGCTCCTTCAACGCCTCCAGTCTCCCATTCCACGTCCCATTTGCTCCAGCGGCAGAAGCGCGTCTCGTCCTCATCCTCGTCTTCATCACTTCCCTCACCAACCGAGCCACCCGAGCCGCATAGCCCCGTCAACTCCACGCGTCCATCGGACCGAATGGTGCGCAAGAAGTCGGGCGAGATGGTCAAGCCCGCTCTCAAGAACCGCTCTCTATCCACTCCTGACCTCGGCCGTGGTGGGAAGGAGGATCTGTGGGCAAAGTCAAAGTCATCGCACAACTTGCGCGAAAGGACAAAGAGTGTGCGCTTCGACGAATGTGGGCTTGAATCTGTCGTTCACTTCGCGCGCGGTCAGCGGCCCGACGCACTGATCAAGGGGCCGGACGGCGAGGATGATCAGGAACACGACCTGTCAGATTCTGTACACTTCCGCACACGCCGCAGCGGGGTTCCGCGTGGGGCGGGCGTCGCTCAGACGGAGATCCAGATCGACACATGCAGTGCCGTGCCCCGCGTGCGCCTCGACTTTGGCCCTGGTACATATGGTCTGCTCAACAACGAGTATGTTGTCCTCGAGCGCATCGAGATGAGCCAGCCTTTGGGGCTGCGTGGATCGGTGCTCGTTCGCAACATCGCCTTTGAGAAGTGGGTGGCCGTGCGCTTCACCCTGGACGACTGGCAGTGAGTACCCCGGGCACGCCCGCAGATCATTCTGAACCTCTCTTGGCCAGCTTGCTGACATCTCAGGACGGTTTCGGAGGTATCGGCGTCGCACGTTTCGCACATCCCCGCTGGAACCACCGGCGACGAGGGCTGGGACCGTTTCACCTTCAACATTAAGCTCGAGGATTATCGCCGGAAAATTGAGAACCGCTCGTTCATGTTCTGCGTCCGGTACAATGCCAACGGGGGCGAGTGGTGGGATTCGAACGGCGGCCAGAACTATCACATCTCGTTCAAGCAGCAGGCGAAGAGCCGCCAGCGTCCTACTTCGCAGTACTGGAGCGGAAGTCTCACGCACGGAACTGCATCGGCGGAGACTACCACTCTCCCTCGGCGCAACGGACCCCGCAACTGGTCGTTCCCCAAGTCGACCGTGCAGGCCATCGTTGCTCCGCCTGAGCGCCCCGATTCACCAGCACTCTCCCCACCGCCACAGGGCGCATTCCGCGCGCCCTCTGCACCCGACGTGCATTCGCACCTGCGCCTCCAGAAATATTGCGCGCCTTCGCCGCCCCAGTCACCCCCCAAGACACTTCCATCCGCCGTGGGAGGAGGGCTTGTGCCCATTGTTCTGCCCCTGGCCCCTGAGCGGGCACGTGCCGTTCCTCCGTCGCCCATGACCCTTGTTCATGGCCGCCCGGCCACGACTTGGGTTCCCACCGAGTTCACTGTCAACGCGGAGGACGAAGTGTTTACAACGACATCGGAAGAGTCGTCAGAGGTCGACAGCGTCGGCGAAAGCACGCCGACTGCGGCCGGTGCGCGCTCGCCAGAGATGCAGCCCATCATTGACGGTGCCACATTCGTCACGAGCCCCGTCACGAGTCCAGTGACGGCTAGAGCCGAGGACAAGGGTCGCAGCAACATACAGCGCAACACGTCCGTCTCGGGGGATCTACACTCTCTGGCAAGTGTAGACTCGAGCGTCGGTCTCATGACTCCCCCGAGCAGCAATCTCTCCTCTCCGCCAACTCCAACGACGCTCCTCCCTCCTGAATCCCCTACCACCTCCATGTCGACTGGAGACTCGTCTCCTGTCAACACGTGCAGCTCGGTCACGCCCGACGACAATGTCGATGGCGGCCGTCTAGGCGGTACTCTGAACGCTGCAACGTACCAGGAGTTTCTCGAGAGGTTCTGCTTCTTCAAGTCGCCCCCTACCACCGCCATGGCCCTCGAGGAGCAGTACACCGGGTCCTACTTCCCGCCCGTGACTGGCAGCAGCTACTACAGCGGCTTTGGCTTGGGCAGCACAACGCCGCCCGGTGCGATAACGCCGACGTTTGACAGATTCAACATGGCGCGCGCCACCACGCCCACAAACGCGAGTGCGACCTCGGGCTCGAGCTCGACCCCGCGCGCGTCGCCAACGCGCTCGCCGGCCCCGAACACGTTCCCGCTCCCGTGGACGCCCGAGGACCCGGCGCTGAAGATGACCGCGGCGTAAAACGACCTTGTCATCACACGTGAACCAAAAGGCAACAGCAACGACGAGACACGACGAACCACGTCCCGGCATGCGACGTCCCATGTCATCACATCCACCTGCAATCATATATCAAGAGTATCACTCGCCCTGTATAATTCCCCCCACCCTATCCTACCCACGGACGTGTTGCCATTATCCTACCATATCATTGTCATGAGTCTGTAGCAGGCGCTACGAAGCGCCATTGTCTCCATGCATTTGTTGAAGTACAAGAGTTGGGCGAGGGCGCGACGGGCGCGGGCGCGACTTGTGGCATGAGGTGGGGGAGACGAGCACCCCACTTTGATAAACACAGGTCTTGCTCGCGAGGGTTGCATTCGCCGGATCTCGTGCGCATCGCATTGCCACAACATCAAGGCACGAATAATTTCAAGTGGAGGCATCCCCGTGGGGAAAGCGAGTATTTTGGCCATCCTTGCGCTGGCCACTCTCCACAACACACCATGTCCGACTCTGACCACGAGATTGAGATGACGCTCGGCGTCGCCGGGACGCTCGGCGCCGGCGACGCCGCGGGCGCTGTTGCTGCTAGCACCGGTTCTCCCGCCCCCGGCGCAGCTACGGACGACCTCGCATTCATCCAGAGCCTGGTGGAGCAGGGCGCTGTCGTCGGCGCCCTCCCGCCCGTGACGATGAGCGCGGCGGAGAAGCGCGCGCTCGTTGAAGCCGAGATGGCCGGCGCCATCCACCCCGCCACCACTTCCCCCGCGACCACTACCTCCGCCGCCCCCGCCACTGCCGCCGCCGACGACGAGATGGACTCGGAGTCGAGCTCCGAGTTCGAGTCCGACGACGACGACAACGCCGCGCCCGTGACCCGCGCACAGCTAGACGCGCTCATCGACACCTCTTCCGATGAAGATGACGACGACGACTACGACCTCAGCGGCAAGCTCGGTGCGTTCGGGATGGAGGTGATCGACGACGACGACGAGCCGTCCGCCATCACGAGCGCGCATGAGGTCGCGCTGCCCCCGGTTCCGCAGCCGCCTGTGGCGCACCTCGGCGCGGATGTGCGTCTCGTGCTCGCTGGCGAGGTGGTTAGTTGGATGAAGGATTCGAAGCTGGAGGCGTGGCGGGCGCGGGAGGAGAAGGGGGAGGAAGAGGGGGATGGCACGGAGGATGTGGAGGAGGAGGGCAAGGATGTCGACGGCAAGGTCGAGGCCACCGAGGCCGCGGACGTGCAGACCGAGGCCGTTGAGAGCAAGGCCGAGACCGAGCCCGTCAAGTCCGAGACGACCGAAGTCGCGCCCGCCGAGTCCGAGTCGACTGCAGTCGCCACGGAAGCTACGGCTGAGCCCAGCGCCGCCGATGTCGACATGGCGCCCGCCGCACCCGCCGAGCCTACCACCTCCCCCACATCACCCTCCTCCGCACCCCCCAAATTCCTCTCCGCCGGCACGGTCGTCGTGCGCGCCTCCTACGCCGACGGGTGGCTGGAAGCCGACTCGGTCCTTACAACGTCCTCGGGCGCAGTCCTCGGCACGATCTTCGACACGTTCGGACCCCTTACCTCGCCATTCTACCTGCTGCGCCTGCCGCCCCCGCCGTTCCCCTACCCGTCCTTGGCGGCCGGCGACCGCGTCTACGTGCCCGCGGACGCGCGCTACCGCACCTTCGTCGACATGGCGGCGGTGCGGGACCCGCGGTTCCGCAGCGACGCGTCCAACGTCTTCGACGAGGAGATCGGCGACGACGAAGTCGAGTGGAGCGACGACGAGGCGGAGGCCGCCGCCCGCCGCCGCAGGAAGGGCAAGAAGCGTGTGCCGCACGCCGACTCTGCCGCCGACGAGGGCGAGGTCGGCGCGCGCCGCCTCGTGAATTACGGCGAGGAGCGGCGCGGGCGCGGACGCGGGAGGGGAGGACCGGGGCGCGGACAGGGCCGCCCCATCGCCGGGGCCGGGCGCCCCATGCACGCCCTCCCCCCGCGCCCGGACTTCGGGTATCAGAACCAACACCAGAACCAGAACCAGAACCAAACCCAAAACCAGAACCAGCAAGGATACATGCCGTATGCGCCGGCCGCGTACGATCCCTCGCAGGCCAGCTTGGGCTTGCCGTCGATGCCCCAGATGCCCCAGCAGGCGGGGATGGGCTACGGGATGCCCATGGGAGGCATGGGCGGCATGCCGATGGGATACCCCCAGTTCGGGCAGCAGTTTGGGCAACAGTTCGGACAACAGCAACAGCAGCAGCAAGGAGGCAACGCGCCGGCGATCAACCCGCGCTTCGCCGCCATGATGGGCATGGGCGGCATGGGAATGGGAGGGTACTGGCCGCAGGGCAACCCCGGTCCCGACAACCAGCAGCAGTAGCCAGATTGTACTCGTACTCGGTACCTTGCAGCATACTTTAGTTGTGACAGCCCACGGGCCATGCATCCCTGACATATAAGATTGGCGTCCTACGCCTCGGTCTTCTCGGCCTCGGCCTCGGCCGCGGCCGCAGGCTCGTCCTTAGCCTCCTCGGACTCGACTGCTGTCAGCGAGATACGAGTCACAACTCACCCTCCTCGTCGTCGCCCTCGGCCGGCGCATTCTTCTTCTGCATCTTGGCCACGAGCTTCTCGACGCGCGCGATCTCGTCCTGCAGTCAGTGTTGCTGTCCGCTAGATAACCGAGCTGCGCGCTCTCCACACGCTGCCCGCCGCTACACAGCTCGCTCGCCCCACTCACCTTGGTCTTCTGCTCCGAGTTGGCCTCAAACCATGCCTTCTTCGTCTCGAGGTCGGACACGGCGCGCGCAATGTCGTCCTTGCCCGTGGGCGGCGAGATGCCGAAGCCCAGCAGCGCACTCAGGAGGTGCATGGGGAGGTTGACGCTGTCAGCGTGGGCCGGGGCGGTGGGCGTCGCAGTCCCCGACGCGGCGTTGGAGCCAGTCGCACTCGCGCCCTTGCGCCCCTTCTTCTTGCCCTTGCCCGAGCCGGCAAACCAGCCGTCAAGCTCGTCGTCCTTCTTCTTGAGCTGCATGCCCGCAAAGTCGGACGTGACCTGGCGCACCTCGGGCGCCTTGACGCCCGCGATCGTCGTCGCCTTCTTCTCCGTGCTCGTCGCGGGCACCTCGCCCACGCCGTACTTGCCAGCGAAGTAGTTGATGAGGATGGTGCAGTCCTCGATTTCAGAGGCGTACGCGGGCGCCTTGGCGTCCTCGCGCATCTGCGTAATTTCCTCCTCGCGGCGCGCAGCGTCCTCCTTGGCCTTCTCGGCCTTGAAGCGCTCCTGCCGCGCCTGCCGGATCGCCTGCTGCTTCGCGTAGTACTTGTCCTTGGCGTCGTGGAAGGCCTGCGCCGCGTCGCGCTTGCGCGCGTACAGGTCGTCCATCTGCTTCGAGATGGCGGTGCGCTCGTCGTACAGCTTGTTGCGCTCGGCGTACGCCTTGTCGCCCTCGGCGCGCAGCGCGTCCATCTCCTTCTTGAGCGCGTCAAACCGCTCCGACACCTTCTTGGCCTCGGGGTCGTCCAGCTGCTTCTTGAGCGCCTCAATCCGCTCCTTGTCCGCAGCGATCGCCTCGTCCGAGCTCCCGCTCGCCTCCATCGTCTTGCGGGCACGCTTAAGCATCGTGATCTCCTGCAGCGCCTTCTTCTCGTCGACGAGCTTCATCGTGCCCGACTCGACCTGCGCGTTGAGCGCCGCCACGCGTGCGTCGACCTCAGCGACGTTCTTGAACCCCGTCTTCTGGCGCTGCGCCTGAACATCCTTGATCTTCTTGTTGACACTGTCCTGGAGCTTGCGCATTTCGTCGAACAGCTTGCCGCGCTCCGTCTTGAACTTTCCCTGCTCGCCGCGCAGCGCGTCCATCTCAGCCTTGAGCTGCGAGCGTCTGTCATCGCCCTTGGGCGCCTGGGTGAGGGCTATGCGGCTGCGGAGGGCGTCCTGAACGTTAGCAGCGAGATAGAAGGATGCGAGCATGTCCAGTAGGTGCAACGTAAGGCCTGAATCGCGACCTTAACCACCCCGAGATGACAAAGGAAGCCAGCAAGCTCTGTGCAAACTGGCGCGCCCGAGGGCGCATTCGTAGCGTGCGCAGCAGCGCATCGGAGCGACGCCGGCGCGATCGCCCACGGGCGCCTCTGTGCCTCCACTGCAACATCCCGCCGCTTTCTCCGACCTTCACGGCCCGCCCGGCGCCGCGTCCACGGCGGTCCTCCGCCCTCAACGCACCTGCTTAGCCTTGAGCGCCGCAATCTCCTTGTTGAGCGCATCCTGCTCGGCGTTGTACTTGTTCTGATCCGGCTTGCCGCTGTGCTCCTCGTGCTCCGCCGCGGCGGGCACGGGCTTGTCCGTCTTGCCGTTGAGCTTTGGCGCGGGCTTTTGGGATGCGGTCGGGGGTGGCATGGTGGGTGGTCACAAAGAAGAGAGCAAGAGTTGTGCCGGGGTTGATGAAGTCGAACACGAACTGGCAGCACCGCTCAGGGAGCTCAGGGACCGGCGACCCACGCGGAAACTGACAGAGACGTGGCGGCCTGCGCCGGATAAATGTGGCGTGCCTGGCCAATTGGGTTGGTCAGGTGTGGTAGAGAGTGCCGCCGGCAGTGAGGCGCCGCAGTAGGTGAGATGTCATGCATGGAGATGATGGGTGCTCTACAATCTACGATGAGATGAGGGATAAGCCATCGTGGGGTATGTCTAGAAGAAACCGCGGACGTAACTCCAACTCCATCCCGGTGTGAGGTCGGCAGGAACTTCACGGTACTCTCGAATACGGGCTTTGGTCTGTCACTGCCGGAAGAATAGTCACATAACCTTGCGGTGCTTACAGTGGCAAACCTACGGCAGCACCTTGTGGGCGGGATATCGGGGTGTGCTATCCTCGTGCTCGAGATGGAGCCGCTAGGAGACAGAGCTGTTTCTCCTATGTGGGACTAGGCGGCCCAGGCACAGCTTCGACCACCACCTCGACCACCACCTCAATCTCGACCACAACTTCGCTCTCCGAGTTAGAGGACGGTACAGGAGGCAGCGCCTCCGAAGAGTTCAGAACCAGATCGGACGATGGAGTGGAAACGCTGGTAGGCGTGGGGGAAGGCTTGGGCGTCGGTGCGAATGATGACAAATTGGCTGTCTCCCGTGTCGTGGTCACGTCTTTCGTCGACGTCGTGGTCGGCCCTGCAGTTTCCGACTTCCGCGGGGTGCTCGTCTCGGGGCTTGGTGTCGGCGTAGTGCTGGGTGTCTCCTGAGGAGAGTTTGAAGAATTGTTCGAGGGGTCCAATGACGTGCTTATGTCCAGGGTAGGCGAAGTACTTGTGCCCAGAGTAGGCGGCGTGCTCGTCTCCGGAGTAGGCAGCGTAGTTGATGGGTTGAACGTGGGTAACGGGGTAGTGGTTAGAGTTGATGTGTACGATGGAGACGGCGTGGGAGTTGGAGACGGGGTAGTTGAGTCGGAGCTTGGCGGTGGCGTTGTTGAGGTGGAGGACGGGGATTGAGTAGGTGTGCTGGGCGTCTCCTGCCGAGTTGATGTGTCGGAGGCCGGCGACGGCGTTGTCGTTTCTGGTGGCAGCGACGGCGTAGTAGCGTCTGAAGTCGTGGTAGTCCCTGGAGTCGTGGTGGTGCCTGGGGTAGTGGTGGTCCCAGAAGTTGTGGTGATTCCAGGCGTCGTTGTTGTGCCAGCCGTCGTCGTTGTGCGAGGAGTTGTGGTGGTGCCAGGCGTGGTTGTGGTGCCAGGTGTCGTGGTCGTACCAGGCGTCGCGGTCGTGCTGGGCGTTGTTGTGGTTGTCGCAGAAGTCGTGGTAGTCCCAGGCGTCATGGTTGTAGTCCCAGAGGGCATCGTCGTGCTGGATGTCTGGGGTACAGTGGAGTTTCCCGTGATTGTCGGGAATATGTTTGGCGGCGGGACGTAGCTGAGGGTAACGCCCGCAGCACTAAGGGCATCGTACAGCGGCACGATAGTGGTGCTCGCGGCCGGACCGACCAAATTACTCGCTGTTCCCGGAAACCCTCCCTGCCGCACATGCACGCCGTCGCCGAACCACGGCACGACCCACATGCCCGGCGCGACGCTTGCGAGGAGGTCGACCTCGAAGCCCATCTCGAAGAAGATGGCGTCCCACGACTCCGCGCACTCCGCCATGGGCGCGAGGCACGCGTGCCCGGGCGAGTCGGGGGCCGCGCAGTCGTGTATGTTTAGCCATCGGCCTGCGTGGCAATCTGGGTCAGCGGCGCTATGGACGGACGTACACTGCACGGTTTGGAAGGTGGGGCCGCCGCAGCGGAAGGCCGCGAAGGAGGCGTCGCACGTCCCGCCCTCTTCTTGGCCGGGCAGGATGGAGACGAGGGGCACCGCGCCCCATGTCGACCAGTTGCGCGAGGCGTCGTTGCTAGTCGGGACAGGGGGGAGGTCAGCCTTCGGTGTGATGTATGTCCGCAGGCGCTTCGTGAACCATGGCTTGGCTTTGCGGACGGGAAAGGCGGCGGCGAGCGGATGGGTGACTAAAGGGAGGAGAAAAAGGAGGGAGTGGGCTCTCATTGTGGGTTGTGGCCAGGTGAATGAATGCTGTGGCGGATGGGTGGACTGTGCGACGTGGTGGTTAATTGATGGTGAGATTGTCGCGGCTTGCGTTGGAGAGGAGCTTTTATACTACGGTACGGACTGGCTGTAAAGGTCAAGTGGGCTATTGTAAAGCAATGGGGAGACAACGGCTCGCAGTGAGTATATGTATCATGACTGCGGCCGTCTGAGGCCTGCGACGACCGACCCTCAGTGGTCACCATCGCATCGGCCATGTCCTCCTTTGTCCGACATTTGGGTGTTTGTGCCTGGTCGGCCGCGCGCACGGGCACAGCAAATGTCAGTGGCGCGGTAGGCGGTGAGTAGAAGTTCGTTTGTTTCATAACACCTGCCGCTGCCCCCTTTCGGGCTTCACGGAGACGCGTGCACGGCCTCGCTGGGAATTCACTACCGTGGCGATCAGTGTCGGGGCACCGGTACCGCTATCTTGAGAAATGACGGCCTTCATCGATTCTTCGTGCATACTAGGCCGCTGAGATCATCCTCAGACTTCGGATTTGTCTCAAGAGAGGGTGCTGCCTCTTCCTGAACGTGGCTCACCATTTGCTTGAAGATGTCTGTATAAGCGTCTTCTCCGTCTCATCCAATCCCCCATAATCAGTTACACCTGCATGCAAATTGTTGGATTACCCTAAGTCGCCTCGTATGTCAGCGCCGTCTCCTTGATTGTGATGCGCGCCGTCCGTGCTGCAGGCCACTCGACGCGGACATCACTCAGCGCGCCCGTGTCCTCCATCGGTGCTGCTGTCAGCCCCTTCCCCACTTGACCCTCACTCGATCCCGCCCGGAATATTGGGAAACGACGGTACGGCTGGCCCGCCTTGCCGCCTTGTCTCGGAGGACCGCCAACGTTGAAGAACCCGCTGATGCTCGAGCCGACCTTCCACACCGTGCTGTCGCCCTCGTCCAGCGACACCGTCACCAATCGCCGCCCGTCGGGTGAGAAGCTGACGGCGCTCACGCTGCGCTTGTGTGGCTCGAGCACGTACAATCGGGATGCCGTCTTGAGGTCGTACATGATGACAGCGCCCTCGTTCGTGCCCACCACAAGCTTCTGTGTGCCGGCATGGAAATCAATCGTCGTGAAGGCCTGCACGAGCTCGTTCAAGATCACCGTCGCAGCCTCCCACACGTCGTCGCGCATCTTGCCAATGTTCGGGTCGAGAGACTTCACCACACTCTCGGCAATCCGCGGGAGGCCGTTCTCCAGCAATGCAGGACGCTTGCGTGCCATGAAAACGCACAGCTTCATGATGCTCGTCCGGCCCTCAACCGTCTTGGCATCCAGGATGTCCATCGAGAGCGTGCTCATGAAGAGGGGCGCGTTGGACGATGCCACTGACAACACAGCGAGACGTGCTTGCGCCGCGAGGTTGGCCCCAATCTCCTTGTGTGTTGAGAGGAAGAAGAGGCGGCGCAGAAGGTCCATGGGGTCCACATAGGTCTGCCAGGTGGCGAAAGCCTTGGCACACAGCTCAATCGCAAGGCCAACGTACGTGTGATCCGGATCGTTCAGATACATTGCAATTGACTCGGCGACGGCCTTGAGCGCGCTGGTGTGAGCGGATGTAGGTCCTCTGGCTTACCTGGTGCTGAGCATCTCAAACCGGTGCAGCGCAATGCCCCCGACCATTGTGAGGGCTCTCGCTGATGTACTCGAGAAGCGCTCAGACGAGTCGCAGTTAGCCGGCACTGCCGTCAGCGTGGGAGTAGCGACCAGGCTCACATTTGTCCTGCCATTTTGACACAAGATCCTCAATCTCCTCGTTTGACATACGACTCAGCCGCACACCAAACAACATCCTCGCAGCCTGGTGCACGTCGAACGCCGAGTCAAAGTAGAACGCGGCAAAGAGCTCCGCGTCGGCCTCGAGCGCGTCCTCTGGAAGCGAGGCCGCATAAAATGCAATCACGTCCGCGGCCCACTGCTCGTGTTCTGGCGAGTCGAGGAATGGACGCAGGAGGGACACAATCGCCAGCTGGCGCAGGCAGGTGGTGGTGGGTGATACGCGCCACACGCCCGCCGCGCTCGTGAAAGCCACAGTGGCAGTGGCGTGAGGCCCTTCCCAGCCGACCGCAATGGGCTTGGAGGGCGGAGTGATCTCAAGGTTGTGGGTACACACCTCGTCAATCGCGGGATTGAGCCCGAAGGTCAGGAAGGAGGAGAGGAGCCCACGCAAAGCGGGAAGTGGTGACTCGCCGGATCGGCTACTGAGCCACCGTCCGAGCGCGCGCAGATCGAGCTGCAGTAGTCGTCCCAGGTCTGAGCGGGGTGGCAGCGGACCGACCACTTTTGACACTGGCGAGTCGAGTGGTGGCGCGGCCTGGAACTGCACCTCAGCCCAGCCACCCGTGTTCAGCATGTCGTCCGCTGCGTCAAGGCCCGTGCTGCGCCGGAACTCGCCCGTGTCCACATTCCATACGCGAGCCTTCTGGATCTCATAAGCCAGTAGGATCTTGTCCCCGCCAATGTAGATCTTGGTGAGGGGCGCACGTGCGGCGGGGAGGAGGAAGAGCTGCTGCAGCTCCTTTAGACTGACGACGGAGACCGACCCGCATGTTGACGTGCACAGGAGTGTCCCCTGAAGCGAGCCGGCCTCTTCCATAACGAGGAGGGTTGCTGAGCGCACCGGTGTATCGAAGAGTGTCAACGAGGCACGCAATCTCAGCGTGCTGATGTCAGCTTGATAGGGCCGCAACTCACGCGGCGTCCCACAACCTCAACCCTCCGTCCTCATCACCAGCAACAAAGAAGAGGCCATCGGTGGCGTGCTCTGAACGAACGATCGTGGAGTACGTGACCGCAGCCCCGGAATCGCTCTCAGACGATGCACCTGGTGGCACCCCGTGGAGGTACTCGGAGGGGGTCTGCTTTGACACAGAGCCGTCGTCTGTGGTCAGCTCAGAGTACGTAGCGCAAATTCACTTGTAGCGACATATAATGTGTCTGCACCCATGGGGCATATGTGCTCCCCAGCCGTCGGCGCCACCAGCTTGACTTCAGACCGGTGCTCCAAACTGCCCAGGCTGAAATTTGAGACAGCGGTGTCCGTAACGGTGTACAGCACGCCAGCTGAGAGGTATGCCTCGTGGCCCTCGACACTCTTGCGCAGAGTCCACTGCTGGGGCGTTTTAAGCGCCCCGTCTCTCGAGTATACCGCCACCATGTCCGAGTCAGTGACGATGCAGACATCGTGCCACCCGGAGGTGAAGACGACGTCCTTGCCCACGCCATCGGGCGCAGCAAGGGAGCCGCGCACTTTCAGGCGAGTGCCATCAAACTCGAACGCCTCGACGTGCCCGTCGCCCAAGCCTACGCCCTGCCCATTATCGTGCAGGCGGACCGAACGCCAATGCCCTCCTCCGTCGCGCGGAATCTCCACGCCCTGGTCGACGCCAGCCGGCGTTTGCTTCTCAGCGATGTCGGGCTTCTTGGCTATCCGTCGCGCGGCGAGGAACTTTGACAGCCCACTCTGGTTCGCCTCTTGCCTTGGGGAGCGCATGCGAAGGCCGCCCAGCGCGCCACCCCGCCGAGTGGGCTCTGGCTTGAGAAGCGCAGCTGTTGTGGACGGTGAAGGGGCAGAGACGGCGCGCGGGGTATTGGCACCACTCGGGGGCGGGGTGTTGGGGAACGTGAGGCGATACGACATGACAGATGTTGGTGTAGCGTGGAGCAGGTAGCTGGCTTCGCCATTTGAGGTCACACCGACATCTCCCACGCCAGGGAGCTCGAGATTCGCAACGCACGCGTGTGAAGGAATGGCGAGCATGGCGACGCGCGTGACCTCTCCATTTGGAGAGGGCCACGGTGACGGCCACGGCTCGCCATTAGCCACGAGCATAGCACCCTCTTCACGCGCCGCGAGGTGCACCCTCCGCCAGAGCCAGGACGGCGCGAGTCGCGGCGTTCGATTCGCCTCACCGGTTGCGGTAGGCGGGGCCGCGTGGTCCAGGCTGACGTGAGTGACCAGCTGGAGTGTGGACAGCGTGATTACATCGAGCAGGCCCACGTCGCGCAGTACGACAAGCTCATTTACCTCCTCGAGAACGGCGAGGTCAACGATGCTACCTCGTCCCGGCTCAGGAAGAACAATTCGCACTGGTGCCTCCGTAGTCTTGCGCTCCAGCCGCGGAGTGTTCTGGGTCGTAGTTGCCGCCACGCGCGGTTCGGCGGCCTTCAGTTGTCGTGCCTCCTCGACTTCGCGCGCGTCCTCGGCCTCATTCCGCGCCATCGCGCGGTCGACATCCATCTCCTGTATCTTGGACTTGGCCTCGCGTTGTGCGCAGTCATCTTCAGCGCTCCGTAAGACACCGGTGATGCTCGTGACTGCGCCGGACGACTCCGAACCACTCGACTTGGGTGTCACAGTACCGTCCGGTTCCTCCTTCACAGTTACGCCGGATATCCCTCGCCTAGCAATACCAGAAAGTCCGAGGCCGAGACCTGAGCGATCGTCGACGGGCATTTCTGCTTGCTCTCTCAGCTGCTGGAGTAGCTCACTTCTCTCTGCAATTGAGGCGGAGGTGCGATGGGTGTGGCCATCGGAACGCGATGGCGTGGCAATCGCCATGGAGACTTGAGAGGAGGGAATGAGCGCGGCCGTGGAGCCTGTGGGTGAGAGAACGCGACGGAGGGAGGTGGACGTCAGCACAGAGGAAGACGAGGACAGCGCCCGTGGTCGCCCCTGCACCGTGCCCGCCGAGGAGGAGGACGCCGTCCGCGGCGTCATCGGCCGCGATCCAGGCGCGGACGCATCAGACAGCAATAAATCCGGTGGGGCAAGATGAGATGGAGCGTCGACCTTCGAGGAGATGATCCACACGGTGTTGTCGGCGCCTGCGAGCGCCAGGCGCTTGGTGGGGCCCGACCTAGTTTTGGTGCTCCATGCTGCTACGCGGACGGGTGAGGTCGGCAGCGCTCCCGTGGCCTGCTCGTCGGGGAGGAAGGGGATGATCAAGGGGGGCTCGGGGATGAGGCTAGGCCCCGGCATGGTGTTGTTGTTGTTGTGAAGTGAGAACGATGCGAAGCCGAGACTTGGGTTGCCTCCAATAACTCGCACATCATGACGTCGTCAAAAGTGGGGGGTAATCAATCCTAATCCCCCAGCTATGTCTCTAATCCCAATTTGGAGCGAGCGGACGACCTCCACTTGAAACGTTCAGTTTCAGAGTGGTGACGTACTCGTCGAGATCTGCGTACGTGGTGCTGAGAACGCCCTTCCCTCTCATCAACTAAAGTGTTCTCAACAACTCAAGCAGCTCGAAGCCATGCCTGACATCGACATCTCTGCCACTGCTATCAATAGCTTCCTAGAAGCGCTGCCCAAGTCGACTCTCGACTCGGCACCGCCCACCCACCTTCCCAGCGCGCTCCCACTGTCCTTCCCGACCGACCTGCACCAGCTCAACCTACTCTCAACTCTGCACCTTGTCAATGCTGCATTCTCCCAGCCAGCACACCGCGCGTACTTTGCGGCGGAGGGCGGGACTCCAGGCGACACTGCCCTCCGCGGGGTGCTCGGCATGTACCTCGCCTCGGACGCTGACTGGGGGTCGAGCAACCTTCTCTCCGCCAAGTGCTGGGCTAGCGGCGAGCTGAACCAGACCAAGATCGCCGAGTTTTTCAGCATCTCGGTCTTCAAGGAGCGCGAGCACGAGACCATGCCCGGCGTGCGCGTCGGAGAGCGGTGGCCGCCAGCGCTCGCTGTCGCAGACGAGCTTGTCAACCTTCTCCAGGTTCTAGGCAGCCACATCAAAAGCCAGTGTCTCGGCGAAGAGGTCCTCGCCGCGCTCGGCGCTGCTAAATCGCAAGCGACTGGTCAGGCCGACGACGGCCTCGCGTTCGCGAAGGAGTTCTGCAGCAATGTGAGTGCAGTTCAGTGTAATAATCGCTGACCGACAGGCTGTATCTCTTGTTCCAATCCTTGCCGATCCGTATCCGGCCCCCCCTGGCACAGGTGTGTTTAGAGTGACGATCGAGGAGATCACGCTAAAGGAGGAGTGACGCATTGCTGATGCCAGTTCTCCCGGCCGCGCCTCTGTGCCTTCTGCAGGACCTCGCACATCAGTTTGGCCCCTCTAGTCAAACAGTGCCCCTCCCTACTACCTCGGCGCTCGCGAATGTCTCACCATTGCCCCTCCCTGCAGAGCTATTACTTCACCTCGGTATCCTGGAGCCGTCGAGCACCCTGGAGGGCGGTGAGGAGTTGCGGCATGCCACAGGCGACTGGTGGGCTGGGAAAAGTGTCGACGTATTTTCGCTGCCGCCCAACGACGACACACACAAGGCGCCCAAAGTGATCAAAATTCCACGTGCCACGCTCGATGCGCTTTCTCAGGCAAGCGTAGACGCGTGCCGTGAGATCGTAACGCACGCCCGATCCTTGGGGGGCGACGAGTGGAAGAGCCACCTTTCCATGCTTGATGTGTCGCGCCTGTTCGGAAGTCTGAGTGGGATCCTGGACGCACATGGCCTGGGAGTACGGCTCGTCGTCTAAGGAGTGGCAACGGTTCAATCGGAGTTCGGATTTGGATGTCGTGCGACATTTGTTTCTCTGCACAAGCCCCGTTCCGGTGCAAATGCTGGGATGCAAGCAAGAGATTGGCAAGGGCGGCGGGGCGTGTAGATTCTGGCAGGCTAAACTGGACAGCAGAAGCTAGCGAAGCTAATGAGGGGGACACATTATTACGCGTCAACCGAGCGTCCTGTTAGCAATGTGGCGCGCCATACGCCCCGTTGACGCCGGTCGCCAATGACCGCCAGCGGCGAGACATCCGGCTGACCGGCAAGGACAGGGTGGGTTGATAGGGGGATTGGGGGAAAGAGGGGAGGATGAATGGCTAAGGCACGAGGGTTGGGTCGGCCTGGCATGGTATGAGAATGAGGGGTAAAGAGGAATTTGCCACCAGGCGATTGCATAAGACGAGGAGCGACAAGGAGCGAGCAGAGGAGCGACGAGTGAGGGCTCGGGGCTGAGCGGTGGGTGCGTCCATTATTATTACATTGCAACTGTTGCGCGATCCGCGACTGGCTAGCAAAAGTAGCGCGTAACGGAAGCAGACGAGCGAGTTGAAATGATAAACTGGGGCACGTCGAGACTTTGGGAGATCGGGAGACGGCGAGAGGATCACGAGAAGAAGCAAATACGCTTTATTCTCATTACGCAAATAATGAGAAGGGTCAGTCTTGAAATGTGAAGAAGAGAGGAGGGGATCAGAGAGTAGTAAAAGCCACGACAACGAGCGAGACGAGCGAGGGACTGTGCTGGCCCCAAAAATGCAAGTCATGCGATGCATATTGAATATTGATGGAAGGGAGGAAAGATGTTTTACGTGTGCCGCGCGGACATGAAAGATGATGAGGTAGAATAGAGCTGAGGCCATCGAGGCTGAGGCGATGGAGCTATGGAGGCAAGTGCTAAAAGAAGAGACGAGGTCGGAAAGGCCGAGAGTGAGGAGGGGTATAGCCGGTGACTCGGCGACCCGGATGAGCACGGCACCACGGATGGACCATGTGCATGAAGAAGGAGGGCTGCACCGCCATCATCCGTGCACCCACCCAGTATGGAAAACGGGCTCCCACTCCAATCTCCGTGTCCTCTGGTCGTCTTCCCCTTCCCCTCCCCCTAAAGACGGCCTACGCCTTCCAACTCATTTGCGACAACAACCTCTCCTCGATCTCCTCTTTCTCGCCGCCACATCCCATTCCGCCCTCTTCACCACTCCTCTACTACTACTCATTCATCATTCACCCATCCTCCTCACTTTTACACCAGCCGTCCACAACAACAACACACCCCCGCACTTGGCCCTCCCACCCCCTCCCTCCCACCCAACAGGCTCGACGCCCACTCCCCACTACCCCTCTTACCACCCCCACGCGTCTTGATGGTTTTCCCCGCATCAAGACAGTAACACGCGCTTTCTGGCCGGCATAGACCCCCTGGGGTCGTCGTCGAGCCCCGTCTCTCTCCCTCCCTCTTCATCCTCCTTTTCATCCTCTGTCTCCCCCACTCCCCCTCTCTCTCCCCTCCCCAACAGCAGCGTTCCTCACGCCTCCCTCATTCGCATTCACCCAACTTTAACCCGCCCTCACCACTACGCGGCAACCAACGTCAGTCGATCTTGATCTCGTCCTCCTTTGCGTCAACCTCGAGCCCCATTCGCCTACTCATCTCCCTCCCACACGACTTCCAGCTACCTCTTCTCACTTCCACAATCCGCCTTCGGTCACTGGTGGCTGAGTGAAGAAAGAATCGTTCTTCTCATTCCTGCAATCTCTCGGTCATTCAACTCGAACGGGCCGAGACTTATTCGTTCCTCGCAACACTCGGGTCACACCCTTTCCCCGTGTCAGCCAACAACCTCTGAACACAACGACCATGGTCCTCATCAACGACAAGAAGTATGCTTGTGCAACCTGTATCAAAGGACATCGAGTATCAGGCTGCACACATACAGACCGTCCACTCTTCGAAGTCAAGAAGAAGGGACGACCTGCGACGCAATGTCAGTTCTGTCGCGAGAAGCGCAAGGGTGGCAGTAGCGCCGGCAGCGTACACACCAAGGTAGGTAGCGGCGGGTGCGGACAGAGTGGTGCCACATTGCTGATCGGTCCAGTGTACCTGCGGTGACCTCAAGAATCAGCAGCCTTCTACCATCCCTGCAGGTATGGCCGCATCCATGCAGTCGGCCGCCGTTACGCCCTCTCCTCGGGGCACGGAGACTAAAAAGGGGCAGCCTGGATCGACCCCGACATTCCCAAACGGTCTTCGCGATGTACACGAAATGGCCGCTGCCGCGGAGGCTCTCGCCGGCCTCGGTGGAGAGAACAGTGCGGCTGCTGAACGTGATCGTGAGTATCCCCCCGTGCTTCTGTAATTACCTCACGTGCCTTCTTGTGCTAAGGCCCTTGGCTGACACTCAGTCCGCAACCTGCTAAACCCTTGCAACTGTCGCACAACTGGAAGGTGTCGCTGCTGTGCTCCGAAGCGTCCTCGTTCGCCTCCCCCTGCTCACAGTCCGGCTCGCCGCCCAAGTGACGCCCATGCTCAGGTCACGGACAGCTTGATAGAGATGTTCAAAGCCAAAGCCACCACTTCGACCACAACCACCTCCTCTGCTGCTCCCAAGCCTCCCTCGCACGATGGTCACTCGGGTTCTACGACGCCCACAACTTTGCGCAGCCTCCCTCACCTCTCGATGACGTCCGCAATGCTTGCTTCTCCTGATAATCGCCATCACCCTGCTCACACGTCACCGTATGTTCACAAGACCAAGCTGTACTCGCCCTACTCCAACGGGCAATCAAGTCCTCGCCATGCCAAGTCGCGGAGCGCGTCCGTGTCATCAGCTTCTACCCCTTGGCCAAGTACATCCGTTTCGCCCCGGCCCCCTCCCACGCGCCTGCGTCCTCTCACCGACATGAGCAAGTTCCTCGGTGCCGTGTTCCACGATGATGGGTCCGTCGTTTCTCAGGTCCCTCGGTCCGCTCTGGGTCTTCCTGGCATTCACACTTTTGTTTCTGCCGCTGAAAGTGGTGGCGTCAAGGTTGAGCCAATGGAGATGGACGTCGACGTGCCCGTCTCATTCCCTACGTCTGAGGAAGTTGTGATCGGCGCGTGTACGTGTGGAGAAGGTTGCCAGTGCTCTGGGTGCGCGACACACGGCAATCCGAGATCGACATCCCCGAAGCAGCAGCACGGACATGACGGTGCCTGCGGCGACGCTTGCAAGAGCTGCTTCGATTGTGGCGATCAAGTCTCAATCCCTTCGGGCGTCGCATCGATCGAGCAGCTTATCCAGATTGCAGCCGCTAACGTGCCGAAACCTCTCCGCGCCAACCGTGGTTCAACACTTGACGCTCTAGACACTCGCGTCCTCCCTCCGGCTGCCAACATGTCTGAGGACGTTGCTCGTGCGTTCGGTGTTGTGCAGCTCAAGCCCCTCGAGTGCTGCAACGGCCGGTGTCAGTGCTCGCCCGGAGAGTGCAAATGCGAGAATGACTGCTGCGGTTGCTGCACGGAATGTAAATGCGGCGATCACGATGGTGACGCGGTCATGGCCGATGGTGACGCCGATCCTGGCGAGAAGCAGCCGGCGAAGGGTGGGTGTTGTGGAGGCGGTCCTCCTGCGACTCCGTCGAGAAATTCGCTCCAGGTCGCCTCTTCTTCCGGAACATGCTCGGTTTCGACGACGCCGATAAACCTCTCGCCCACGGCAACTATCCCTGGCGTAAGGTTACCTTCTCCGAGTGTGGGAACTCCGCCCAACGGCGGTGGGCCCATGGTGCGCCGGAACTCGTCGGTCTCCAGGGCAAAGGAGAAAGAGGGTGCAAGCAGTGGGGCTGCTGGTCGCCGTCTGTCGACTTCGAGCGTGTCCTCGCAGGCTAGTGTTCAGCGCTCCGCTTCATCAAGCGGCAAGCCCACGTCGAAATCACTCGCCATCAACACGCACTCGTCGATGAATGCGCATCACCACCGTCCTATCCTACCCAAACCAGTGCCGGCTTCGGCAGGTGGGCCGCCTCGCCTCGCTCCGCCGCGTCCGACTGGCGGCAGTCTCAGTCGTCAGCCATCGCCTGTGCACCGCTCGCGCGCCTCGTCTCAGGCCTCCAGCCAGAGCAGCCCTGCCATTGGCCCCAACCTGCTTCCACAGCCTCCAGAGTTTGCCATGCCGCCGTCGGTGGACCAGTCGACTATCGCTCCCAACCAGCAGCGAGATAGCGTGACGACCCGTATGGGCGACATGGCCATCGGTGTCGACGACATTGCTACTGCACTGGCAGCGTCGGATGTTGACTTCATGACGTACCTGAATTCGCTTCTCTCGTCCGCGGATGGCGATCAATCAGCTTCGAACCCCACTTTCGACGTCAGCCAGGCCGGCGGACTACCAGATACCTCCCTGCTGAACGCCTTCTCTGGCGCCACCCCGAGGCCCGAGCTCGAGTCATCCCTGGGTGACATCCAAGAGCTCATCGCCGGTGCTCTCGCTCGACAGGGTGTACTACAGTCGCCTCCACAGGCCCCGGCGGCCCCTCCCACCTCACAACCTCCCGAGTTCAACTACTTCTTCAGCTTCCCAGCGACCAGTATGACCCCGCGGGATGAGCAGCTCTCGAATTACCAGATCAGTCCTGGTGCAGCCTTGCCCATGCAACAACCTATGCCGCAGTTCGCTCCGACTGGCATCGACCCTTTGCAGCAGTTTGATGACAACTTCTTCTTCAACCAGTACCCCAACGGCTTGTCACTGCAGGTGCCAAGCTTGCAAACGGACTCGGGACGCACTTCAAATAGTGGGGAGGTGGGGCCGTCCATTCCGGCTGTCTCCCCAGCTCCATCGGCCCCTGCGAATCATCCTGACATCATCGACTTGTCCAAGCCGCTCAACTCTTCCGACATTGACCGTATCATGCAGGCGCTTTTGAATCAACAGGCACGCCAAGCTGGGGCCAGCGGCGCGATGCCGCAACCGCCGCCACAAGTATCGCCTCAACTCCCAAGACCGAATGGCGGTGGCTCGGTCCCGGACGCGAGCGACCCGTTCCAGCAGTACATGATCGACCCGGACACACCGCCAAATACCCACCTCCAGCAGCCTGGAGCTGCGCTGTCTCAGCACGCGTGGATGCCGAACGTACTCGGGCAATCGGTGCAGCGAGAGTAGGACGTGTGGAGAGGGCGAGATGGAGTGTGGAGGCGGAATGTGGAGAGGTAGATTGAGGCAGGGATGGCGCGGTCCTGCAAGTCCGCAGTGTAGTATCTTATAGACAAGGGAGAACGCGGGGTGTATAGAGATGAGCAGTTTATGTTCTGGGCTGTGTGGTCGTGCGGGGAGAGCCGAGAGCGATGAGGGTTTTACTAGATGCGCGATTTAACCTTTACAGAGGGCCTGGGCCGCCGCCGGCGCGGCGCGCCGGGCTATCTGCAGCAGCGTTTCTCAGAAGCTAGATCGGAGTGAGTCGATCACCGCGTGGCGCGTGGCATCGTCTCGGGAGAGCAATTGTGTGAGAACAGGCACTGAGAATTCGAACATGAAGCGCAAGTGTTTAAAAGCACACTCGTAAAGTGGAACTATGCCCAATTCATGCACCAGCTCGGTGACACACTAAATGGCGCCCGAAGCAATACGCTTCTCGCGCTAAAACGAATACATACGTATCGCCCAGTCCACCCATTTGTATTCTCCTCTTCTGGGCAGCGAATTTGAGACGAGCACTCGCACGGCCCCCGCCGTCGTGAGATCGCGCGAGTCTCGAGGCTTTGGAGAACGCCAGAGATGGCGGGGACGGGTGAGCGGGTGATTGCGGAGTGTGATTCAACAATACTATCGCCAGATTGCCCGAGGGTACGGAGCCTTCCCACTACGTGCTCGGGCTTCAGTTTCGAAGAACGGCTGGCGAGCGTCCGCGGTTCGGTGCAGCCAAGCCCCCAAACGTTCCGGTTACTTACTACACACGTTTGTGAATATCAACAAAGATGGTGTGGATGTTTCGGCCTCGTCAGCAGCCACATTGGCCATGCGCGCCGTGCGCTACGTAGATGAGTTGGTCTGGTACATATCAAGTGTAGGCCAGGGTTGTTCGCCCGTCCTCTCGAGAGTGAGTCAGAAGCTGAGGGTAAGGACCCGACCGTGTGAGTCAGAACTTGTCGCGTGAACCAGAGACAACGCATGACCAAGCTAAAGGTCGTCATGTACTGGAAGCCGAGGCGATCACGACAACGACTCCCAGCCCGGAGAGCCGCCGTTCCACCTCATCCGCAGACTGTGCGGGTCCAGCACAAGTTCAGCATGGACAATGTCGGGGCGTCGACGACAGAAACTCATCGCACCGCGCACGCACCACAACACGCCCCCGCAAGTTGTGCCACGGATACACCCACCGCACACCTCCTGCAGCGCCACATCTGCACCCCCAACGCGGCGTTCGGGCACTCGGGAACGACGCCGCGCATGACACATGGCTAGAACGTACGAGCAAGAGTGGTGGCAGCGGGACCGCCACTTGTCGGCTTTTGGAATTGTCCGAATGCTCGCCCCTCCCCGCACCTCACCACTTTCGATGCGCGCCGCAAAGACGTTTTCTCCACCTCTCCTATTCCGCTGCAAGCCAGAGTGGCCCGTACGCGTGCTAATTGGGAGGTAGAGCGAGCGCCAAGTTCCCCTTCGGGGTCGAGCGCGGCGCGGTGCTCACGTATCTCCTGCCCCTTCTTATGTGGATGGGCGGGTCGAAGAGGGGCGGACATCTATCTCATAGCTAAGCGTGCATGCAGTGGTCTGGCTTGGTGTTTCCGAAGAGAGGGCAGCGTATGGGCGGGGGTGTGCGGCGTGTCAAGTGTCGGTGATGGCATTGAGCGTGAGAGATATGCTGGGGCGGAGGAGTGGGGCATTTACGAGCCGAGCAGAGGAGGGGAGGTCGAAATTCAGCGGCGTCCGCGGCGACCTCTGCTCTGCGCAGTCGCGGGATCGCAGCGTTGACTGTGCTTGGCCTACGCATACTCTGCAGACCTGCATACATTGCTGCCTTGCTAGCGTGCGCGTACAAGTGCCACTTGAACCGTCGGCGTTGAAGGAATTATACCGTTTGCGCGAGTGGCGTCGAAGGAGCCCAAGACCAGTGTATGTTCAGTTGAACCCGCTCAAGCCCGCGGTCGCCCTGCCCTTACTCATTCAGACCCCCCTCCGCCACCGAGTGTGGCACCTCGACACACCTTGCATCAAACACCAACATCCACCTCCATTTCAACAACATCCACTCGTTCCTCACGACTTTTCTCCATCTCTACCCCGCCACGCCTGCGCACACTCTCCGAGCGCCCCCCTATACCACTTTGCACGGCGTGCGCAGCCCACGGCGTCCACTACCCCCCATCTCACCACGCCCTCCAATCCGCCTCACGCTGGACACGGCCTATACAACTGCGCAATACAGCACTTGGCCCACTTCTCTTCCCCTCACACCTCCCCCGTTACCAGCCCAGCGGCTGACCGTTCCGACCCCCTCGCGCACCGCACACTCACGATCGCCTCGCACGGCCCATCACACTAGCCTGACCGCCACCAATCGCCGTGGCACCATTAAGCATGGCGTCGTCAAGCCGCGTGCCCTCCCCGCTGGGGATAGGCGAGCAGCCTCCAACAGTGCACGCGCGCACCGCCATCTCCGCCGCCAACGACTATGATAGCTCGGCACCCGACACGCCCACACTGCCCGAACGCCCCGCGCCAGGATTCATGATCCGCATCCCAGCTTCGGCGCGCGCATCTGCGGTCTCGTCTCGCAACCTCGACCGTGACGACAGTCCTGCGTCCGTCTCCACCCCTGCCTCGGGAGGCAAGCGCAGGCGCCGCGTTGAGTGAGTCATCACCCTTTCTTCATGCGCAGTCCACCCCGCACCACCACTGTGACGTTTTCCTCCGCCTGCCCCCGCCCCGCTTGCCCCTGCGTACCTCTCACTCCTTCCTCGCCCCCATATCGCTGTGCCCCGCCACACCACACATACTGACACCCAGGCCAATAGGAGATACGATAGCCGCAACGCGACCCCGCCGTGGGCGACCGTCCACCGGCTCACCGTATATAGACGGCACAGGGCCGACGGGCACGCCTTCGCGGGACGTATCGTCCGCCGCGAGCTCGCGCGCAAACTCGAGCGCGCCACCAAACGCGCTGAGCATCTTCCAAGATCCCGCTGCATCAGACGTGTCGGCCGAGGTGCAGACGATAGTGGGACCAGGAGCGGGGCAGGGGAGTCGTGAAGCGCGCCTGCTCGCCGAGGCCGCGTCTCGCCCCACCCGCGGCGGCGAGAACCATGTACGGTCAGGCGTGAGCGCCAGCGGAAGAGGTCGCCGTGTTGGCGCGCGTCTCGGCGCTGCTGTGAAGACTACTGCTCGCAAAGGCAAGAAGCAGGATGCTCCGGACATTGTCAACCAGGACTTCTGCAGCGCCTGCCGTGGCATCGGCCGCTTTCTGTGCTGCGACGGATGTCCGCGCTCATTCCACTTCATGTGTCTCGAGCCGCCGTATCGCATCGACGAGCTACCGGAGTCAGAGACATGGTACTGCAACAAATGTGCCGCCGAGAGGGTAAGCTTCCCTTCGCTAGCTGCAGCTGACCCGACCCAGAACCCTGCGCCGCCACAAGACCAACCTGCGGGAGTCAAGTTTACGGACCGCACTCTGGGCACTGTGTTCAGCCATCTTGTTAAGCGCCTCGAGACTAGCAACCCCGAGCAGTTTCGCCTCCCTCAGGAGATTCGCCAGTTTTTCAGCGGCGTCTCTGCCGGCCCATTGGGTGATTACGTCGACACGGAGACTGCACGCACCAAACTTGAGTGAGTGGATCTGCGAAGCGTTCTCTTTACAGTCTAGGAGTTGCTGACAGACCAGCCGCAAGGGATTCCAGGAGGAGCGCGACCCGCTGCGTCTCCGCGACAGCAAGCACCGCCACGTTGCATGCTACAAGTGTGGCGGAACGTCTGTGCCCACTCGTCAGTTGGCGTCCGACCCAGGCGCACAATGGCGCCCGATAGTCTCGTGCGACTACTGTAATCTCCACTGGCACTTGGACTGCCTCACGCCGCCTCTGGCGGCCATGCCAAGCGCATCGAGGAAGTGGATGTGCCCGAACCACTCGGATCAGGTGATGCCGCGCCGACGCACAGTGCGTGTCGGCCTCGAGACGGTCGATGTCGAGGCTCCAGGCGAGGAGAACAACGGCTTTGTCAGTATTATTGAGGAACCCGAGGTGCAGCCCGACCTCCGGACAGACGACATGGTGATCAACAACAAGAAGTACCGCGTGCCGGAGCGCATTATCCAGCTTGATTTTTGGAACAAATTACGCAAGCACAGCGGCTCCGAGCCACCCGCGAGGACGGCTGCGCGCCAGGCGAACGCGCAGATGGTCCGCGCGCAGGCGTCGCCCGATGACTTGTGGGCTGCCCAGCTCCTCGCTTCTATGGGCCAGGTTGAAGACGACGACGGGGATACGGATATGGTGGACGGCGAAGTCTCGCCCCAGGACGTATCGCCCCACCTTGAGAGGCAGAAGGAGGAGGGAGTGTCCCCGAAGCGCAAGGAGAAGGCGGTGAACGGCGCGCGCACTCCCGTCGCGCAGGCTGCGCGTCGACCGCACGCCGCCGTCGGCGTCAACGGGAGCGCGGCCCATTCGCGTTCAGGATCGCCGGCTCCGCCCCAGCGGCCCACCAGCGGGTCGAGCGACGCACCGCGTCGCATCACACTGCGAATTGGCGCCTTGCCGCAGTAGGACGACTATGTAGCCGAAGCCTTGGAGGGAAGGCAAGGAGAGAGTCGCTTCGATGAGAGACGCTATAGCCTGTTTGCCTGTCCCTGTCTGTGATTCTTCGGAATGCATAGTACTATACAGTATCTAGAGGCTGGGCCCAACTCTCTCGATGATATGCACGTCGCATGCGAGGGGGCAACCTCACCGGGACGACAGTCTCGACAAGGGCAAGCAGTCGCATTTGGGAGGCGTGGTGGAGGCGGGGAACCGGAGCGTCCGTGCCTGGCATGTCAAAAGTTGGCCAGAGCGGCAACGCAATGCTCAGCTGCTCAATCGCACAACTATCACGGGCAGCACCAACGATGAGCGCCTCCGATGATGACGAGTTTGGCCTTGGCGAGCTTATGCCTGTGAGTTAGTGTTCTATGTACGCCGAAACGTGCGGAAGAGCTGTGCATGGACACGCAGAACGAGCCGACAGTCATGCGTGAACTATCTGACGCCAGCGCTCACCCTCTCCCGAGCCCATCCCCTTCTCCTTTGCGGGATACACGCTCCCATCCAGCTTTAGCCTGCCGTCTGGCGAGACTGAGGTGTCTATTCGGCTAGTGGGGAGCCACCCTCTGTGGGGCCACCATCTGTAAGTCCTCCCGCCTGCTCCGCTGACGCCAGGTGGAACACAGCGCGCGAGACGACCAACTACATTCTCGCACACCCCGAGCTGACGCGTGGCAAGCGGGTGCTAGAGCTTGGCGCAGGCGGCGCGCTCCCCTCCCTCGCCTGCGCGCTGGGCGGAGCCGCGCTGGTCGCAGCGACAGACTACGCAGACGCAAGCCTGATGGACAACATCGCGTTCAACGTCTCCGCGAACCTGGGGAGCGGGGACGTGGGGCGGCGCGTCCAGGCGATCGGGCACACGTGGGGCGCGGACGTCACGCCGCTCCTGCAGGCCGGCGAGGGAGGGCCGTACGACCTCGTGATCCTCTCCGACCTCGCGTTCAACCACAGCCAGCATGACGCACTCATGCGTACGCTGGACGCGACGCTGAGCGCGGACGGCACCGCGCTCGTCTTCCTCACGCACCACCGCCCGCGGCTCGCCGACGCCGACATGGCGTTCTTCCCCAACCTCGCTAAGCGCGGGTACGCGTATGAGCGCGTCGTCGAGGAGTACACGGGCCCAATGTTCCAGGACGACCCCGGAGACGAGCGCGTGCGCGGCACCGTGCATGGCTTCCGGTGCTGGCGGGATGCGAGCGCCAAGGTCGAGGAGGACGACTAGATATAGAGCATGTATATTATCACGGGCTTGCAGTGCTGCGTCGTACGTGATGGTCTGCAGTCGAACTACACCGTAAACCATAATTGATTTAGGAGTGGATAATGACTCATCGGCCCATTAGACTTTCGAGATAAGTCGTCATATTGCGATGACGCCCCGCCAAGATGCGTCGGCCCCATCTGTGCCGAGTCACCAATTGCCACCATCTCGCTTCTGTCCGTTCATCGCTCATCACTCACCACTACTCCGTCAACCTCCACGCCATCACCGGAAAGAGCGTGGCCGTGCATATCACGCCCCTCTGTGCATATACCTGCTCTCGGCAGCAGGAGAGCTTCACACATCAACCGCGCCGGCCCTCTTCATCCTCTCCCTCGACGCCCGACCCGCGAAACCTCACGTAGCGCCATGCCCCTCGGCCTTATCGGGCGCTGGGGCGGCGCGGCCGTTGCCCACGGCAAGCGCCTGATTCACACCGTCGTGTTCAGCATGCCCTCCAACGAAACGGGGAACGGCACGTACGCCGCGCTCGCCAATGCGACGAACGTGACAGTCCCCGTCGCCCCCATAGGGAAGCCACAGACCATGCCGCAGCTCAGTTTCGCTGGAAGCGGCTATGATGTGACGGTCATCATTATGGTGTGTTCTCTCCCGGCTTCCCTTCTATCTGAGAAGCTCGACATCAGCTCCGCTATCCATGCTCCGCGGCTGCGCTAATACTAGGCGATTCTCCTCAACCGAATCCACAACATCGCTCACCGCGAACGGCGCCCTCCGCCTCCGCCCCCCGACTCCCCAGGCTGGCGGGCTGCGCTCCGCCGGCGCGTCCGCACCGCTCTCACGAGTCCTGCGGCTCCCGCGTGGCTGCGCATACCCGGCATCCTGGTGCTGCTGCGGGCGTGGGCGCTCTTCACTGTCGTCCTCATGCAGACGGCGCACGTGTGGCCCAGGAACGCCGGCGACGCGGTCGAGCGGCTCGACAGCTATCTTGGTCTGAGCCGCCACGCAACAGCGTACCCGCTCAGAGGAGGGCTCACGTACTTCGCCGGCGTGATTGACCGGTTAGGTGGTTGGGGTGCCGGCATGCCCATGCCCGAGGTGTGCTGGACCGTGTTCGTCAGTGTGTGCTTTGGTCTCACGATGGGCGCGCTTTCGACCGGTCTTGACGTCGCGTGAGTGAGATATGCGTTTCGCACCTAACAGCAGACGACGCCGAGATGTCGGAGTTGGCTTCAACCTTTTCGGCATAGCCTACGTCCTTCACCTTTACGCTTCCCCATTAACGCACGTTCGAAACCCGCAGGCGTCCCCGCATAGCCGCCCCGACGTCCACCCTCTGTTCCAGCTCTGGATCGGGCTCACCGAGCTCACATGGCTGCAGATCAACGAGCTGTCGCCCAGGCTGCGACGCAACCAGCTCGTACCCACCGGTGTATGCGGGTCACTCGGTCTCGCAGCCTTCACTCACAGCCTCTGGACGCAGCAGCTGCGCTTCCCAAGCTTTACCTTCCTTACCCACCTGCTCGCACTCGTGCTGTCCATTATCATCGGCTGCACCCTTGCCGTGCGAGCCATCACCCTGCTCTTCACGCAAGGCCACATCCCATCGCCGGTACTGCAGAGCCTCTTGCCTCACGAGGGTGCACTCCCCTCGACAGAGGATGATATTAGCATTGCGCTCCTCAAGCTAGGAGTTGCGTGCATTGAGTCGACGCAATTCTCAGGCCTGCGAAACGAGCTTGCTCCAATTAAGGAGACCCAACCGCAGGTGCGCATCAACGGGGACGGTGTTGAGATGGTCGGTGTCAAAGTCGGCAATGGCGGTTTCGGCACACGCATCGACAAGATTGAAGCAATGGAGCTGACGGATCCGAACGCCGAGAGCCCCTACCTGGTGCACATCACGCGGCTAGGCGCGGCGTGCGTCTTCCTCGCCCGCAATATTCTCTGGACGACCATCCTGTCGACTTGGGTGGGGCGCGACATCTATCGCCTGGTATGGCGGGCTTATCAGGCCCGGTGGTGGTACGGCCCCCGACAGTGGACATTCTGGCGCAGCGAAGCCTGGGAGGCACCGCCGCGGAGGTATGGAGGCGAGCCACCGTTGTTGTTAGCCTGGGCTTTGGCCCAGCGGCGTAAGCTTGCTCTGGAACGCATGCGCGGGATACGCATCGCGCCGCCTCCCGAGCCCACGATCGCCGAGGCCACGGACGAGAGCTGGACGTACGACCAGGTCCTCCGTGGCGAGGTCGAGGTGGAGGACGACGACGACGACTGGCGCTCCGAGCACTCGGACGCGTCAGGCGAAAGTGACCTGGAGGACGAGGAGGACGAGGCGGCGCTCTACCGCGACTTGATGCGCGCCAAGTCTCCAGACGAGGACGGCGAGGCCATCCAGCCCATCCTGCTAGCGCACCTGACTTCGACGTCAACGTCGCCCCTCACGCGCCGCCGGTACGCCGAGATCCGGTCGGGCCCGGCCTCCGCGCCCTCGACACCCACACGCGCCCTCACGACTGCGACTGCCCCCTCTCTCGATCCGTTGAGCAGCGCGATCGCCGCGCGCCAGGAGGACATGAGAGGCGTGCAGCGCGACGAGTGGGACGAGGAGCGCCGCCGCTCCTGCGTCGTCTGCATGGTGCAGACGCGCGATGTGATCCTGTGGCCGTGCCGATGCCTCCTTATGTGCAGTGACTGCCGTGAGAGCCTCGCCGCCCGCTTGCCTGCCAAAGACCAGGCGTGTCCCAGCTGCCGCACGAAGGTTGAAGGGTACAGTCGCATCTATGTGCCGTAGTGTATGCATGGCGTGTATGTTATCCTGTAACTAGCTGGCGGGACATGGGGTTGAGAGAGTGGCTCTAACCAACGATCGCACTTGTGTGTTTCTCTGTTGGATCCTCTGATCTGTTGCGGTCGCACAAGCTCGCATAACTGTCGCCACATTCGCCAAGCAACCACGTTGTCTCGTTGTGTGAACGGGGAAAAGTGGAGGTGGCACGTGCAGGCGGAGATATGCGGGAGCCTGCCACCGCCTGTGAATGACGCCTGTTCAGTTTTTCCTACAATCCACCACCCACTTCATTGTCTGCAACGCATCTGCAGCAGCCGCTGTTCTCCGTCCCCGTCTTCGTCGTCCTCGACATCGACTCGACCACCCCCTCTCTGCCACAACTCCGGACCATCGTCCGTAGCCCGCGCTAGCAGTGAAACTCCGGCCTCGGACGGACACTCCACTTTGCCGCTCTGCCTCCACCTTCCAAAATTCGGCCCACTCACCGCCCATCCTCTTGTGACTGTCACCAACCGCACCAACTGTACAACATGGCCGCCGCCGCCTACCCCTCCATCAAGCTCTTCACGGGTGCGTAAGCGCTTCAGATGGTGTGGCCGAGAGGCCCCTGTGGCTGGATGGATGGTGGGGGCCTGCGAAAGGGCCGGGGTGCTAGTGGGCGCGTCTCGAGCTCGCTGTGCGCCCTAGCTGTGCGCGTTGCCCGCCCGCATTGATTTAGCACACCGATCATCCGGATGTTGTCGCGTCCCCGCCTCCTGCTCTTCCGCTCTAGCTCGCGAGCTGTGGGCTCCGTGAACTCAGCTGATCGAAGGCACCTCCCACCCCGAGCTCGCCCAGCTCGTCGCCAAGCGTCTCGGTATCCCGATCGCCAAGGCCAACGTCTCGCAGCCCCCCTCGGGCGAGACCAAGGTCACGATCGTCGAGAGCGTCCGTGACTACGATGTTTACATCCTTAACACTGTGAGTCGCAGCTGCCGGCCAGTGAGGGCGTCTAAGAGGAAGGTGCGAAGAGGCTAGGAAGCGGAGGGAGGCTTCTGGGGAGGATGAACTTCCGCACACACTCACTTGTTTGGGTCAATGTCCCCAGGCCACCCAGCGCTCTCCGCCCTCGACTCACCTCGTGCCCGCTAACATCACCTCTCTTGCCAGTGCTAACCCCAGGGCGCCGGCGCCGTCAACACCTCGCTCATGGAGCTCTGCATCATGATCCATGCGTGCAAGATTGCCAGCGCTCGCCGCATTACGGCCATCATTCCGCACTTCTTCTACGCACGCCAGGACAAGAAGGACAAGTCGCGCGCCCCCATCACGGCCAAGCTTGTTGCCAACATGCTCCGCCAGTCGGGATGCGACCACGTTATCGTAAGCATCCGAGGAAAATCAACGCTGACGCACAGACCATGGACCTGCACGCGTCTCAGATCCAGGGCTTCTTTGACGTTCCCGTGGACAACGTGAGTGTTCTCTCGGGCGGCTTCAGGCCAATGCTGCCGGGCTCGCTAGCTGCAGTGGCTCCAAATCACCGCCCTACCCGCCCCGCTTCGCTTGTCATTTTAGTGCTGATCCCAGCTCTACGCCGAGCCCTCGATGATCCACTACATCAGGAATAACCTCGACGTGTCCAACTGTGTGATCGTCTCCCCCGATGCTGGCGGTGCCAAGCGTGCGACATCGATCGCCGACCGCCTCAACGTCGACTTTGCCCTCTTCCACAAGGAGCGCAAGCGCGCGAACGAGGTCTCGCGTATGGTCCTTGTCGGCAGCGTCAAGGGCAAGGTGGCCATCCTCGTCGACGACATGGCCGACACTTGCGGCACGCTCGGCCTGGCCGCGCGCAACCTTCTTGACGCGGGCGCGCTCAAGGTCTACGCGTTCACTACGCACGGCATTCTCGGCGGCCCCGCACTCAAGGTCATCGAGGAGAGCGGCCTCGAAAAGCTCGTGATCACCAACACGCTTCCCCAGGCGGAGAAGGCGGCGCAGTGCGCCAAGCTCGAGGTCGTCGACATCTCGCCTGTCTTGGCCGAGACCATCCGCCGCAGCCACTTTGGCGAGTCGGTCTCATACCTCTTCCACGAGGTTCCCTTCGGCAACGGGATCTAGAGTGTACAGTAGCTGTGTCAGATGCATCTTGTTGGTATTGCTGGGGTTGAGCGTGGCGCTGCGGCCTCTGAGATGAGATGTCATGACGCCAACATTACCTGATGGTGCCTCAGTGTCATGGGCGGAAGCAAAAAGTGTCATCCCTCAACAACATGACCGTCCCATCCAGTCATTTCGACACGTCTCCATTCAGCACCATGGCGTGAGAGCCTAGCTGGTAGCAGAGCTGACAGCAGCGACTTTGACTTCACCTCTCCGCCCGTTCTCCTCTTCCTTTTCCTGACGGTGCTCCGTGAGTCCGAACGCCCAGCAGAGCTAACAGCAGTCGCGGCAGCTCTCGCGCTCCGCAAGCCGGCTGCCAAGAAGCCCGTCGCCGTCGCCGTCCCCGCCAAGCCCGCTACCAAGTCCGTCTCCGCCGCCGAACCCGTGCCCGCGGCGCACGCGGCTGCCGTCCAAGCCCACGCACAGGTGCAGGCACAGGCGAGCGGCGCGCAGATCCGGCCCGAGCTGAATGCGCGGGATTCGTGAGTCGCGAGGAGAGGGCGAGGGTACGAGCTCGGCCAGAGTGGTGGAGAGACGAGCTGGAGGTCCGCAGGGCCGAGCAGATGAGCCAAGGACTGAAGCTGACGGACAGCTCGAATCGGGGGTCGGGGCGTGGCTTCCAGCGGACCAAGAAGCTCGACTAGATTCGGATGGATCGATTTTCTGGGTCTTGCACACAGAGGTGGCGGTTTGTGGTGGCGTCTGTGATGCTGTGGTGGGGCGGTCGGTGGCTTGTCGGCCGCAGCTGGTCGCGTGGATCGACTGACCTTCCTTCGTCTCTTCCATCTCACACGTCTTGGTCATCCCCGTCACACATCTAACCACATACTTGTCTTCACCGTCTTGCCTCTCACTTTCTAGCACATCGTCTTGATCACCAAGCCTGATGCCAGGAGTCAACTACATCTCCGAAGCGCGCAAGCGGCACACCGCACGCCCCGAGCCGCAGCGGCGCACGACGCCTGCTCCCTCCCAGATCAAGTTTCACTTCCCGTGGGCCAACGGTCCTACTGAGCGGCCCTATCTTTTCCCCGCGGACTCCTCCTCGTCCTCCTCTTCCTCTGACGAGCAACGTCGGAAACGCAGGCTCGAAGGGGAGCATACTCTGAACGGCGGGAGGAAGAAGCAGAAGCGCCGCCGAGGTGAGCGGTGTGTGAGTCGGCTGATGCCAGAGATGACGTTGCAGGACATTCTCGCCTCTGACATAGCAGGGATTCGCCGCCCGCCACCGAGTGTACCGCCTCGCATTGCTCGCCCTGCTGCGCTTGAGCCGACCGCGGAGCACAGACATCCGTGGCTAGCCACGCCGAGGTGCAGGGGATTGTTTGAGCTGCCGAGGCTGGCAGAGAATTTCGGCCGTGGGCCTGGCTCGCTCAATTTGCAAGCGCATTCATTGAGACATCTGCTAGAAGACGACAGCGTCGGACCAGCACGGCAGGATATGCGGTTGAACATGGTCCGGGCTAGGCCTGAGGTGTGGCATCGAGACGCACCCCCTTCCAACCCTGCCGAAGCTGCTCCTGTCAGTCAAGTCGATGACAGTGAACATGAGTTCCTGCCCGACTTTAACATGGTTTCACACTGGCAGGATGAAGCAAGCCTCGCGATGCCACCACCCTCCCCACGTCGATGGCCTGTCGACAGGCCCTTGAGGCCGGCACTGCGCTATGCTCGACCAGTGGAGCGGTTGGAGCACCTGGCCGTCGATCTTCCCCCCGGCTGGCCATCACCCCCTCGCCCACCCCCTCCTACCACAAGCGACGGCTTTGATGACTTGAACGACCTTGACGACCTCGATCCTCCGGTCCAACGCATTAAACCAGGCTATCAGTGGCAGGCGCGAACAGTTCCTTCCGCTTTGTTCTTCCAAGCTCCGTCGTCGCCTGCGCCACGACCCTATCCACCATGGCCGCCACGCTACGACCCGTTCCAAGCCCCACCCGTTGACCAGTTCGACTCTCAGTTGAGCTCAAGCCCTCTCCCAACTCCCACCCCTGCACCTCGCCCATTAACTCGACCGCCCCAGCCCGCCTCTTCATCGACCCAGATCACCACGCCTCCAGCACCCCGCCAATCTCCCCGACGCGGATGCGTCACCACCTCGCCCCGCACGCATAACACACCCTCAAGCCAGTTGTCGGCGTACGAGCATGCTAAGCGACGCGCCCAAGCCCCAATGTACCGCCAAAGGTAGCTCGATGCAGCTCCCTTCAAGCACACCCTACGAGCCTACTATCGTCGCATGATATCTAACAAACACTAGACGCCCAGCCTCCCGCTCTAGCCTCTACAACGGCGCAATGATCGAGCTCGACTTTGCGTCGTGGATCGTGCGCAGGACATAGTCCTGCCCGCTCTCGGTGATGTACCGGACCCAGGGGAGCTGGTATTAGCTGAGACAGCTGAGACGAGAACTATGTACGAACCGCAGTGTAGCCTGTCTTGTCCACAATCTTCAGGTAGCGCACGTTGATCCCGCTGAGCGTAAAGTATGGAATCTCGAACTGAATGGAGAGCGGCTTCTTGCCGTCGACCTCGCCTGAGGTGACGGACGGCAAACCAAAGTGTGCTCGCATAAGCAGTTCTGCTCCTCCTTTCTGAATGTAAGCGGATGCCGTGGGAGGGTATGCAGCGGCCCGGCTCTGCGTCTTACAACTCACCAAGTTTTTTATAGTCCAGCAGAAACAGCTCTTCTCCGGCATGTACACTACGGATCCCGCCGCCGCTCTAAACTTGGGGCTGTCTGCGTCCTCTGGTACTGGCACAAAGATCTTGACGTTGTTGGCGGTACTCCGGCGCTTGAACTGTCCGCGGACCTTTACCATAAATTCGATGCGTGACCCGCGATACGTCTCGACGCTCGCCTCGGCCCAAATAAGCGGCTTGACGGGCGTGCTGAGGCGGTAGCTCATGAGCGTGAACTCGCCGTCGGGGGGGATGAAGGAGATGGTGCGGTCGTTCTCGAAGCGACTGAGCCGCACACACTGGTGGAACTTGACGTCTTCCATCTCGATGCTCTTGCCGCGCGCGGCGCGCCCCGTCGTCTCAAACATGACCTTGTCGTTCAAGCCGAGACGCAACTCGGGCATGCCGGACAAGTAGCACTTCATCTTGACGGCGCCAAGGATCTCGGAGCGCACGACGTTGCCCTGCGCATTCACGAGCATGTTGACGCTCTCCACCACGTCCAGGAACACCTCGTTTTTCCGGTATCGGATGCCCTCTGAGCGCCAAGACACGGCGTTGGTCACGGCCATCGGCGGGCGCACTTGCACCTCGAGCTTGTGCGATTCCTGCGTGATGTATTCCTGCTGTCAGCGCTGGGACACGCCGGAGGCGGCGCACCTGCAGAATCTTGGACTCGGTCGTCTGCGGGTGCCCAAAGTCCATCATCTCGTCGAGCAGCTCGTAGATGATGACAAAGTTGTCGCGGATAGACTCTTCCTCCACCTCTTTGAAATACTCTGTGAGCACGGCCACGAGTTTGTGGAGGTACAGAATGATCTCGGCCGCGTTCGAGTTGCGCTTCGACAGCGCGAGGACTGGTGTGAGCGTGCCCGGCCTGCGACGAGGAAGGCGAGGAAGGAGTCTGGCTCGAGCCCCAGGCCGCGCGCCCGCCCCGCTGGGCGCCCCCCCCCCCCCCCCCCACTCCAGTCCCACTCACGATACAGATTGTTGTGCCGGATGTGCATGTAGTTGATGCCTTCGTCGGTGAAACACGGCGTCAACGGCACATTGTCCTCTTCCATCTCGAGGATGAGGGGCAGAAACTTGTCCACGCACGACGGCGGGACGTCGTCGCGATAGTTCCTCTGGATGAGGGACTGGGGTCAGCGGGAGCGTGGAGAGCGTAGAGGCGCGCAGCAAGCGCACCTTGCCCTTCATGTCCAGGATGGCGACTGGCGTCAGCTGTGCTATGCAAACCACTAACCCAGGCTCGCCATGATGTCTCGATGTCAATGTCGATGTCGTGCGGAAGTGCTTGTCGCGAGATGCGTTGCAATGGCCTCGACTGGGGATCGATGTCGGGCCTCATCCACGCCGATGACCATGCTCACGCGCATCTGGTTCCGCTTCCCGGACACGTGGCGGCGCCCTTGAGACAGGCACGATACCCGCACAGGCCCCTCCACCTGCCACCTGCCGTCTCGATTGGTACTGGAACGATCCTGCTCCTACATAACGGGAACGCCAAGTTGCGCTCTTCAATTCTTTCTCACTACATATTGACACTATGGCTTCCGTGCGTCCCCCCGCGTCCTATTGCAGCGCTGACCGCAGCACGACGACGAACTCGCCGCCACGCAGACCGAGGGATACAAGGCACGTGTGATCCGACACCGCTGACCCCAGATCGGCCAGGCCAAGACTGTCGCCGAGCTCGCGGCTCTCGACCAGGTATGTCTTGCTGTTGCTGCAGGATAGGCTGACGCGCAGGAGGACGAGTCACTGCAGCGCTGGAAGGCGTCGCTGGGCCTCACGGGCACGGTGGGGGGCGGGAAGAAGCGCATCGTACCCAAGACGCTCTTCCTCACCTCGCCGACGCGCGCGCAGGACATTGTCCTCGACCTCACCCAGCCGCACGAGGTGCTGGCCAAGCTCAAGAAGGAGCCTGGTGAGTGAGCGCGGGCAAGCTAGGCACCTGAGGCAGTGGCGGTGGCGTTCGGGACTGCACGCGGACGCTGACGCATAGTCACGATCAAGGAGGGCGTCGAGTACTCTGTCGGCATCACGTTTGTGTAGGTCTCGGCTGCGGAGCGCAGAGCTGACTGCAGCGTCGAGAACGAGATTGTGTCGGGCCTCCGGTTCATCCAGGTCGTCAAGCGCGCCGGGGTGACGGTCGACAAGACGGAGGCGATGCTCGGCAGCGTGCGTAGTGTGTCGCATGGTTGGCTGACAGCAGTATGGCCCGCAGCCAACTCCGTATCAGAAGATTGTGAGAAGGCAAGGCAAGATGGATGAGCTGACGCCCAGTTCGCTTCCGAGGAGTCGCCGTCGGGTATGCTGGCGCGCTCGGGGTCGTATGCGGTGCGGACGCGCATTGTGGACGACGACGGCAACAAGTGGCTCGACGACTTTGAGTGGAGCTTCAAGCTTGGCAAAGAGTGGTAGGGTGATGGGGGTGAGGGGGTAGGGAGGAGACATTAGTTCTAGTGACATGCATGGACGCGATTGTATCAAGTGGGGGTCTCAAGGAGATGAGATGATGGTGCCTTGAATGAGAGAGAGAAGAGAAGAGGGAGGAGTTGAGAAGAAGAGGTCGCGTGGCGTCAACTGTCGACTGACTGGACTGGTCTGGGAGCTGGGAGCTGTGCGACGCTGTGCTGAGAGGCATCAGGGATCCCAAGTGCCACAAGTGTGTCGTGTATCACTCCATGCACTCCCTCGTGTTCCCTCGCGCCGGCGTGTCCTCGCGCCCTCGCGTGCCCCCCCCCCCCCCCCCCCCCCCCCCCCCCCCCCCCCCAACCATGGCGCGACGACCAAAAGCGCGTCAAGCTATTCAGGCACTGCTCTCAGGGTACAATAAGAGACGTGCGACAAGCGTGCTGCGGTAGAGGAGAGACGGTGGGCGTAATTTGATTCCGTGTATTGCTGTGCGTGACCCATGGCGAAAGGGGAGAGTGCAGGGTTGGGTATCTATCTACCTGACACTGCTAATGGCCACCTGGGTGGATTAGAAGAGTGGAGGCATTAGGCAGGCATTAGGCAGGCATTAGCCAACGACGAGCCAACCACCACACGCTCTTCGCTTCCCCTTGTACCCTTGTGAGCCCCCCCCCC